TTGAAACCAATCCAGCCGAATGAGTCGCAACTTGGCCGACGTGTATGTGTGTGTGTGTTTTCTCCAAAAACTCAATATCCGGGATGCCTTTTATAGAATAAAAAAACTGGGGAGTAGTGACGAAGTAAAACTACACACGTGATATTTATATATATGTCTGCCTACATTTTTGTTGATTTTAAGTTTTTTTTCTTGTTAGAAAATGCTTTATTAAAGGACGAGTCAACATTGTTGCTCATGAAAAATGTGAATGCCGTTCTAGAATATTCAATTTTGCAAAATTGCCGAAATCGCTTCTATCCCTTTGTTTCTAATCCTAATCTTAATTGCATTGTAACGAAAAAGAACTGACGCAAATAAATGGCACAACATGAGATAAGAAATGGGTAGTTTAGTGCTAGGAGGTGTCTGGGACTAGGAAACCAAATTCTAAAATTGTTTCACATGTTCTTGACGTTCTAGTTTCCAGTTTCGAGACTCTTTGAGGTGTGAAAAAATCTCTTCGAAATGTCGTATCCCAATTGTTCAGTTCTCAGACACTATATTAACAGAATAGTTTACTGGAACCATAATAAAAACATGGGAGGTCAAATTTATCTAATTATGGAAAACACTAATTAATGAGATGTTTTTAGATAATTTAAATTAATTGAATATCAAAAATATTTTTAACATCACAAAAACAATTTAGAAAATATCTGACTCTGCTTAAGCATTAAAACGTTTATACTACACACATCATGATAGGATATTAATTTTTTTTCCGACAACCAAATGGCGATTAGTAATCAGGATGGTGGGTTTTCCACAATGTCTGAAATTTTATAAATGGCTTTTCATTCCACCTAAGGTACAAAAATTGTTTCTTCGATTTTGTCATTTCGAAACCTTCAATTTTCAATTGCTCTAATTGAAAGTCACGCGGTTTTAAAACCTTATCGATCACAAATAAGCGAGCTATAATTTTTTTTAGAATTTACAGTCCAATACCGAGAATGCTCTCAAATTTGTAAAATAATCGATTGAGAGCTGAAAATGTGATGAACTTCGCTACCCCAATTGAACCTGTATACGAATTAGTCAAAAATAACCAAATTGATGTCACACAATTCAACATATACAAATGTCTACTACAACGTTTTCAAAATTATTAATATTATTAGCCTAATTTTGATTTGGCGTAACAAAATGTAACATTCCCAAAGATTTTTTTTGCAAGCTTTCAGCTGTATCCCATCAAAATTAGCCATGTTCCTCGAATTTGCAATTTTTGAATTTTCCTCCTCACGTAAATTGAGAGCATCCCAATTTCCATGAGTATTATTTTTCTATCCCCTCTCTTCAACTTCTATTACAATACCACCGATTATGCAAACCGCTTAAATATTATGCGATTTTTTTTATTTATCAAATATTTAAAGAAAGAAGCGAAAATCATTGTGTTCGTTTTTTTAAACAAATTTAATGTATATGTATTCATGTGTACAAAGTTTTGCTCAATAGCACAATGCTAGATATTATTGTAGCTTTTTAGCGATTCACCTGACCAGATGAATCTTTTAAATATCACATACATAGTTTATTGAAAAGGACATACATATAATTAATACAATACTTCAGTAAATCTTTTCTGACTTTTTTTTTATGGATTTTCGAATGATAGTCCATTAAGAATTTCAGGAAAAATTAAAACTAACTTAACAATTTTTAGATAAAATAAAATTATTTTAGAAAAATATTGTTTTCCCTTAAAAGTAATTCTCCACCCACCCCTTACCAACACCGTTGTCTTTATGTAATTTTTATCTTCAAATTGGTTAAACCAAAATACGGAATCAGTAGTTACCGTTCAAAAATGCAATCTCTTTTTTTAAAGATATCGAATTCACCTGGATTTTCTGCAAATTCGTTGAAACCTGGAATCGTTGTCTATTCATTTTTCAAGCCTACCAATACGATTTGATTCTTTATCACGTTTTGAGCAGCTTGCAAAATTCGAATACCTGGAAATGCTTTTAGTTAAAGGTTGTCGCTACGTCGAACTTTGAGTTGTTGGCCTTCGAATGTGCAGCCACGAACAACGTTTTTGAAAACCGTTGCTTATACACATTTCAAGCATCACTGAGTATTAAAATCGTAGACTTGTACGTCATTTTGAAAGCGTGGGTTACGCTCGTGTCTAATTGTTCTTAAATGACCCTACTGCTTTACCGTAAGCAATTTTTGCACAAAACATTTTATAAGCTCTCACGTATTATACATAAATAATAATGCCATTTGAAAAATGTTAGTTTATTTGATTGAAAAAAAAACAAAACCAATAATTATATTCATATTTCTGCAATCTCATTTCAATGCTTTTAATGGAAGATTTGCGGTGTTCTTCGAATTTGTGTCTAATATATATTTGTATAATCCATGTCTTGCCAAATTTCGATCATTGCTTACACATCAACAAGGATGACAAATAGTAACATGAAATGTCTTCTAGCTTAATTCGGTTCAATGATTTTGAAGATATCAGTTCGTTTTCATTTTGCGGCATGTAAGGTTAATGTTTATAATTGGAAATTATAATTTCATAAAAATTTTGGAAAATTATCATTATTCATCGAAAAATTTTATTGTACTCAATTTTGGAATATGGAAACTTATTAAATTTAACTAAAATTGTTCCACACTATATTCATTTTCAAAACGACGATATCAATTGTTTAAAGCAAATAATGTTATTATTCAGAAAATTTTTATTGTTCATACCTCATTATAAATCTCTTAATGAAATTGCAAACTACCATAGTCAAGAAAAATATTAAACTATTAAAATTCAATTTTTGACGCGACGGAAGTGCGCATTTTTGCTAATGTGTGTCGGAAGCGGTTTTTTCACCTTTGGGAATGCTTTTCCTGAAATATCACATCCCGAGAATTCTAGTCAACCCAATTCCAAACGATTATTTCTATAGTACCCACATTGAGAAGTAATCTCATATGGAATCGGTAAGCCTATTATGTTTTTTGCACATTTCTCACATTTATTTGATAAGTAGATTAAATATTCCAGAATTCCGAAAATCACAAAGAAAAACACATGTGCAAATGTGGATATAGGAAATTAGTAAATTTGGGAAAATTAAAGTCAACATTTTCATTAAAAAAATAGAAGAAACAGCTTCTTAGTTCGAAAATCGACATTTTTAGATTTTTCTTTGTAAAAACGTGTTATTCCAATGTTCATCACGTCGTATATTTAAGAAGGCAAAAATAGTATGTCATTTGACATTTTCGTTAGACTATATTGTAATTAGCTATGGTTTTTGTGCATCTAATTTTTTTTTGGTCACATGACATTTTTTTGCGCAACATGACTCTTTAGTGTCTCGACGCCAAAAATCAAACCATACATTAGCTCTATATCGAACTCAATGGGAGGATAGAATCAATTTTGAATCCGGCTCAATAGAATCGAATTCATAAATGTTATATCAAATTTTTGTATTCATACTCTCTCACGGGCCAGAGCTCCGACAGAAAAAAATCGCCAAAAAAAAAGTAGGGAGAGGGGGAGAAGAAGGGAGTTCCGAGACCACACCCCTCCATTTTTGGCAAAAAGACGCGGCGGTTGCATTTTTTTTTTGTTTGAGAAGGCTCGTAAATCTCATTTGTAGAATTTTTCAAGCGTTAATTTTGGTTTCGTGGATTCCATTATTGTGTGCAAGAAAAAGGTCACCGTGATCCGTCAACCGTTTCCGATTAGAAGGTGCCAAACACTGAGGGCCAAATAACGGAAGTCGGGCCATTTTTTACATGACGGAAATATATGTATAAGATCATTGCATAGCTAACTAGCTCCAGTTCGTCATGCCCAATTTTTACCCAAACGTTTATTTTTTTCTCAGCAATTCTTTTACAATTATTTCGTTGGCATTTATTCTTATTTTCATTTCTATTGAACTGATGTTTATTTATTGGAATATTAGAAAAACTTCTTCTTCGCAGAATTCGCATCGAGCTGGGTTTGCCACTGATTCGTTCACATTCGTCATCGGTTTGAGTAGAACTCGGAATGTTGCACATTGTTTTTAAAATATTGTGTCGGTTGTGGCAGCGGATTATATTATGTTAGCCATGTGACCTTCGCATACATCCATAGTAAAGAAAATTCAATTTGAAATTACTACCCTTTTGTAGAAAACGTTGTTTTGGTTGTTCAATAACAAGTAAACGATTTCATAAAATTGGTATCTCAGAAAAAAAGCTAATAAGAGTAACAAAAATTATTAGATTAAACATTTCACGAAAATGTTTGGTAGTTCACCAAATTTGACTATTCCCACTTTATATGTAAATTACCTCTGTTGGAACTCAATTTGTACATGGGTTGAACCAAATGATTCAATTCGCAATTTGAGATCAAACCTTTCAGTCACCGCATAATAAATAGAAATGGCATATAGCTATAATCATTTAAAAACCGTATTCGAAAATTTCGGAATAATTTCGTTTCGTTTATTCAATACAGTAAATATAGTTAAAGTTTGTTGCGTAATGTAGAATTAAGTAGATTAAACATCTGAAACGGAAAGGGGCGTGTTCATCATGAGAAACATTTTTTTTCTTTGATTTTAAGACCAATTCAGTGAAAAAAATATTTGAGACGGTCAATCAACTGAAATTGCTCGTCGCGATTTAATCCAATGAGATTATTTTGAAAAATAATACGCGTAATAATACGCAAGAATCGAATTGTTCAGCAACCTTTAAGAATCCCATCCTATATAATCAGAGTTCTTTCTTAAAAATGAATTAACGTTTTTGACTTTGCTACTCTGACATTCGTTTTTTTGATTTCTTATCAATTATTCCAGAATAGCTCTTGTATAATTCATAAAAACATTCAAAATTCAGTGTTGTTTGAAAAAATTATTTTTTGTTTTACTAATCTCGAAATATTTATATAAGCTGAATCTTGAGTTTGGAAAGTTCTCAATTTCCTTTTTATGGATATTGCCGGGAGTAATATTTCATGCTTGATTGGGGATTTACTCGTTCAGAAGGCATCAATTTTTTTCGAGTAGAAATGTGGTTCTAATGAATATCCGATTAACAATCCCGCCGCATAACACAACGATCTCAATTTTCGACCGTTGACCCTAATGCATCATTTATTTGCTGTCATTTTCAGATAAAAACACCGCCACGTACGTGTCAGCGATGAGCGAGAAAGTGAACGAATTGTGTGCGAATTCCACCGACAACTGCTATTGCTTGGCGCAAATGTGCCCAATTGTTTACAATCATTCCGTATGGCTCAAAGAGAAGTGCTATATGGAGAAATGCTTCATCTCGAAACGAGCATTGGATGATGTGATGCTCTACAGGGTAAATTATGGCAGGCGCGACACCGACCTAGCTGGGTTATCACTAATTTATAGGTCACCGCACTTTATGCGTTTATCTTCCTCGTTGGCGTATTTGGAAATGTGACAACATGTTTAGTTATGAAAAGGCATCCGCTGATGAAGACTCACGCTAGGTGAGCTAATAATCAATAATTCATCGGATATTTTATTTGAAAAAAAAAGAGTACCGAAATTTGGTTGGAAATAATTCAAAGAGAATAGTCATTGAATATTCACGTAATGTGCATCTAAATCTTTTGATGTTTATATTTATTATATAAAGCTGTCTAGGGCTCAATGTGCCATAGTCGCATTAATCAGCAAATTGAAATTTGCAAAAACTTGGAAATTAAACAAAACGTTAATAATTGACACTATACTAATTATCATTGTCCCAAGAACGTTCTAATTAAAGTAATTAGAAGATCCCACACAAATAGAAACATGTTTAATTATCCAAAGAATGATTTATGGAAAGAGTACTATGAATTGGATTTTGAGACTCTCTGCAGAAGTTTTCGATTCAACCCAAGAATAAAAAAAATTTAAAAAGCTTTACGTCACTTTTTTTGCAAGCTCATTGAAACCTAAATACCTTATTTTTTAAACTTTTATGAGATTTTGAAAATTATTGAAATTTGAGTAAAACATCTGAAAATCGATTAACTCTTTAAAATTAGTTAAACGATCTTCTATTTTTTCTTATGTGATTTTAGAGTTTCAACGTTCCGAGCGTCGATCTAAAAAAAAATGAATCGCATTCATAATTCAGTTTTCTCGTGTTTGATTATTGAGCAGAAAGCGCCTTTGTTGTCAAATTTGCGAGGCGTCGATCTTCGAGGTTCAATTTTTTTTTGCTCTTTTCTTCCTGTGACACAATCCTTTATGAGAAATCGTTGAGTTCATTAAAAATTCGGACTCAATTTCCTTTTTCAATTATTCATGTTCCTACAAAATATGGCACGTATTGATGGCAAAAATGCTTGAGGGGAAATCTGGATGCAAAAAGGCATTAATTATTTTCAGCATGTATTTGTTCAATTTGGCCGTTTCGGACCTGGTCACTCTAACTGTCGGATTACCATTTGAAGTGATGATGAACTGGAATCAATACCCCTGGCCATTTCCGGACTGCATTTGCAATCTGAAAGCGCTGATTGCTGAAACAACAAGGTTTCGAGAAACGTTTCGAAGATGTCGAAACTCTGAAATTTTCAGCTCGGTGTCAATGCTAACAATTCTGGTATTCGCCGTTGAGCGATATGTCGCAATATGCCATCCTCTTTATCTTATGAAAGTTCAGCCATTCAAGCGAAATGTAGAAATCGGAATTGCTTTGGAAATTTGTATTAAGAATGACATTCAGATTCGGTCAATTATTTGGTTCACCTGGATATTTTCAATATTTTGCGCTATGCCTTTCGCAATTCATCATCGGACTGATTTCATGATTAAAAGTTGGCCGTATACAAATAACAATGAGCCGGTGAGAAAATGAAGAAAAGAAAATGTTATGTGAATAAATATGACCTAATCTAATTTTAGGTACTGTCATCGAAGCTTTGCATGGTGGCTGTTATGTTCGACAGATCGTTAGAGCCAACTTTCAAAGTAAAATTCCACGGTTTCTATTAATGGAAACTCAAAAATTGGATTCAGAAACTCTTCCACTTCTCTGCTATTGCGTTCTTTGTGATTCCATTGCTTGCCATTCTCATCTTATATGCTCGGATTGCTTGCCAGGCAATTAAAAATGAAATATGGGCTCCAATAATTCATTTTGTCCATTTTAGGTGTCTAAGAGTAGCCGAATCCAAATGCAACGAGAGTCCGATGGCAGAGAAGAGCTCCAAATGCGAATCAACGCGATTCTTTGTGAGTTTGAATCTCATCTGAATTTATTCCCAAAATCAGATCAAGAGTAAACAGAAAAAAAAACTCATAAATAATCTGAGGAAAGCAAAAATAAACAGAAGATTGTTAGAATATTTGGAACTGACTTATCGTAAGGGATCAAGTGTGAAAAGCCTAAGGAAAAGCCTAATAATCTGCTATAAATATTTAAAAACAAGTCAAAATCACTTTATTCTCTCACCAGATATAATTAATTGAAAGCTCTGACAAAAAAATTAAATTCCATTTTCCCACGCATCTATCAATTTTCATTAAACAACAAATAACATTGAATCTTGATCTCGAATTCAATCCCAATTAATTTTAATTGTGTAAACATAAACGAGAAGTGTATTTGAAACCAATGAAACATGTCACTATGCCGAAAAACGATATATTTCCTTTGCTAATTGGAAAGTCGTCAATTTGTTTGATAGATTCGGAAATATGATGCTTATAAGATCATCATGTATAACATGATTCAATTAATAAAAAATCATGAACATTTAAGGTTCAATTGTGCTTTCATTTTTCATTTGCTATCTTCCATTCCAAATGCAACGCCTACTTTTCTTCTACGTCGATAATGAATGGATTCTTCTGATTAATCAATACATTTATTTTATTTCCGGTAAAAATTCCAAAAGATTATTGAAAAAAGATCAACACTTTCAGGATTCCTGTTTTACTTAGCCACCATTGTCAACCCGATTCTTTACAACTTGGTTTCGAGCCGATTCCGTAAAGCGTCGAAGGATATCCTGCTTGCTTTAATATTCCATAAATCAATTGATTATCAAAGGACTGTCAGCAAATATAGCATGTAAACTTAAAATATTAAAAAAATACGACTAATGGCTAATTATTTCAGGTCCCATCAACCATTGAGATCACAGACCTCCCAAAGGGTCAAAATTTATGAAACCGACCAAATCTGATGGGTTTTCCAACTCTTTCCAAACTCTCTATTTATTTTTAATTTTAACTTTTCATTCAACGTTTTGTGTTTATGCACATTTTTTTTTTACTGTGTTGTTTGATATTATATTATCAAACGGGATGTATAAATAATAGTTTATAATAAAAAAATCTGTTTTCTTCAAATAAAAGAGCGCATGAATTATGCGACATAGTATGCCAGAAAAAAATACATAAATTTCCCTTCTGGCTCAATGAGCTAGCCGAAAAATAACCAAGTGTAAAATATATGGAAGAAATGAAAGTAAAGTTGCAGACTTTTCAAATTTCATTGGTGAACTTTTTTTTGTCGTCGTGGCCAACCCCCTTCAAAACAAAAGTGTAATGTTTACCTATACAATTGCTGACTGTTTTCGTTTATTTTTAAAGTTTTCATAATATTCAAATTTTGTCGAGGTGAGATATTATTAGTCCCGGATGTCATTAAATTATTTGAGAATTTTTGGTAATTCGTTGTATGAAAATATGTCGCAACAATAGTGGCTAGTGTAATTATGAATGAGACAATATGAAATTTTTGTTCTCCTGGTGCTTCTAGCTGATGGTCTCCATTCTAGTCTAGCTTATTTTAAAAATGGAAGTTTTTTAAAATTTTTATATAGCCTGGCAGACGCAAAAAAGTGACATTCACACATGAAGCGAGCAGGCCGTATATATTTTGGGAAAATGTTTCAAATTGATTCATTTTTTTTTCTAGAATTTCGTCGAAATATAAAATATGGGCGTTCGAAAAAAGTGAAAAATAATTTCACAGAAGTTGGAAATTAGTTTTAACTTTTAGTATTGTGTTTTTACAAAAAATTATTTTATATGCTACCATGTGTGTTATTTTTGGCAGTATATTACAAATTTGGTTAAATTTCCATTTTTTGTACGATTGAACACAAAATTATCTAAATAATGATGACCCATAGCTTTACAGAAAATTATTTTTCATAACAAAATTATCACTTTAAAGTAATTGTCATCAATCGTTTATTTTTTTTTGTGAATCACTTGACATATTGTGCATTGTCTTTTACTAGAAAGAGAAGTGCATTGTCTTTTACTAGAAAGCAATTGTTGATGGGTGAATAATTTGTCACGTAAACGTGAGATGAAGCCCCAGCGTTTTCGTTTTATGTCCGAATTGCTTCAATCCGTTTTCTTTGTTGTGACACTTTCTTTTATGTTTCGCCAACGATTTCTCTTGCGTTTTTTTTAACTTCAACCAATCACAATCACAATCGGTGAGCAATTGGCAACGAAAGGTGGAAGATGAAGAAGCATATGTGCCAATGCGTTGAGGCAGCAACTCAACACCAATGCCCCCCCCCTATCCTCCCCCACCTCTCTCGGCGGGTCGATGAGCGAGGAAGAGTGTTGCTTATGGAGAAGGAGCCGAATATTCGACCGACGGGAGCAGCAACTGGGCGAGCTCGGGAGAGAAAGAGCAGTAACCTTGATGATATCTGAAGAAGATGAAGCACTTTGACTCAATGCTCCTCTTTTCGACGGCACTTTTTGTTCAATTAGACAAAAACTCATAAAAGTCGTTAAGTTTGCGATATCCCGGCCGAGTTTCAAATTGATCACATTTCTCTTAATATCAAATAGCACCGGTAGCATATACTTATATTACAATATTCCATGTTTACCATAGTTTCAATAATATTTTTTTGTAGAAATGATATTATGCAGAATAACGATTTATATTATGTTACAATAACCAATAATGTTGCCACAAAATTAACATCGGAATTACACTTAGATATTTGTTTTAAATACGTGTTTCTTTTCTTTATATTGTTGTATTCTTTTTTCACTTTAGTTGACATTCCTGATCGTTCAAAAGTGAGAGGAATGGGCCCATGAATGCACTTTTCAGGTACCTAACCACAATTAGCGGGTAACAACACAACATCGAAAAATGGCTATTGTTGCTCGAGGTGTTTCGTCAATGCTGACGTTTCTACGGAACACTTTCAAAGGTAAGCTCACTTATTAATAATTCAACAGGATCATTTCATTACAACGTGTTCGTTGTAGAAATGTGCCGGTGCCCAAAACGCACCAACTGCTTCTAACCGCAAATCAATTTTTGCAGGGTTGTTACCGCTAATTATCCTTGCGATTTACACCGTCATTGGTGCATTGCTCTTCTGTGAGCTTGAAGGGCCTAATGAGCAACATATTTTACAAGAGCAACAACGCGAAAGAGAGGATCTCATTCGCGTGAGCCGGATAAGACATCAAACCAATGAAAGATTGTTGATTTCCAGAGAACCGTCTACAAGATCAATCATCTCCAAATCAAACGACAAAGACAGTTGATGTCGGCTGAAGAGGAATTCAACAGAACTGCCAAGGTGTTGGCGACATTCCAAGAAACCCTTGGAGTTATTGATGTGAGTAGGATACTTTTTTTCATGAATTTTGATAAATTTTAATTTTCTTATAAACTTTTTTTCCACTAATCAAATGAAAAATGATGTGTGTACTTGTTCTTGGATCTCATAAACATATTGACGCAAGGATTCTTGAGCTTTTAACAACTAGCATTACACCATATTATTAAAAAACACATCTTTGATTTCCTGATTATTTTGCAGCCGGATCCGGAAAAAGATGTGCACTGGACATTTCTTGGAGCACTTTTTTATTGTATGACTGTCTACACCACTATTGGTAATACCTTATGAATTTATTTGTTAACTTTTTAGCCATGATTGTTAAGGTTATGGAAATATTGTTCCAATCACGACTGCCGGAAGAATTCTCACAATTTTGTACGCTTTTATCGGAATCCCTCTCACGGTCATCTGCTTGTTTTGTCTTGGTTCGCTATTTGCGAAAGGATGCAAATTTCTATGGAAATTGTTCTTGAGATCCACTAGAGTTGTCAGCAAGGATCTCGAACGGAAAATTACCGAGGTCGCTGAAAATATTGAAGATGGAGCCAATGTGAGAGTCAATACATTTAACGATTTCAGAATTAAAAATTGTAGATTGCAAATCAACATCCAGAGGAGAACGGCGATGATGATTTATTATCATTCCCAATTTCCGGATTGATGTTCATCACAGTCATCTGGATTTTGTTCTGCGCCATCGTCTTCACATTCTTAGAAAATTGGGATTTTGGAACATCAATGTACTTTACATTGATCTCCTTCACTACCATCGGATTTGGAGATATTTTGCCCACCGATTATGATTATATGATTGTGGTCGGAATATTCTTGTTGATAGGTCTTTCGCTGGTATCGACTGTCATGAATTTGATTCAGCAGCAAATTGAAGCTTTGGCATCCGTATGAAATTAAAAACCGTAACGCATGATTTTAGTGATATTAAGGGTGTCAAAAGCAATATTGATGAGGAATATGCTCGAGCTTTGGTTGAAGCTAAGGAGGATGGAGATGTTCCACCGGACGAGGAACCGGAAGTTGAAGGAGGTCATTTTTAGCATCTTTTAAAGTTTTTTGTAATACTCGACAATTTAGATCAGAAGAAAAGTACCTTTGATGCCGTTTTATCAAGAATGGATTGGAAGAAAAGAGCACTGTTCTACGCCATGCCCGAAAAGCAGAAGAAGCAGCTTCAAAAGCATTCCGAAAAGAAGATGGGACGTAAAAGTATCAAAGTTCAAACCGACAATGAGCTTCTTGATGTAATTTTTAAAATTTTCTACAATGCCGGCACATTGTCTGGTAGCATCGTTGTTGCACATTTAGATCCTAATTCGCGAGGAGATTTTGAAAGCTGAGCTCAACAATGAGACGCACAAATACACGGCGCCAAGACCACAACATAAGCTAGTCTACTCTGAAGTGCGGGAAAAAGAAGTCCCAATCGAGGTGGTCCGAGTTGAAAACCGAGCTAACGACGACTATTTGGAGCACGACATTTAATTATTTGACGTAGTTATTTGTTGTTGTGACATTTTCTTGATAGTGTAGAACAATATTGCACCTCTTTTTTGTATTTTTTTTCCTCAGGCGTACTTAAATCAAGCAAGAATGCAACGAATTCGCGACAAATCAAAGATACCTAAATTTGTCAAACCAGCGCCGGCATCAAATCGGAGCCGAAGGCACCCAACGTATAAATGAATCAATAATTCAAAACGCCCAATTTTTTTTATCGATACTGCCTTAATTTTTGTTCTTTCGATTTTTTCAGAACATGTCATACAATTGATTTCTGAAATACGACTTCCATTGAGTGAAAAGTTGTCATATTAAATGTAGAGTGGTATACTTATCACGTCTGGTCATAAGATTTTTTCCTAGTCACACTTCTTTCAAATATTCGTTTGCCGAGTTTCATAAATCTATCACTGATAAAATTTATTCCAATTTCAATTCGACTATATACTTCAAACAAAACTTTGGAAATCTGCAATATTTCCAATAATTGTTAAACCAATCGCTTTAATTAAAGATTAGGTTGTTCTTCAGCGCATATCCACATTTGGTGCTCAGAAATTTTCAGAATTCTCGTGTTTTTTTTTGCAGTAGCAAGCATGGTGTATCATATTCTGAATTTCACAGCCTTATCATTCTTGTTTCTTATTTGTGTAATTTTATTAGAATGTTGCTGATTTCGACAATTTTTTTTGGATTATTGATTATTCACCTGATATTCAAATCATCGTCCATAGAAAATCATTTGTCGTAGAAAATATAACATCTAATTATTATTACAACGTATAGGTCAACATGAGGACAACAGTAGAGTGTGCGGAAATGAGAGATTGATGATGAATAACAAAACTGCTAGATTATTCATAATTTTATAGGATTTCAAGAAGCGAAACAATGTAGAGGAACTCAATAGAAAATAGAGTAATTAAATGGGCGCATGATTTCAGGTACTTCAGCAACCCTTTCCACATTTGACTGGCTAGCTTTACCGATGGAAAAAGAACACATTGTAAAAGTTTCTAGCACTTCATTACTTCTAGGATGCGTTTTCTATATTACTACATATAATTATTGCGATTTTTCACACGAAAATCTCACTATTTCTTTTTTTATTTTTTTTTTCAAACAGTCTTGTTTTTGATTCTAACAGAGCTTCCACTGATTGCTCGTTCACTCACCGGTCCAGGTTTTTTCCTTCTGATCTTGCCGTTTGGGACCATCTCTTTCTTTTCCGGAGAAGTTATATCACTTAGGGCTTCCCCTGTATGTGGAATGGGTCTTTTTTTTACATTTTTAAACCAATTCTCTCATTTTTTTTTGGCTGATCAGTTATTGCTGCCGAATATTCTATTTAATTAATTTATCAATAATTCATTGTTTCATCATCGCATTCGACTGATTTAATGTCTTCAAAAAGAGCCTCGATGTAGTCGAATGCATTCTCATAAATAGCAATTTCCTAAATTTGTATATTCGCGTTAAATAGGACAATACAGGCGTTTACCTGATCAACGTCATCCAAATTGGGAAAATAAAGAATGCTTCGTTTTGTGTTGATGTAGAGTTGCTCAAGATCGAGGAAGATGTCAGTTTGTTCGAAGTTGAAATTGCCAAAATATTTGAACTCGATCTATAAGGTAAAATTAATCAATTGTTTCGGAATATAAAACTACTTACTACTTTATAATGCAATTCATCCAGGTCGTTTTCGATGTCTTTGACTCGCTCCTGAAAAAAATTGATAGGTGCATAAATTGAATGAAGCCAGAGATTTCTTACAAAGTCAGCAGCATTTGGTGCAAACTCCGACATCGATAGCTGAAAATAAAGACGTCGAAAATTTAAAAGTCCAAGATAACCTTAAGGATTTCAGATAAGCCTATTTTGTTGTGAGTATTAAAAGCAAAGAAAACTAGCGAAAACAAATCATTGTATCAATAAAAACTATTAGCAGTTACAGAATTCGTAAAGTCTCAAAAGGGTAAGAAAAATGAATGATGGAAAAACACGAGGCGTCGTTATGAAATCGACAAGTAGGAGGCGTTACATATGAATGAATTTGGCGGGCAAAATACACAATTTTTCGCGCGCGTTTAGGTAGTCAAACGTGTCAGTGTCATAGATACACCGGAGTACATTTGGTACACGCTAGTAGACTTGCAGTCATGCGTTTTTCACTCTGGTCTCTTGTGCAATCACATACTATTTTCTTACAAGTTAGTAACCCGAGATTTTTTTTCAATATTTTTTAATTGCAATAATTTTAGAAACAATATCAAACTATTATCCGAATTAGTAAAATAGAAGGTTTACTTGAATATTCCAAAATAAGCTATAACGAGAAGATTATAAACGAAGAAAGTCTGCAAAAAAATTGTGAAAATGTTACAGAATCAATTTTTCTAATTTATCGACTACTTGAAATGTATTAACAAGCGGCTGTGAAGTCCGCAAAATTCTACAATATCAATTCTATCTCAATATAAATGTTTTGATAATTGATTAGGCACAACGCAAAGAATCAATCTGAGCATCATTCTATCACGAATCATGAATTCGAAAGCACTCAAATTAATGTTTTTGAGTATTTGAGCATATTTGAGCACTTTTTGCGACATCATTTATTTTGCAAAATTTAAATGACAAATCAATACAATACAATTTTCATTAATTAAAGCTTGATTATATAATTTCCGCGAGGTTTCAACACATAGATTGACCATCTTGCACATGGTCAGAATCAGAAACGAGATTCTGAAAAAAAGTAAATATAATTATTTTCAATGTCACGTGAAGTACCTGAGGAGTATCAACGTGGGTTTCGATGAAATCAGCAAAAAGCTGCAAGATCAATTCTTTCTCAATATAAATGTTGTGATTGCCGATGAGATACAACGCAACATAACCATCTGAGTAGCATTATTTTTAAATAAAGAATTTGAATCAATTTTACCATAGCGAAGACTTTCTAGAAACGCTGCCATTGTCTGGAGAGGTCTTTCTTCCGGATCGAGCTTGAGAAATATGTATAAGGCAAATACTATAATTTGAAACTTACTTCAGCAAGGAGAACATTTTTAGTTAATGTGACAGTGTTTTGCAATTCAATGAAACATTTGATGCTTCCTATGGCCGTAAGAATTGTGATGATGACAAGATAATATCTGGAAATGTCGATATATTGTCCTAAAATATTCTGAATCAAACCCAATCACGGTCAAAATGAACTCGTTAGCTGCGTTGATGAACAACTTGCACATAACATGCTCGGATGGAACATCTTTGGACAATTTCAGATATTCTGTAGTTTCGATCCAACAAGTTCCGTTAGAAGGAAAAATTGGTGGTTTATCAACGTTGATGAAAGAAAATGGACGACCGAGCTGAAATACACGATTTTCCATCTATGTATAAATAATTACTTATACCATGTATGACCAATATGAAATGAAATCGACTTCGAGAAAATGAGGAAGCGCGACGATTTGGATCAAGCAATTCAACAAATATCCTAATTTGCTAATAAAGTAATACGACGTAAATCTGTAAAATAGATTATAACAATCTATTGGATTTATCTAAACAACCTTCCAAATAATCGTTTGCTTCCTAGTCTTGATCTTAGAGTTGAAGCAATCTCGCGCAATTCTACTTTTCGCTCTTCCTTCTTTTTCCATCCGATGAGATAAGCTGTACCACAAATGTATACAAGGGGAAACGCTGAAATATCATAGATCATATGCTCAAAATAATCACTAACCATTTGTTTTCATTATAATAACAATGAAGAGTTTTGGAATGACGTATCCAATGGCGCTAACCAATAGAAACAAAGGGGCGCCCTTGTGAGTCGAAAAATGAGGAAAATATTGGACTCCATGTTCTAACCATTCCGGCGAGTTTGCATGTACTCCTTCGAGATGGCACGCCTTTTGAATGTTTAAGGAGAACTCGGGTTTATGAATGATCGGCGTTTCACATGATATCGGCGAAACAATCACCGACAGAAGAAATAGCAGGATGGCGGCGGTGAGAAAAATTTGAGAACTTGCCATGTAGTTAATTATGTCCAATCTATCATCTATTATAATTGTAGGTAGAAATGACTTAATTTCAGAAAGACGCGGTCTTCTGTAACCTTCCATCATCGTGGAATCTACAAAAAATATTTTGACCAATGGAGAAACAAACGAGCAACAAGAAAACTGTTGAAGAAAGACTGTTCGTGATATAATCTTATGAATCACCAAGAGTGTTGTAGATTTCGCAACTTCAAAAAAAAAAACAATATCAATAGTGTTTAATGTTTCCCGAAAAAAATACTATCATAGTTCTTTGCAGAACGTTTTTTTTAAGTTATATCATATCTAGTGAGTTCTATAACAAGATAAGTTGGTACCTGCTTCTAAAGAATGTTCACCTTTGTCATTTGCAGAAGTCATGGCGAAGTGTTGGAAAAAAAATTAAAAAAAAACATCACGGAAAATAAAAATCGTAACAAACGCGAAGCGCAATTTAGAATTCCTTACATCAGTCGATTTGGGTAGTTTTTTTTCTTTTTGAGAAACGGAATATACTACAAGAAAGCTTCTGTTATCTATTGTACTAGTTGTTTGAAGAAATTACTATAACCACTGTGAAATCCAATTCTCTTGGATTTAATTTGTTGATCTGATTTTTTCAATAATATCAGAAGTAGCACAAAAATGAAATTGCAATGTGTAGATTTTCAAATAATCCAGAACAAAAGATCAAATTCTCAAAAAATATATTTTAGAAAATTGAAAAAATATATCAAAATGATTGTATTGGAAAAAAACAAGAAATTGATGAGCCTACCGCACAAAGCGAAGAAATCTGTTCAAAATATAGCACAACCGTCAGAATGGGCGAGAGAGGAAGAGAAGAGAGAAGAAAAAAATGAAGACGATTCGAGATTCCGGGATGGACGCAGCAAATTACGGTAGCAGAAACTGATCAATGTTTTCTGGTTAAAACAAAATACCAATTTTTTGAGAACGGGCAGACAATACAGAAAATCATCGGAAGTTTTTGTCATGTTTAATAGTAAAATTATAAGAAAATTTTCGTTTATATACCGTCAAAATGCAATAAAAGTCATCTCATAAATGATCCAATAAAATGGTCGAAAATTGTCCAGCGTAACGTGAATAATAATGTGATTGTAAATAAATGTCAAATACAACTAAATTTTTTTAATGATATTTAAAAAAAACTTTAATTTTAGTGATATTATGTAGTCGAAGAAATAATATATACAGGGTGGCCCAAAATTATGGAAACACATTCAAAGTGATGTAACTTTTTAAAAAAATGATCGAATCAACTTGAAAATTCACAAATAGTTTATTGAATCAATTATAAACAAAAATACATCAACATTACTCGATTCGATTTCCTTTGTTCTTCATTACTTCCTTGAGTTTCGTCGGGAATGCCTCGACTGTGGCACGGAGGTATTCTGGAGATAGTTTGGCCCATTCCTCAACCAAACATTTCATCAATGACTCTAAATTGGTATGGGGATGTGCCTGGACCTTCGATTAAAATACACCTTGAACATAATAACCGAGTGGGCTCAAATCCGGCGACGACGCTGGTCATTCTGAACAAGAAATAACCCTGCAAAATTGGCGGCACACTGGGATTTGACGACTTTTGCTTTGTGAGCCGGTACAGAGCCCTGTCGGAATGTCCAAACCTGGTTTCCAAAGTGTGTTTGGGTCCATGGAAGCACGTGTTTCTGTGAATTTCTTCTAAGTAGTATTCCCGGTTGATTTTGACTCGGGGATCCACAAGAACAAGCAAAATCTTCCCATCAGACGTGATCGCCCCAAAAATCATGACTTGTTGAGGATGAGACATTCTGTTGATCGTTCTTCCATGCTTATTGGCTTCGTCTGGGTCCCCTGTAAGCACCCGATAATTTTGCGAGTTGAATTCAGCCTCCACACTCCACGGTGAAGAGCTTCTCGTCCGTAAGCAGCGTCTTCGAATGTTCATTTTGGCGCGTGCCAGCAAGACGAGATTCGCACTTTTGCATTAGGGCTACTTTGTTCTTTTCAGATAACACGGCCGCTATTCGAACACGATACGGGGTCAGTCCAAGCTTCTTTTTCAGCATGCGCTCCATGGAAGATTTGCTCATACTGAGGTCCCAGCTCATCTTTCTCATGCTCCGGTGCGGATTTCGGCGAATTCGTTCTCTGGCGACCTTGATCCTCTCCGGAGTGATAGATCTGCAAGGTTTTCCGCTTCTCGGACGGTTTTCAAGTGTGTTAAGTATCCTTGTATCGTTTTACGGTTTTACAAACTGTTGATCGAGAGATTCCGAGAGCTTTTGCAATGCAACTGTCGCTCTTTCCTCACGTCGCCATTCGATAATGGTACCTCGGTGTTTTGAATTGACTACCATTCTAGTAAAAATGACGCTAAGAACTAGAAAACTTGGGAAAAGGGTAATTAAAACATGCTGAAAAATAAAATAATAAAAATGGTGCGCGAAAAATGCGCCAGCATCTGCCAGAAGGCTTCAAACTTGTGTTTCCATATTTTTGGGCCACCCTGTACATAAAGACAAAACTAACAGTTATTATGCAATAAGAAAACTCTGAAATAAGCATTCACTCGTTGTGAGACCATTTCGAAATTTGCTTTCGTAAATTTACCCACACAGAGCAGTCACTGAATATACATTTATAAAAATAATTCAGCGGTTTTTAATTCCAATATATGTTGACCCAAAAATTAACAGAATGAAGTGGAAATTCTTAAATGAAGTTTATTAATGTATTGCCTTTTTTTGAAATTGTCTATAGAAACAAGAAACAATATGCTTACTATAGGGTTTTCCAATTTTTTTCCAGTCTATAATTTAAAAAAAAAAAGTTGTTTTATTTTGTTTAACTTTCAAGATATATAATTTCAGTTTTATTGTTAATTAAGTTTATATGAATTAATAAATGCCGATTCTGATATTGACTCTAAAGCTTCCATCGTGCTTCTTCAATTTATTATCAGCCTGCATTTTTTTTGAAATTTTTGACGCGCATGTTTAAAATGAAATTGATTATTTTTAATCATTCACCACATAGTCAATTCTGGTAGAATGTGGTCCTTGCAGAAGCACTTGCGTATGCGTTTCTCTTAGCTTTTTGAAAGAATGGTAATTCTCAACTAATTTCGTAGAATTACACAATTTCTTGAAATTGTTTTCTTAAAAAACCGCACATTTTTTGTATATAATAAACACCTATTTTTTTGTGAACAAAAATTGTTTTGAACCCGGAATTTTTAATCTTCAATGAAATGCGCAAATCAGTTGGTTTTCACCATATTTATCTTCTTTGCTTTTCATGATAACCAACAAATTTATAGAATTTTAATCTAAACAATCTAATACAAACATTGAAAATTCTTGAAAAACTTTTCATTAGTATTAATGTCAATGGAATATTTACAGTCAAATACTCGAAAAAAATAACAAATAAACAGTAGGAATAAGTCATCACATGTGAGAAAACCGTTAACAGGAAAACAAAACGGATGAGCGTCAAGTGAATCGAATTTTGCAGCATTATTTTCAAGAGGCGACTGAGGCATTTAAATTAATATATATTAAAGAAACCCGGTCATCGAATATCGTAAAAGGTAAGTGCACATTTGGATTTAAAAAAAACGGATGCTCTCGGGATGAAAAGGAAATAAAGATATATCGTACCATTTTGAGGGAAACTGGGTAACCGTAAATGTAGGGAAAAGTGAGAATAGTCTATTTAAAGCTTAACAATTAAACAGCGCTGGTAGCCAATGGGGTCTTTTCGGTAAATGTCAGGTCGGTTAATTCAGTACCATTCATCAACAATGCGGAGGTTTCGCTATCACTGCATGAGCGGAGTCTTGGGCAATGCTTGTGTGGCGAAGAATTCTGAAATACACAATATTATTATTAGGAAATTAAACATGCATTTTATATTATTTTTCTTCGTTTTTCACATTAAAGCAAATTCTAAAACTTCACTATAATAGGAACACTTGAACGAAATTATGGGTCAAGAAACACAATTTTTCTTGTATAATATTCCGACATGCTTCCCGAGAGAGATTGATGGATCTCAAGGGCCATCGAGGGTTCACAGTAAGCTATTTACACACCAATGGTACGAATTACCAAACAAAATTTTTTGATAATGGCTTGTCAACCTTACCAACAGCAGAAACTTATACAAAGGTCCCTCGACGACGACCAATATATTTCTTAAGATTATTCAATATATCTATTGTATTAGATTTTTTTCAAATTCTTCAAATAAAATAAAGTGTATCGAGTTTTACCTTTGAAGAGACATCTTCCACCAAGCTCACGCGAGATTGCGATCTCGACAGAGGAACCTCGGATGTGCTGAAAATGTTGATACATGTCTATTTCATTCTTTTCTTGAATTACCTATTATTCAAAATTGAAGCTTTGAAGGCCGTGCAGTAATCGGAAACGTTCAATTCGAAGAAGGTGCACTCATTGCGGACAACAGCGGTGAAATCCGGAACGAAACCAATTTTTTTCTTCAAAATATACACTATTGAATTGTTTTGAAATTATATCTATTTTCTCACCTGGACTTTGAGCTCATTTGCAAATGACAAACTCGGGCTTCCCGATTTCTCTTCCTCTTCTCTAATCGCCCGAATCAATCCTTCAAGCACCTCAAGACCAATGTGTTGCCATGCTTTTGTCTCAAGCAGCATGTGCTCCTGAAAAAGTCAATTGGCTGGGACAGCTCTTGAAGGAGCGTTTATAAAAATAAAGCATAGCCGTGTTTTGCATTTCGCATCTTCTTCTCCCCTCCCCCTCCCCCTTGTTCCTCCAATGGGATTTCATTTGTTTTCCCTTCTGTTTTGTTAAGGGATTCGGAAATACGTCAATGGTCGTTTGTCAAAAAAAACGAAAATGAACAAGTTAAAACAAAAAGCACGTATTAGGAAAAGTGTTACAACACATTAATAAAAGGAAAAAAAAGACAAAAACTAACACTAATATTCACCTTTCCGACGTTGACCAGCGAGCCACCTTCCAAGAACAACACAAATTTGTCGCTGAATTCGCCGTTCGTATACAAAACAGCAGGTTGCGGTGGCGTGCGCTGCTGATTTAGGCATGAAAAATACGCATTCTCAACCTAAATATAGAAGCGTTTTTTTTTCGTTTCAAGTTGAATTTGAATGATGCTCACTCGTCGGACATTCTTTTGAACCAATTTTTCCAACACGAGTGGTGCGATATATTTGGGCGAGAAGATTGGATGGAATGTCGACAGGAATTGGACGACGACGATTTGCATTTGAACACTGATTGCGCATTTTGATTTAATGTCAACGATTTGTGGCAAATGAGCATTCTGAAAAACGATAATAAACAATTCATTTTTTTGCAAAACAGAATCTCTTTTTTTTGAAAGGCACTCATTTTATATTTGTCCCCTCCCTCATACGTATTAATAACCTTGTTGGTTTTCAATCATTAAATTGTTTATTAGAGATTATGCAAATCTCTTAAATTTATTGACATAGGAATCAGCTTGGATAACTTGGCATGATTCATATTTTTGTAAGAATTAAAATCAGCTCCAAATATTGAATTTTTGTCCTAATTTTTGCATCACTTAACCAATTATTTTCAGAGATTTTATAATTGAACAGAAATTAGTTTGAAATATGTTTGTTTGAGAATTTGATAAAATAGTGCTTGAATCTTTATAATCTCTCCTTTTGAAAAATTTCGAAAAAATAATGGATATAGCTTCATCAAAGTGTTCAACATACTAGATGGATCCATAGGACTTCAGAAAAATAGACAAATACATGGCTGATGAGGTGACGGCAATTAATAATAAAAGAGCAGCAAAATAACGACACCACGTGGAGTCGAATTTTCGAACATTGCGATTAATCGAAAACGATCCAGCATTTGAGCAACCATCGCGGACTGAATAATACGAGTTATCGCGTCCGCTGGTGCGTGCGGGAATGCTTGAAGGTCCCGGCGGTCGAAGCATTAATGATACAACGTCGGTGCGACGACGGCGTCGGCGGCAGTTGGGAGCTCACGTATGAAGAATCAAACAGACACAGATGAAACGGAAGAAAAGGGGGCGTGATGCTGTCTGAGACAAGGCAAGGCGCAAGAGCAGGCGAGGCAAAGAAAATGCTCAGCAGTCTGACGAGGCTTTTCGTCTTCATCTTATTCACACCAATCGCAAAAGATGCCCTCAAGATATGAGATTTTGGAACAACAACATACTGATGTGTGATATCGGATTTCTCGGTGAAGATACATGAGGATCAAATTGAAAAACACAAATTTGAACGAAATAAATTTTACAGAAAGTAATTTTTCTGTCTAATGTATTCAATCTCTATATTATTGTGAAACGAAATTTGCCCCGTCATTCATCACTTTTAATTAAAAAAATCAGAGCACTTAAAATTCGTAAAAAATTATGTCCTGTCAAATTATTATGGTTAAATAGGACAAAACTCAATGATAGAAATGACACCCCCAATTTTTTTCGCCAACGATTTAAATAAATATAAATATATAAATAAATAAATAAATAAATATATATATATATATAATTCCTAAGTGGTCAAAAGTCATTGTTATTTTCAAGATATTCACCAAATACAAATAGCTAATAAAATATTATTGGGACCATCCGGAGAAAGAAAAGCGGACCGTGAGAATATGCGACTTCTACGTATTAGACTTTGAAGTTTTGATTGAAGCAATAAAAATTGTCATTTGCGTCATTTAACCTCATTTTGGATCTCTTTAATTTTCCAATTTTACTTATATATATATGACTCACATTTTCATTTGTCTTTTGATTACCTATGCTAATCCTCTCAAAGCAGGTGAAAAAATTTTTGAAGTGTGAATAATAGGAAAATCTATATGCGGATAAGGTCTCAAAATTCTAAAGATCTTGAATCATTTCTCCAGGTGAAATTTTAAAAGGGTTTGCTCGTCACAAATTCCGATAGGCAATTCAATTCCAATGCGCCGAAAATTGTTTCCGCCTCAACCAAACATGACATCAATTCAAACAATATTGTTATTCCGTAGATGCTACAACTCGTTTTCATTATATTCCCATTCAATTTTTAGGTATCGACGCCGTTAAAAAAATGTAATTTGCAATTCATACTTGTACAGAAAATGCAAATATTTCGTTATTTTGCTAGCAGGAGCATATTTTTTCTTAGCATCTAGCTGACACATAAACAAATATGTTAAGGCTGCGGGTAATTTTTCACTAAAAAATGTGAGAAAATATTTAAGCGAACATCGTGTTCCTTCTCTCACGAATGGAATAATCATGATACTATTTGTCGTTCAGAAAACTCCTAATTTTCGCAAACACAAAATTAATCAACTCACCCTCTTCTTCTGTCTTTTCTTACGGTGGACATTGTCGCACACAGCGTCGGTCTCGTCAAGAATCTCGGACTGAGTTATCATTATTAATATAGGTTTGTTTTTCATTCATTTAGTAATACCTGAATGATCTCTTCAATAATGTCCTCAAGAGTAATCAATCCAACTAGTTCATAGGTTGGATCGGCGTCATCATGGCAAACGACGCGATGAACCATAGCCAAATGGTATTCTCCCTAAGAAATGTTTTGATTTTCCTCATATAAGTTTTTTTTTTATTTAATCCTCCAAATCACACCTTCTTGAACTCATCTAAAAGCACTCTCAATGGGGTATCCTCGTCCACAATGCGGAGCTGATGTTTGTAAACCGAGCAGACCTTCATCACATCCATGTTGTCATCAGGGTCCAATAGAGCCAAATCTTTGATGAAGAGCAAGTCAACAACGTTGTTGCGGTCATCTGCCATACGTAATTGTTGTTACTAATGAGGTCAGAAGCTTCTTACTCTCGTAAATTGGGATGCGTGTATAGCCGGTCTCCAGGATTTGGTTCATTGTCACGGGGGTGAGCTTCAATGTGGATTCCAACATAAACACATCCTGAATTTCAAAGTGATTATAAATTGTATTATTCGCAGCAATCCTTACTTCAATTTTGGTCATCGCATGTTTCGCTGTTTTATCAACTATTTCCAAAGCTCCCAATGCCATGCGGAAATCGTCGTTGCCCTCACAAGCATCAGTCTTCAAAATTCAATGTCATAATAAAATCATTTTTATGGTCTACCATGGTGCTCATTTTCATCATCTCAACCAATTTCTTTCGTCCCAGCGGCTGGGTCAACTCTTCTTTGAGGAAAAAGTCGAGTACCTGGAAATTTTGAGCACGTGTAACATTTATTTATTGGCAATGATTCGAACCATCGATATAACCCAAGTGATCGGATACATCAATGCGACAATCACTCTAGTCAGCGGGACTGTGTACGAACCAACTTCCAAACCGCGCCTGAAATTGGTTTGAATTTGAGCAATACAATTATAGGTGATAAAATTACTTCACGCAGATAGCTTGAGGAACGATCTCTCCGAAAATGACAATACCAATAGTCGAAGCGATAAGGGCAAATGCTCCATTTCCTTCAAGTAAGTCATCGAGCAAAAGTGAAACGGCCGAGTTCACAACAACGTTTCCTGAAGCGCAATTGTATTAAATCATGATTATTTAATATTTCCAGGACATCGATCTGAAAGTGTCAAAGAAAATCTGAGTATTTGTGATAATTTTTTTTTTCTTGATAAGAATCGTCTTGTGACTTTCATTATCGTCATATACAATGTGTGGCCTTATGTTTAAGAAAAAATGTGATGTGTACAAACCAAGGAGAAGGGTGCAGAGAAGGATATTTCCACGTTTTCGAACTGGCAAAATTCGCTCAGCGTAGTACTTTTCTCTTGGGGTACCCGATTTGATATACAATTGCAACTCGTATGGCGTCAAGGTCATCAAACCCAAGTTCAAACCGGAGAACAAACCCGATAGGCAGAGCAAACAAAACAACAATGGACACTGAAATAATAATTGAATTTCAGATCCAATTCTAAGCACCTACGGAAATGTAAAGTGGGAACATGAAATTCTTCTCGGGAACCTTTGTAGAGATAATAGTGAATGGGTCGTCGATTTGTGTATATGGCAGCTGTCTACCCATGCGCTTTCGAGCTATGCAAAGTCTATACACGTCTTCTTCATTAACAAGTCTGAAAATAAGAACGAATTAAGCGATTTTTTAAACAAATTTTCTTACTTTTCGAAAGAGGTAACTATGACTAATCTAGTTGGAGTCATAATGGTGAAGTCTGCTTCACTAAACGCTTTTTCGTTGCCGTCGCAAGATTGACTACCAGAAAATTTGAGCTGAAAATAATCTGGATTCACATTTTATTATTGTCTGAGGCTACTTTTCGAAGATGCGAAAATCCCGATCCAAAAATCACTACACGAACCAGCTCATTAGGCTTTACGATTGAGTGGCTTCTCCTAAAATATACATTATTTAGCTAGAGAATAGCTTTAGCAGATTCTACATACGAATTATAGCCAAGGAATGCTGAGTGCTTTTTTTGCTGGTAATTTTCGATACGAATTCCGGACACAGTAATCTCTTCCCTCATCTCGCGTAGCATGTCAAAGTCCTCATTGTTTAACTCAACAGTTCTGCGAACCTCACTTTTGTTCGGAAGAGGCTATAAAAGGTCATATTTAGGAATTAAAATAGATGAGTGTCCCCCCACAATTTCATAGTCAATCTATAGACGATGTCGGTATTGATAAGCGAAAACCATTTCAAAATAGCTTTAGACGACTTGACGCCGAATCCTAATAATTCAATTTTTTCCCAATAATATACAACTGATGATTCATATCTCAACGAAACAGTATTGCTCATTTTATTATACCTGGCTCATATGTGGCTAAGGTAATACGATGAGACATTTTTTCCATCTTTTTTATCTTTTGGACCCAAAATATTATTTCACAAAGGAAATATTACAAATTTATTTTTTCATTTTAAGCGAATCCGCATATAATATAATCCTATTATCATTTGAAGTATTGAGTAAAGATAATTAAAAAAAAACTCACTAAGCTCTTAACGGAAAGTGCCAAAATGCATACAGTAAACGGAACCAGAAAAGTCAGTAGACGATATGACATTCGCCAGGCTGGCTTGCGCTGAAAGTAAATAAAATTTTCTGGGTTTTGAAAGAGATCGTAAAAGGTATGACGGGTCGGGGTCGGGAGGGCAATAAATTAGAACAAGCTGAAATTGTGCAAGTGCAGAAGTCTCGGAAAGTGAATTTGTTATCAGTTTTAATCAGCCATTTATCTAGTTTTCACCATCCAAACTAAACCCCCCCCCCCCTCCTCTTTCTTTTTTAATGCGATAAATGAGGCCCGAGAATGAGGCGCACGGAAAAATTTTCGATCAAGATATGCGAAACAATGTAAAATCATCGGGATTGAACACCTGTTTCGAACGTTAAAATGAGGAATTGCAGCGGGTTTTGATAAATTTTTGATGCACAACGGCCGCGTGTGAAAGGAACCAATTTGAGGAACAACACAAAAAGACATCTTGAGCACTTCCTCATTTTGCTCAAGCGAAAAAAAGCTCAGATGCTTGGAAGTGGAAGAAGAAAATTGTTTTCCGGTGCAAAGTGTTTGGAATATAGGTGAACAATGGCCACATTAAACTTCCTTGAGCACGGAAAAGCGAATGATTTTAGGCTTAAAATATCACAACTTTCTAGCTACATACAAATTCAAGAATTTTTGTTTTAGTCAATTTTCTTTTCTCGCGAATAGCTGCCAAATAAAGCAGAAACCAAATTGAGGTCAAAAAGTGTGGGAAACTCTTATCAGTGCTCTTTAATGTATATTCTTCAAAAATTAGATGTTGCAAAAATTAAGGCCATATTTGGCTTGAAAATTTCAAAAAGAAAAAGTTTAAAAATAGTACTCATATTGATCGTCTATTCTAATGACTAATGCTCAATCTTCCCATTTTCAAACAAGAACAATGGTGAAATGGTGAGAAATCGTGGCGCAAGACTGTCAAAACAGTGAAAATATTGACGAGTCAAAGGGAAACAGCAACGTTTTTGTTAGGTGTTAGTCATAATTCTGCGGTTATTTTTATGCGTTATGTATTCCCTATTAAAAAGCTATTAAACGCAAAAAAAAATTTATTTTCAAATCGCCGAAAACTGTCTCATAATACCATCATTACGTCATACTTTCCTTTTAGTGTCATTATTGCTAAATTAACAAACACAAATCTCAAATTTCAATAAAGCAAACTAAAGCAAATACGCGCACAATGCTAACAAATCAGACAGGTACATTCGATTTCATATATATTTTTGATGTCTCACTAATTTATCAGATGAATTGATTTATCAAATGCTGATTATTTTATTAGAAACAGTAATGGTGGTGAAACGAACCGAAAACAATCGCCCTCACTTCGCTGCTGATAAAATAAAGGTGCAAATGTGTATAGTTAATTTATGATCTACACTACTAAAAATTTGCGCAGTTGATCTGGACGAATGCTGCCATCGACTAAATAGTTAGCGAATAATCTAAACTGTGATAGTGAGGGTAACGGGAGTTTATGTAAACAATGCATTAGTGTGTTGCGTTCGGCTATGACTGGGTGAAAACATCGTCCAAATGAGTATAAGAACGGCGAAAATCGTATTGGAATGAGAGGCCGACGAAATCACTTCAATGGATATGAGATTGAGCTGACAAGAAATCTCTCTCCCGCCCCCTCTCAAAGAAATTTGAAACGTACCCCAAAGATGCGGCGCCTCAGATCGACGGGTGGTGGTGGCGTCGAGTCGTCCATACTCTGAACATAGGAAGCTGAATCCTATCGACCGTAAAATCAATGAAAATTCTGAATATTGATATTTTCAATCAATATGTAATATGAGAAAATGTTAAACGCGGAAAAGCAACACATCAGAATGAATGGAGCATGGGATAAAAAAAATGTTGGCGAGCATGTGAATCAGCATCGTGGGCGTACGTGTTTTGGATCCCGCGCGCCGCGGCGCCACGCCCATTTCTAACCTTGGCAGTGTTCCAAACTATTAATAGCGATGGACCCCCTGACTGGAAAATGTTTGCGATATGTCCCACTAGAGGTTTTTGCTCGGTGCGCGACGAGAGGTTCAAATTTTGGTGCATTTTAGACGTGCATTGGAGACTTTTTGACATGACAAGGTTGATTGCTACACTGAGCGGGATTTTTGAAAAATTGAAAACTTCAAGTGTTCATCGCATTTGGCTATTTATTATTAATGCTTTACTGCATATTCGATGCCAATTTCATTCCGAAAATAAGAAAACCGAATAAGCATTTCTGACGTTAAAAACGATTCCAATTGAAAACTTTTTTTTTGAAAATTGAGCTCTTCCACTTTTGATCCTCACGAGCTCAAATATATAAATACCATTTTTGAAATGGTGAACACCTAGTACGTAAATCTTTGCTGCCAGTTTTTCTTTTTTTGCAAGGCGAAAGAGCAAATTTCAAGTGAAAAAGTGCAATTTTAAACGAAAAAGAAAAACACAAAAGGGAGCAATTTAGGGTCCGCACGCGTGGCTTTCCGGTTACCGGTGGATACACAACCACGTCGGCATCTCGTATTTCTCGAAGGGCGAAAAAAATAATCGGCAAGTAAAGGCGTTCAAAAGAAACTTACGCAAATTTGTCAACAACTTTCTTCTTTTTTTGGAGACAAAAGAAATAGGACCAACGCAACAACACACATCTCGTGAGATTTCAATGCGTAACGCCGATTTTATTTACAATAACAAACGCACAAAATCGGCATATATTTCAAGTTTTTTTTTGAAAAAATCTAGAAATGGGTTTCTTTCTGCAAGCGAACTTCGCGTTATCTGGACGATTGCCAAAGAAATGGATTAAGATATTTTTAGAAGGGAGGAAGGATGATGAAGAGATTTTGTTATCAATTTCAAAAAAAGAATATTCTCTGGTTCATATGTTCAGGGAGATTATGGAGGAAGGAGGAATTATAATTTCTGGGCAATTGCAAACTAGGCTTTTCATCGAAATGATTTGAATAAAAGGCGGCACTTTTGAAGTATGCGATATAATAGAATTTGAAATTTGAGCAATATTCATCAAAGCGGACGCATTTGTTTAGGCTCGGGTTTACTTGAATACCCAACTGATCACATGTTTTTATCAAAAGAATACCGATATTAACAGATGGTGCGTACGGGTGACCAATCAGCAACAAGCTGTCCGAACAAATTGACCAATCAGAGCCAATGAGTTGTAAATCATATGGGCGGCTGGTTACCATATGTAAAAAATCTTTTTTTTATGCGGCAGGAATTTTTGAAATATGAGAAGATCTGACATATGGGAAGGTCAAAGTTCATTTACATTGTGTGCGGAATGACAGGGGAACGAAAAAATTGAAAGAAAGTCTGTGCTTCAAAAATGGGGTGTTTACAACTCGCTACGTGCTCGAATCCGCATTTTCCTCATGCTCGATTATTTCTCGAAGAATTCTGATTTCCCATTTCCTCTCCGTGATTATCAGAATCTATTTTTACGTCGAGATTTGCAAAATTTAGAATCGAAATCGCAACGGAAGTGCATAATTTTTGAATGAGAATTTTTCTAAAAGTTCAATCGGAATTGGATATTATGCGGATGTGAAAAAACGCATGACGTGCGCATGTCTATTCCGCGATTTATTTTTATTTGATTTCTTTCCTGAGAAGCTCACGTAGGTCACAAAAAACTCAATACATCGTCGAATGGTATTAGAAAACGTCGAGTAGTAATAGGCAGACAAGAGAGAGAAAAAGAGAGTAAGCATTAGAGCAAAAGAGATGAAGAGATAGTAGTGTCCTTGCAAAACCTCAAAGCTTGCTAGAGCGCGGATGGTGGAGGGGCCCCAGAGCGCACATATGCGAAACGTGGGGCAATGAGAGATGGAGAAGCGAGAGCAAACGAATTCAAAATGCTGTGAAACCCACCGCGAGCAAGAAGCTTGGACATTGCAGCGGACCGACGAACTGGGTGGGTGGAGATGAGCAACGTCGAGTCGTTTGAAGGAATAAGGAGCGCGACCAAAAAAGAAAAAAGAATCGAGAAGAAGAAGAAGAAGAAGATGCTCCTGCCGGTGGCGCGCTCCCCCCGCAACAGGATTAGTGCGAATTGTGACCGGCGGTGATTTTGAGCTTGTCGAATGTTTATTATGTTTCGACTGCGTGCCATAGAAGAAAATCAGAATCGAGAACAATGCACTGGATTTTCAATGACATCGTTTCAGCTTTTTTTTTGAACATTGTTGCAAATAATACCCGAATAATCATTCACTGGTGTTTTGAAGAAAGCGAAGATTTGTCAAGAAAAAAAACGAAATTTTTAAATAGGATTGATTAATGTGTGCAAAATTGTATCAGTGCGTAGACAGATAAACACGATAAAAATGGAAACGTTTGAAAGTTTTCTTTTTCCAGATTCAAAAATTTTTTGACGAATTATATTTACTGAAAGGTATGCTTCCTTTGTGGCCCTACTCCGCCCCTCCCCCCATTTTATTATTAAAAATCTAAAAATCTCATTGTTCACATCTGCAGACATTCTCCGGGATATGCCACAAACGCCTGTCTCTTGTTATAGCCTGTTGTTTTATGAAACTAGCGCTGGCGGCAATTTAAACAAAGCCCTCTTACGGAAACCTCGGGCTAGTCTGGTCCCGGCATTTCAAGGCCAACGCCGATGAACACGGTTTCGTTTTCACATCCTATTCGAAACTATGCATTTTTCGGGACAGCTGCAATTCATTTGAAATTGTATTATTTGACTCTATGCCAGAATCAAAAGCCAATTTCAAATAGGGGGAAATGGAGGAAACACGCATTTTTTCAGTTCAATAGCTTACGGCTTCAATTTCCAAATGAAAAAAATAATCGCTTCGAAAATGATTAATGGCGTTTCTTTTGACGAAATTTGATATTTAGAAATTCCAGACAATTGCGAAACAATCGCAATAAAATAAATTTGTATACGAGATGACAATGTGTTAATAAACACATATGTTGCATGATATTGGCTTATTAATTCAATATTGTCGTCCAAGATCCAATTTCATCAAAAACACGGCTAAATATAATATTTTAATTAAAATTTTCGAGAAACTTCTTGGCGCGATAACAATTTAAAGCTTTAAACTGCGGTGTGGGGTAAACAATGCATGGAAAAATTTTTGATTCGAATATTAATCATCCAGATCACTTTCCTCTGTCTCGCCAGATTCTTCGCGAATATACGGCGCCGTGCGTGAGCGTCTTCGTCTATTACTGCAAAAATTATATAAATTGAACAAGAAAATATCGAGAATGAAAAGTGCAAGAGCAGCGAAACTCACTCAAACTGGCTCAAATCAAATCCACCGAACGCTCCAAGAGTTGGCGCCCGTGGCCGAGTTGGTCCCTCAGTTCTCTCACGTTCTCTCTGTTCTTCCCGTTTTGTCATCCAAAGGTCGAAACCGCTAAGGCCCGCCGTGTCCGACGCGGTACGCGTACGCAATTTCATTTTCTGCAAAATGCGTTGTCGTCTTTTTAGATTCCTCTTCAAAAACTTTGTTTCCCTACTCCCTCTACCCTCTCATCTTCTTTCAATGGGAAAATGAAAAGAAATAAAATTAAAGCTAAACGTGTTCAACATACGTCACTCTTCCGATCATGTTTCCTGAATGAATCCCGAATACCGGATGCGAATTGGATGCGCTGTTTGGGAGGTGCCGGGAATGAGCACACCAGCATGCGAATCACAGGCTCAATATCCTGTGACAAACTAGTTCATCTCAAATCAATCATAACTCGCTTACCCGGAATATCAAATGGCCAGGACCGTGATATCTTTCATTGTGGATTCCTTCAAGCTTGTCCTCCACCGAATTAATAATATTGAAGAAAACTTTGTACAATTGGGCGTAAATTGAAGTATTTACGATAGAAATCAAAGCGAGGCCCAAAAGGAATGCCGCTGATAGAAACGGTGAATACTGAAAGAATTTTCACTACTTTATTGAACATAAAATTGAGCAGATGGTTTGAAAGCGAAACATTTATGAAGTGGCACACCTGCTGTATTTGTGTTATTTGAGAAAAAAAACAGTTTTACTTTTAAAACAAAAAAGCCATCAAATTTTATGCGCTCTTGTATTGTTTGTATTCGAAACATGTCACCTTGTTGAGAGTTCTCGTATGTGTGTGTGGCTAAGACGAACACTTTTCAAACCACGATCTTTCTCCAACTATTGTTGATTTATGACAATCTCACATGTCAACTAGAGCACTGCGATAAATCGCAACGAATTTTCAAAATAAAAGAGTTTGAAATTTCTAATGTACAAAGTTTGAAAATCATTATTTATTCTGAGAAACTGTCGAATGCTTATCAGCTATTATCAATTTTTATTGAATTTTACATTTACCTGTATATTATAAGGCATGACGTCACCAAGGCCAATAGTCGTCAAACTAATGAAAGTGAAATAAAATGCATCAAACATTCCAATTCCTAAGAGAAGAGAAGTCGATTTATTTCAAATATTCTCGAGCTTTTCATGGAACCTGGTTTATTTCCCTCGTTATGATCAAACATCTTGATGGTTAATGTGCATATCAGAATGTAGCCGAGGACAAGAAAAAGGGCAATCCACATAGGAAGCACAATATCAGTTTTGTCTCCTTTCAATTTCTGTTTTCGAAGTGATCTGAAATTGAAGCTACCGATTCTTAAATAAATAATATATTGATTCTTACTTGTACTTTAACAATATGAACACGTATCCTTGCGTCAACACTTTCTGAAACCATTCGCCAATATCTCCGAGCACCACTAGCATTATTGGAAGACCGAAAGAAGCATAGACAATTGATAGACATTTCCCAGTAACGGTTTGACAGGAAATTGTACCTATGTAATCTTATTTAAAAGCCACAACCACTTGGTTACCGTATCCGATTGTCGAAAAAAGAGTCATTGAATAGAAAGTAGCTGACGAGAAATACCACATCAGGTGCATGTCGAGATTTTCCGCTTTGTGCCACACACTACCATGAAACCGTCCCTCGGCTTCAAGCATTGTTTTATAATACCTCTGCATGTCTCAATGGATGTGTATAACAAATGAAAATCGCACGTTGAATATACCTTTATAATTTTACTCAGCTGATTTGTCCGATCTGTTCCATTTGTGCTTAAAGTCACATTGATCACATCATTAACTTCCTCATTGATGATTCCTTGCATTAATATAATTGTCTCTTTTAAATCCTAAAATAAAAGTTTCATTAAATACAAAGTAAAGTAAAAAAAAGAACCTCGAGCTCTCTGGGAGATTCCAGTTTTTCAAAGATCAGCCCTCCGAGAAACACGTATCCAACTAACAAACTTATTAAAGTGATGTGTCTGATTCCAAATTTGTGATGATAATATGCCAACCATGCGAACAAGCGTGTTATTTCTAAAAATCCATATTAAATTTTCGTAAAATTGAAAAATGCCCAACTTTGCCTTTTTATTTCCCTTTTCCTCAATTTGTATTTTTTCTTATCAAATTCGAAATGAAAGCCGAATGGAGACATATCTTGTACGTCGCCCATATGAGTGTCAATTTTAAGAACAATGCAGTTGTCCCGCTCCTGAAATTCCATTATAGATCTTGTGTGCAATCCTTATATAATCTCACTTTAATATGATTTCGAACAATACGGTTGCGAGCTTGTAACTCATTTTCTTCTGAAATGTTTCATGATTTGATCAATTTCTTCAATTCTTTTAATTATCATCAGCAATACAATAAATCACATTTCAATATAATTAGCAGAGACGCCAATAAATTTAGTGATAAACAAGCGGTACATAACATTGCTCGGTTGGTTTTTGAACCCGTGTGGCATCATCAGATCAAACCACCATACTGGTTACAGGGGCTTAATATTTAGAAAAGAAAATTGAAACTATATTTACCAAATGGATAGAGGGCTTTTAAGAAAACTAATTACCGTTGTCGGAGTCGAAATGACTTGGCGAAATTTAAAAAAAATTATTGGCTATGTGACAATGCGTTTCGAGTCAGCGAGAAGTACGCGAGATTGCGTACATTGCATTATAGTGTACGCGCATTTAATATTCAGTCAACGAAAAATTTAAATCTGCACTGATTTCGCGAATCTGAAGGCTCTACCTCCCTTCAGTCGTTTGACGCCGACAATACAATTATACTAATTTATTATTTAAATCAAATTGCCAATAATTTGCTATTAATATTCCTTCTTTATCGTACTGACATACCTCAAATTTCAACAAGGTTCGAATGTTAGGAGCAATAAAACATTTTATCAAATTAATATTCAGTCTGTAGTCTTTGACCTAAACAAGAGATAATTACAAATGTCACTCATCTCAAAAGTATGAGGAAGATATTTCTAGTCTATCTGTGAAGTTATCATAATGATGGACGAATGACTCGGTTGAATAGATAAATGTCGCACTCAAAATGCACCTAACAATTAGGATGAAGCTTTCAGAAAGGTGGTCAGATACTGTACGAGTTTTGATCCAGATTATGAAAAACTTTTTTCGCGGATTTATCAAATGTATTAATTATAAACTGATTTACAACAATGAAATAGTTTTTAGATTTCAGACTTTGAAAATCTGAACTTTCTAGTACGGTTTTGAATTCAGTTTTAATAAGTATTCTATTTTCAAATCTTTGAAGAGCTCCAATTGTCCCCATGAAACTGAGAAAAATCTAATTTTCACAAAAATAAAAAGAAACAACATTTCCAATGTATACTGTAGTTTTTTTTTTCAAGTAAACCCCGATATTACTTAGAGCAGCATTCCAGCAATAAGTTGGTGATTTCACGTTTAAACGGCTATTAATTTTTTATAGCTTCTTCAATGATAACCAATCATTCCACGTAATACCGTAATTTGTAGAGTTTTACAGTAAAATTAAATAAGAAGTAAGAATGATTTTAACTCACTGATGTCAATATCCATTGCCGGCAGTTATAAGTATAGGAAGGATAAGAAGCAACGGTGTCTCGATCTGTGCACAGAGCTGTCAACTAGACGACGCAACTCCTCACGCGGTGCGACACACTCAAATCAAGGCGTGCGCTTCTTTGTGCCTCCGAACTCACGCTGAACGCAACTCACTGATAGAGTTGCGCTCCATTAGGTAGTTTTACGACACCCGTTTAATGTTTATTCCCCCCATGAAATAGTGTGTGCAATAAACTTTCTAATGAAGGCGGCGCTATGCGCAATTTTTATCAATCCAAACTCGCATCGATTCGTAATTCGCCTTATTTATGATCGTAAACCGGAGGCAAAAATCTAACTTCAATATTTCATCATGATAATTTGATCTTTGCTATTAATTAGCGATAAAAAACCATCCTCTTTTATCAATTACTACTGTGCATTAAAAATGCGACTTTTGTCGCATTATATGTGCGATAATTCCTTAAAACGACACATTAAAATAAACGTGTTGAATTAAATTTGTAAGAATGATGAAGAGTGCAATAAATATATTATTAAGAGCCGCGGCACTTTGAGAAACATCCCGTCTGTTTATTCTTTTCGCGTTGCGACAAAACAACGCCAGTTGAACGAATTTCCACATCTTCAACCGCCATCAACTCTCTGAAGAATGCTTTCGAAATAATGAATATCTGGACAGGAAAATTGGAATACCTCGTCAAAGCCAGCATGGTGTTATCAATATTGCTGCCATCCAGCGCACTAGTTTCCATAAAAAGAACACCCATTGCCTGGAAAAAAATTAGTCGACATAATTTTTTGATGCAAAAATTGTAATAAAAAATCGGGCTCTCCAACAAAACAATATTCAGAAAAATGTTGTGGAATTGTTTCTCACAAAAATTTTGAAGAATTTCAATAAAATTTCCATTTTTGGTGGGGAAAAAAAAACTCATACCGCCGCCATCGAAGCGCCGTCCGATTTCGTCACCGCGCCCAATTCGGCAACCCGCAAATCGATTTTGTTCCCAACTAATATGATGGGAATGCAGCGCTCCACCGATTCTTTGATCGTATCAATCCAATCGCGAACGCGCAAAAATGAGTGCTCCGACGTGACATCATACACAAGAATGGCGCCATCAGCGCGCCGAAAATATGATTTACAAAGCGAGCGGAATCTGGGAATTTCAATTCTGTTGAGTAATAATGTTGCAATACCTTTCCTGTCCCGCCGTATCCCATAATTGCAATGCAACATTGTGCCCGTCAACATTGACGGTTTTCACATGAAAATCGACTCCAAGTGTGCTTGGGAGCTGATTACTAAACTGCCGGCGAATCACTCTCATTACAAAACTGCTTTTTCCAACAGCGGCATCCCCACACATAACAATACGAAATGTTCGCTCCGCTGGTCCGTTGGCTTCATGAATACCCTAAATATTTTTTTTGAAAAACTTCAAACAAGCCCGCCCCCACAATTAAATCATCAATAGGGCTCAGCTTAGTATCGTTTAATGACGAACTGTCATCAAGCATTATTGATGTCTCAGGTGCTGGAAAATGTTAATTGTGAAAAAAACTAAAGTAATTTACTACTATCATCCAAAGAAATCGCATGCAGAGCCACTGGATGAAACATTTTTGATGGCGATGAAAATGCAGAATTAACTGATTGAAAATTTTCCATCGAATTTCTGTTTGAGCTCACTAATCCCGGAGATGGAGTACGCTGAGAAGAATGCCATTTTGAAAATAAAGTAATAACAGGAAAATGATAATACTAGATTGAACTCCCTAATAACTGAAGCACGATTGTCCAATGCATTTCGGAGGCTTTCATTTGTCTCATGAAGTTTTCTATTAGCATCGCTAAAAATCATATATTTTTTTTTACTCCGTTCATAAATTCATTACAATAACAGCTGCAATTGCTTCTGCATTGTTTCACTTTCTTCTTCAGCACTATGAATTTGTCCTTTTCTTGCCAACAACTCATCATTCTTATAATCATATTCGGCTCTTATCTGTGCCAGCTCGCTTTTAATCAAAGCCAGCTCCAAATGGTTCTCAGCAAGGTTCTTGCGAAGATCCGAGTTTTCCTCGCTAACTTCCTGAAACAACATTAAACATTTCTTATATGGCTTTTAAAAATTCACTCTAAGCTTTTCGTTAAGCTTCTTCTGCAAACTCAATTTCTCATTTTCTTTCTCAAGAACGTGCTCCATCTTTTGCAAACGCTCAATATTAGCTCGCATCTCCTTCATCTCTTCGGTCAACTGATTTCTCATTTCTTCCTTCTCCTTAGTTAATCTCTCACGTTCCTATAGTAATAATCAAGTCGTCTCTATTTAGAATTCTAGAGATCAATATAACCTCCTGTCTTGCTTTCATTTCCACTATTTCCAGCTGCTGATCAATTTCACTTTCGACTTCTTCAAGCCGTCGGTTATACATATCCCGTTCGCTGCACAATTAAAACAGATAAAATAAGTGGATTAAAATCATACTTTGTATAAATATGATGAAGCCTTTCATTTTCATTTTTTCGCTCTTTTATTTCATTGCAAAATGATCCAACAATCTGAAATAAAAATGCAATGCTAATTGTTTTCGAATTTTGAAATTTCTGCCAACCTTCTCAAATTTGCGCAACAACTGCGGCATTCCTGTGGATTGGAGCTGCTCATAAAGCATTAAAACTTCCTCTTGGCTGAAATTCAAGAATTTTCTCAATTCAATCAGCGATTTCTGCCAACCATGGAACACTGAAGTCGATATTCACATTGGTATCCGATTCCGAATTATAGACTTCTTCTTCCAAATTTAATAAATATGGCCTTTTGGTAGATTCCCCTTCACTATCAAACACTTGTTCGTTTCTTTGTGGTGGTGGCAAATCGTCAAAGTGAACTGAAGCTCGTCTCTGCATTCCATTTAAACCAGCAATTGAAAAATTGGAAAAACTTTGCCTAATATTTAAATTTACCATTATTTTCTCCCTTGCTGACGGCTGCTTCAAAACCTTTGCAAAATTCCATTTTCTCGATTCTTCCTGAACCATCGGCATCCAATTGATTGAAAATGAATGAAATATCCTGTAATAAATTTTGTGTCATTTGCCATGAAAAAATATATAATCACATTGTCGTCCAGCTGCGGACAAATTCGTTTCAAATCTTCAACTGTCAAATAGCCCTTCGATTCCGAATCGCACATTGAGAATAAGTGTTCAACATCGGGATTCCACATTTTAATCGCTGAAATCAATACAGATGGAAATGCCAACAAAAAAATATGTATATAAACGTGGCAATAATACGGTCAATCATACGAAAAGCGAAGAATCAGCAAAAAAGGAAATACACGGATGAAAACAAATAATAAATTTTGAATCGCTCTCCACCCCCCCCTCACAAAAAATTGAAATGTGAAATGTGTATCGACGAATTTTCGACTAGCTTTGTTGTGGCCAATAAATCGATAGGCGACTGTGGGTGTTTTGTATGCGACCGATGAGATTTTCGCGGCAAAAATGGCCAACAATTTTTTTGAGCGAAAAAAAATAATAGGGCTTTGTTTCAAAAACGGCAAGAGTAATACAAACAAGAAAATGCCACGTGGATGAGAATGCAAATCAAAATTTCATGGTTAAAAGAAACAAATAATTTAACAATTCTCTCAATTTTTAAGAGCCTAAAAATTTCCATATACTGTTTTATGCAGCAAAAAAACACGTGAGGTTTCAAAAATAGGATTTTCATAAATGTTCTATGTTAATGAGATTTTCGATGAAATGGCCTAACAAAATTAAAAATCTGTAAGAATAGATTCTGTTTCTGATTTATAACCTACAATGCATTTTGGTAATGTCATATCGCATGTGTGGAATGCATTTTAACTTTTATCGGTATAATAATACATTAAATATAACATAAAGCTATGCAAGACAGAAAACGAAAACTTTTGTTTCAGAAAAAAAAGAGAAATTTACTAATAAAAATTAAATATTTAAGAATGTTTCATCTCTGATCTTTTAAAATACAGTAACTTTTTAGGACAAATCAGTTCTACTCATGAAATTAACTAAACGTATAATTTTAATTTATTCAAATTTCAATCTTCAATTTTTCTTTCAAATCGTCCCTCAAATATTTTTCACAAATTATTTCATCAAAATTTGGTGTGACATCGATATGAAACAACAATTCCCGCAAACTCTCACACAAATTTGTCTATTCATAAAACAATTGGTAATTGTCCTTTATTTTCATAATTAGAACTGACTCACACTGTCACAAATAGTCCCAAAAAAGGGGGGAGTGAAATTAAAATTGAAATATTATATTTTTTTGTATGAGACTGTGCTCGATGTTAAACAATTGCGATGCGTTTGTGTATGAAAGTCGGAACAAAAAAATATAAAGTTTCGTTCGCAGGGCGTGTTCAATGGGTTGTGTGATCAGCTGCGGAATTGTTCCTGCACGAGAAGTATGAAATATTGAACATAAATGGAGATATTTCGAAATCGTTACATTATGAAAAAAAATTATTTAAAAGCGTAGAATGGCTTTGGAACATAATTGATTATGCATTAAAGCTCCTGAATAGAGTAAATAACAATACGCCAAATATTAAATTTCCTAAAATTATAAATTCTTAAATTGTTATGTTGGTGATATAATAAATGGAAGTTCGATTATTAAGAAAAAGTATTTTTAAATTGCTAGCAAATCATTTCCAGATGTAATTTTAAAATATTTTCAGATTAGTAATATTATTTGGATGAATATTGTCGAATTACATTTTCAATTTGGTTCCTCAGAAAAAAAACACATTTTGAAAAATGTTCCAATTGGAACATGAAACCCTGACCACATACCCCATTCTTCTTAAAAAACTGCCATGGTGATTTCCATAGTAACAATAAATTATTTTTAATAATTCTGAGCAACACTACATACATACAGTTTGTTTTCTAATGTACTTTTCTCACAAATCGACCCCCCGATAATATTGTCTAACATTTCATTTCATTCATTTCATTTCACCGTCATAACTCATCATAATAAAAGTATGAAGACGCAACAATGGGACATCGTAAAACTTGCCGGCTTATTTTAATGGGACCTGATGAACCGTCGAGTCAACAGCGGCCCTTCTTTTATTCAAAAAAAAAGAGCCGCGCTTGAATGGGGGGAGACAGTCGTTTACCTGGTGCTCATTGTGTCAATTGCTATTGTCGGGATGCGTTTGCATGTGTGCGATTGCGCAACAATCGCGCGTTATGACACAAAAATTGGCTTCCGCATATCCGAATGTAATCTAGAATGTCATTAGTGTCAGATTACTGGCGCCATTTTTTGAAGACCATATCGAGATCAGAAACCCATATGTGCTCAATAATTAATTGCAATATAATTCAATTGTTTGCCGAAATTGTCAGCATATAGAAAACATTTTTTTTTAATTGTCAACATTTTCTCACAAAATTATTACATATTCCAAAATGTTGCTTATTATGCACATTTTATACGAACTTTATAGTTTATTTCTCGCCTTAATCCATTTGATAAAGTGGAAAAATGTTTCATTCCAATATCGTAAAAAAAACAATTGATATAGTTTGAGCTTAACTCATTACACAACTACCCTTTTCGTTGACGTAGATTTGATAATTTCGCTCTCATTGCAGCTGCTCGCCACCTGATAATGGGTTGACAGTTTTCGCGTTTTGATAACTAGGACCTTATTATGTTTTCAACGCGTTTACCCATTTCTCACTTCATATCTATAATTTTTGTTTCTGGGTGAAGAGGCTCATTCACCCGCCCCCCCCCCACCCTTCGGAAAAAAATGACCATGGTTAAATTGGAGTCAATTCTCACATAACGATTCCAAATAAATGTTCACACTTCACTCCATAAAATCCCTCGTCGCTATATATAATTAACCATCGGTGAGAGCACCCTCTACCAAAGCAGTGAATGTGTCGAATACCTAACAATTACAGTACAAATATTGCCCTCGACACATTTTTTTTTTCGGTTCTAATGAAATTTCGCTGGCATGTAAAGGACGTTCAGCTAGTTAATTCACTGCCAAAACACATGTTTCAAAGTCATCAGAGGCGCTGTTTTTTTGTACTACTAAACACACAAACACATAGTGTCGAATGGTTATTAGCTACGTATAAATTTCGCATCAATCATTCTCATTAGTTCCATGTCCTTGAATGAACACACACACACGATATTAGCGTTGTGCAAATCACCCCAATATAATTTTTTTTCACTTCATTTCAAATCCTACTCGCTGTTTTACCATATTTTTTCCCCAAATAAACGATTAATTCGATCCGATTTCATCCATTTTCGCGCAACAATGATCAGCGTAGTGTGAAAAAATCGCGTGAAGAAGTAGCGGTTGACGTTAATGGACAACGGAATTAGGGTGCGAAGTGGAAAACGATACAGTTACAAAATGCATTAATGCTAATTCAATAATTTTGTTCAATTTTAAAATAATGATGATGATGACGATGATGGTGATGGTACACCAAAGCTTCTTAATAGCGGTTGAACAAAATCTGTTCATTTTCAAGTCAATTATAGGGTATTTATTATGTATAATGTGAGAAGTGGAGAGTCAAGTATTCGCACTTGAAAGGGAATTATTATTATTACTAAGGTTAACTGAGAAAATTGCGGTGATTCTGAAAAGCCTAAAATTTCAATAAGCAAAATTTTCAAAGCAATATCATAAATTCAATTTCAGCAGCTATTCTTATAATGGTTTTAGTTCATTGTCAATTTTGACACTGATTCCACGGAAATGTCAAAGTTGGAAAAAATTGGCAGCTGCGTACGATACGCTCATAAAATTTTCGATTTTATTTGTAATGACTTGTCGGGATTTGGGTCTAGATAGCACCTTACCGTGATCATTATCTTTAACATCCATTTACTGGATATATATATATATATATCAGAAGGACAGGTGGAACATAATTGGTCTTTTTAAGGTATTCGATGCCGTTCAGATTTGGGTTCCTTGATGCCAAAGTTATTAGTGGTTTTGTCTACGGAGTCAGCCTTGTTGTTTTCATTCAACCACCTGCACAAAACCATTAAGTTTGGTGGACTTAATTGTTGGAAGATCTCGAAAATTATTGAAACGTAATTGACATGACCATGTTCGTTCGTTACCCAATGAAAGCATCCAATGTCACGATGTCAATTCTTCCGAATAACACCACCAACCACCCAACCTAACCCAGGCCTTCTCGTTCTCAATTGCCACCTAATTTATATATGTCTCTTGTGCGTGTGTGTCGCGACACCGCCGTGACTCCGCCCCCATTCCCTTCGCTTCGGTCGCGCACGCGTTAACTTGTCTTATAGTCCCACCAGCCAATCAACGTTTTCCTGCCGTGCGTTTGTTTCACTCACATTCATATCGCGCCCGATTAACGCACGTTTAAATCTATTTGGATTACTGTAGAGGTTGTCGAAATGTCGCTTCTCGATCCCCGCCAATTCTTGATGCCGGCGTTTTATCTCGATCCGGCGACACAAGCGCTTCTTGCTCAAGTCTCGAATCAAACAGCCACGCATCCCAACAAACTTGTTGGACTTCCGGCATCATCGTTTCGAATTTCCGATTTGTTGGAAACATCGCACAATACGTCATCTGAATCAGGTAAGAGTCTAAACGAGTTAACCATCCTAAATGTCACTCAAAATCGCACTCAACCATTACATACAAATTCTATTTTTTTACAGACCCCTCACCAGTGTCAATTAAATCCGAGTCCTCAACACCGCCACGACCACATAGTCCATATACAGAACGATCAAATACTGGAAGCCCGAGCATGTCGGGAGGATCTAAGAAAGCTAGAAAGGCGCGAACAATCTTTACTGACAAGCAGCTCCAAGAGCTCGAGAACACGTTTGAGAAGCACAAATATCTTTCTGTGCAGGATCGAATGGAACTGGCTCATCGCATGGGTCTTACTGACACCCAAGTCAAGACTTGGTATCAAAACAGAAGGTATGCTAGCATTATTTTTTTCCGAAAAATATTTAATTTAATATGAGCGTAATAAGCGTTGAGATACATTCATCAAGGGTGGTATGTCATCCAATTATCGGCGCGGCATCCTCTAGATCTTGTCATCATATATGCTCAAATTAATAAGTCGCCCATTGCTCTCAATTTTTCGGGCCCGTCCGCGGCCACCCATTGCAATAATACATGCTCGCTTCACATTTCCTAATTATTTGTGTTCGCTATGAATATTTGATATACACCTCTCTATAGTGTTTAGAGCAGATGAGTTGCGAATCCACATCATTCATGGGAGGCGATGCATTCGGAATCGGAGTTAATCCCATTGTCGCTTCCTGGGTGGTTTAATACTCCGGCTGGTCTAGTCTCAATAATTACCGTTTTGCTTGTACGCTTGTATATTAATAACGGTTGCCATCATACGGTAGCCATGATACTTGGAATCCACTTAAAGGCGGGCTTAATATCTTATAATAATAATTACACATGAAGCGGTTCCAATTAGAAGGTAGTAAGGCGTCAATTAATAAGATATTCCTTTCAGAACCAAGTGGAAGAGACAAGCGACTACCGGAATGGATCTTCTTGCCGAGCCCGGAAACCTTGCCGCAGTTCAAAACCTCATCCGGAATAATTCCTACTGGACCAGTTATCTCCCAAACCTTCCCATTGTCCCAATGGGAATGCCAATTCCAATGATAGTGCCGCCCGCTCAGAATTTCCAATCAATTTCATCCCCATCAACAAACAGCAACAAATCCTCATCGCCACCATTAGACGTATCAGCAAATGACTAAATATCATAAATGTTTGTAAATATCGATCTCAATGGGTTAGTCTTTGCTGTTACTTCATATCATTTTTCTTGTATGTTAGGTATCAAAACGTTTCCTCTTTAAAAAAATTTGTATTGTATATCTGTTCTGTCATGTGAAATCTGAACCGTCATTGGGACCTTTATTAATAAATTAGTTGAATGCAATTATCGCGCAAATGTTTTATTTGAAAACAATAAAAATGCGCAATCTGAAAGCCGCCAGGTGTTCGAAGACTTTGCTGCCTTCCCCTCTCTGATGGCGCAACAGTACTGGCTAGATTTTTATCTGAACATCATTGACGAACGCTCGTTAACACTTCACCTGTTGTGGGTGTTTGAAAATGAAAACGGTTTGATATATGCGAAACAAGTTGAAGGACACATTAACCATGCACTACTATTTTTTTATTTGAATTAACTCTTCTCTTCCTCTATTGTGTGGTTTTTGATGGTGAGGGGTGTCAATAAACATCTTTACATACAATGAATAATTGACATGGGTATAATTATACATTACCGTTTTGTTTTGTGTTGGGGAGAGGGGGATTGCATTAAATATCAAATTTATTACCATTTCTACCGTAACCTTCCCCCCACCCCTTCAAATTGGTTAGTTAGTTTGGTTCGTTATGTGGTTAGTTAACATGGTACATAAATTAGTCTTGTTGGTGTCAGTGAAGCGGAAGAATGCGTGTTACATCAAGACAAACACTGACAGACAATTACAATTATCTCATTTGCAACAATCCGTGCACACATTTGGCACAAATTTTTGAGACAAAAATGTCACCCCTTCTTCAATTTTACAGAATTGACGACATTTGGTTTAATCTTTAACCGATATTGGTTGGCAGTAAATATATAGACCGGAGCGCGCGCCAATAAAATTTTAAAACCAATCCCGATACGCTGAGGCAAATAATAATTAGTTGGCAAGTGGTGGGGGGGGGATGAACCCTTCAGCCGACAATAAAAGCTGTCCCCGCGCATAATATTATTATTGTTATTATATGATTATCTCTTGCATGTTCACATTAAGTGCTGTAATCGTCGATTGAAACTATAAAAATTAATAATCATGAGATTTCTTGTTGAAAAGAATGACCATCAGGTCCACAAACGCTTTATTATTTGTATTTTGTTGAATTAATGGAATCCACGTGGATAAACGTCATTAAGGTGATTCGAATGTTCTGAACTTAAACCTTATCTCGCAAATATTACATTTTAGAATTCGATTTACAATTTTGAAGTTTAGTTTTTTAGTGCTTTCAATGGTAAAAAAAAATGTTGCAAATGTCAGATGTCAAAGATATAAGCATGTCAATTACGCATTCTAATGTCCAGGTGTGTCATCCTTTTGAAATTGCAACCGATCCTGTCCACTTGACAATAACCAACCAGCTCTTCTCGTAGCGATGCTCATTATTACGCCGATTTGTTCACTGATCCGTCCAAATCTCGTGTTCAACAATCAACTTGAATGTATCATTATACCAATAAACAGATTACACCGGAATTAAGCATGTAAAGGTCAATTCGATGGCGAGTTTGACACCTGGCCCCATCATTATTGTTTTGTTCCGAATTCGAATTACACACACTACTGCGGTTTTCAATTCAACGATGGCGGCAGCAGTAGCATGGAGCACAGCTGGTTGGCTCAATTTTTAAATTCCCATATTTAACAAAGATCCTATCAATTATTCTTATATCATTGCGCGGCCTTGTGTGAAATTGTATTCAGACGGATTCAATTCAGCAAAATGACTAATTATTTGACAAACAAAACGCATTCAACCTGAAAATGTAGAAGGGGAGCTCGCCTATAATGACCAAACTTTTTTTCCCATCGCTTTCTTCCAGAGTGCTCCTTACATATTCTTTGAACGACACCATTGTTCTCCAATTTTCCGACATGAGGCGCTTGAATAGGAAAAAAGTTGAAGAGCAGCCAGGCACCGGTCATAAACTCTAGCAAAATGAGTTTAACCTACCGTATACCCAGAAGCTCGCCGCAAGAAAAAAAGTGCGGTTCTGGGCTCTTCCCTCCTCGCAGACATTTCATTTTTCCTCATCAAGTTTTATTTCATGAACACATCATAATTAGGAAGGAAACCAATACCAAACTATGGTACTTGATCCCATTTGTCCGAAATAGTAGTAACGCGGTGTCAGACAATTAAAGGAGTTGAATGACAAACTGTGAAGAAACGATTCGGAGGGGGTGGTGAGGTTATAAAGGAAGTGAAGGCAATACCAGAAAATTGCAATACTGCAAATAATTGACGAATTATGAGCGCCTGAATTGATGTTACCGGCGACAATTTGAATGGCGAAACAACGTTTTCCTCGCTCTCTCCCTCTCGATTCCGATTCCGATTCAGCTTTTTTTGCGTTGTGTTCTCAATTATCCGTAAAATATAGCAATTTATTAAATGGATCATGAATAAAAGACGGAAAAAAAAACTGGAGGCTGACAAACTTAATGAGATCAATTAGCTTATATATGTTTTGCATTGTATATCAGAGGTGTTTACAAAAGGATGGGGAGGAGCTGCGAATGAGAAGAAGTTCGGGGAGAAGGAGGGCGTTGCAATGCTGACACATTAAAGCATTTCGAAACCGGATTTTGGTTGAAAATTGTATAAATTAATTATCTTGCTCTTGGGTGGGCTCAGGGGTTTCAGGCTTGCTGCTATCCTGAGTTGGAGAACCTTCTTCTTTTGCCTGGTTTGCTAGAAGGGTGAACAATGAGAGCTGGGAATTGGGACTTTGAACAACCGAAGGAAGGACCATTGAATTTAGAAATGCACCATTACAGGCTCCTGGAAGAAGGCCTCCTGGCTGATTAAGGTAGTTGGCCCAGTATGAATTGGATCGCAGCAATTGTTGAACCGCAGCCATATTTGAGGCATCATGAAGGAGATCCATGCCAACGGAAGCTTGCCGTTTCCACTTGGTCCTGAAATACAATTTTTTTACTCAATTCATTGGGAATCCAATTTGGAAAATTGGTGGATGACAGGGTGTGAAAACGAGGTTGCCCCGGAAAAAAAAATTAATCATGATGGTTCTTTTCCACGGTGCTCGGCTAAATCAAATTGCACACTTTTATTTTGCCGGGGAAAATTGAGTGGTGCGCACGAGATTGAAGGAAGATGGACGAAAAAAGGGAGGTCGGAGTTTGATTAAGATAAATTTCGATGCGCCGCGCTAATGCACTACAATTAGCACAAAGTGGCGTGTTTAGACTCAATTCGCGCGGGCTCATCCGGTAGCAGCTTTTCTTGCAGAAAAACAAAAGACGGACCTTCGATTTTGGTACCACGTTTTGACTTGGGTGTCCGTCAAACCCATTCGATGAGCGAGTTCCATACGATCCTGAACGGAAAGGTACTTCTGCTTCTCAAAGGTGTTTTCGAGCTCTTGGAGTTGCTTGTCGGTGAAAATTGTGCGCGCCTTTCGGGCCTTCTTTGATCCCATCATTCCGGGACTCCCGGAGCAATTACGCTCAATGCCGGGACTCGTTGTTCTTGGTGATGACGGCGATTCCGATGTGTTCGAGCGTTGCGAATTATCTGTAATAATGGCAGTTTATGAACACGCTGCTAATGAACAAACAAAGAGCATTGAGGTATAATTGGATGACCCTCTACATTTTTCCACCTACAATTGCACTGTACACCTATCCATTAGAGCGTTAATCCGCCAACGCTAAACTATGATTTTCCACACGAATTCAACTCAAATTGGACGATATTTGTACGGGGGCACACGTGCACGCGTAAAAAAAACATTAGAGTACGGTTGGATGAAGTTTTGATGGTCATCCCATTTATCGAGAACTATTATAACATATAATTGTAATAAATATCCAACCTGAGGTGTTTGTTGATGGCTCGAGAAGATCGGAGATTCGAAACGAATTGTTCAGCGTCATTTTGCCGCCGGCGTTACCGTATTGAGCTGATGCTTGTGCGAGAAGCGCCTGCGTCGTCGGGTCCAAATAAAGTGCGGGAAGCAAAAATTGGCGGGGATCCAACAGCGACATTCCGATGATTTCGAAGATTTGTCGGCGAAGTGTCTTGAATAATACCAATAATTCTTTTCCCAAAAACCGCTACCGTATTAGCAATGATGGGGGGCAAAGTGTTGGCGTAAATGAGATGGGGTGTCTATCCATTCACTAAACGCCACAAACTCGTTGATTGGTCGCGACCCGCCCAGTTATGGGCGGAGTCGGCGCAAGAATAGAATTGAGAAGCAATGACTGCGCGAATTTGTAGACCTTCTGCCTACTAGTGAAGCGTTGAACCATAACTAATTAAACATACAAGCATGTTAGACGAGATGTGATTGACACCTCATTTGGGTATATTTGATTTCCTGTTTAGGTTGGGTATCAAGATGTTTGAAACAGATGACGCAAATACGTCTTACTTCATAAATGTTAGAAGTGTTTGAAAGATACTCCAAGGTAATTAGGAAAAAATTCAATTAAGTAGTTTTGCATTGACAAGAGATTTGAAAAACGGGAATATACCTTCAAAAAAGTATCGCCAGAAAAAACTTTTAATTTTGCAGCAAAAATTGCAAGACGTGTTAAAATGTTTCCAAATTATTTAAATGTTTGAGTTTTGCTATATGTGGTTGAATATTCCAAAAAAAAGTATACTGCCGTATATATTGTATTTTAATATGTTCAAAAATATACTTCAAAATTTTAACATGTGGCTTCAACATTGGAATGAAAGATAAAAATCGGCGATTTATGTATAATAATGAAATTCTTCAAAAAATTTTCTTACGCATTTTATCTTCTTTATATATATATATCTTATAATAAACACATTTATATAACATTGCGTTTTGTCTAAACAGCAAACGACATCATATTTTCGAGTAAATTATAATAATGAATAATATTTACAATTATTCACTAAACAATTCCATCTTCCGTAAATACCAACCGGAATATGTAATTCCATTTTAGTCAATTAATAGACGGCCAAAACTTGCTCATAACAATAATACGCAAATTTCCTCGCAACGAATTCTTACGGATTTCCTGTTATTTTTTCAGACAGTTTCTTTTTAATTGTTATTATAACTATATATGTATATTTTCGCTGATTTGTGCCTCATTTGTGCCAGTCATCAGCGCATATGTTGTCGCTCACCGACTAATGGGGGTTCATTCGGTGCGTTAAAAAATGAATATATGAGAGAGGTGCCGAAAATTGGTGGAGCCTTCTGTGTACTGTCATTAGCCATACCGAAACACAATCAACTGGAAAATTCACTAATTGAACATTGCATGCGCCACATTGATGAGATATTAATTATTCAAACGGCTGATGATGAGCAGTATGACCATTTATGGTGATGAAGGGCCCAAATGAAAATGAATTTTTTTTTGTCGGATGGAATTGTGAAGCACGAAAACGGGAAATAGATGCAGCATTTTTTTCTTGAACAAGAAATGCAAAAGAAAAACCAACAAATTAGAACTATGCAATCTCAATTATTGTGGTTAATATTTTTAGAAATGCATTATACAGAATTATTGGAAAAAAAATGCATTGTTATAGTTCATAACCTATTCGAAAATAAATAGCATGAACTTCGCATATTTAACATATCAAATTGTGTTCATGTATTATTCTCCTCGTTGTTCCAAACCGAAACATTGCATAATAATTATGTCGAGTTCGGTCGGTTGGTGTCGATTGATTTTGCGGCAATAAATTTGCGAACAACGAGGTGTAACAGTTACAATTACGACGGTGCACCGCTTGGCGGTGTTTTCCAAATTGAAGTGCGCGAAGTTTTTCCAAGGGCAATTTCGAGCACCCAATTTTGTAAATCTAATGTGTCAAAGAAATCCGAGTTAGGGTTATATGGAGAAAAACAAACAATCTAGCCGTAAATTTCGATATAAAATTTCAATTTTTTAATGGATCAGTAATAATTATAGTATACTTTGTCATACACCGAAACAAAAAATTGTGACTTCCCAATTAGTTAAAATTCTTTATTACTGTCCTGACCAATTAATAAAAAAAAAACAAATGTGTCAGTGTCATTCTTGAAATTGATACAATAAATTCAAAAATGTATAATAAGCATAGTACAAATGAGCAGAAAAGGCTAATGCATTCAATTCAATGCAAATTGAAAAAAAAATGCACCAGGGGGACTATGAAAAATGACTGGGATTTTTTCTTCTTCCAGAAAAGAGATGATCTATTAATAGACAGCCTGAAAACTATAGTTATGTATGATTTTATTTATAATAGTAAAATACCGTAATCCAGGAAACCATCGACCAAATTTGCTAAGTGCGAGTCCTCCAATTTCGAAACAATAGTTCTTTTTTTCTTGGAACTCCACTCCACTCAGCCAGTATTATTATATAAACGTTATAAGAATGGAACTCTCAGTTTTCATTGCGCAATCGCCCCTCCAATTTCTTGCCTCCACCCTGTTATGCTCTGTTATCTTGATAACATATGGCAACAGGTATCGTCGAGATGTCATAACCGCAACACCAATTAAACTTTTGACTCGTCAAATTGCGCCATTAATGTAATTTTTTTAATTACGTCCAATGATTTCCGGCTCGTTTGTCCAAGATTTTGAGCGGGTAGGAAGAATGTCGGATAGTTCTGAAGGAAATTATCCGCCCTTTCGGAAGACGGTTGACGTCAAGGACTTGTATTGTTTTGACCATGTCTTATGAATAGATAGACAACTTTCTGTTTTATTGTGCATTTCGGATAATTACGAGTAGGCAGTTAGATATAATTGAGAACTTACTGTATATAACACGGAACGTCAAACTTTGTGGGACGTGGAACACATTTTGAAACACCTGGTTTACATTGAGAATTTTGGGATTACACTTTTGAACAGACGATAAAATTTTATGCGAATTCTTTCAAACATATCTTAGATTTTAACATTCAAAAATTTTTCGAAACATGTGCTGTATTCTTTTGTTTATTTCAACGTTTCTTTCTCATTTTCAAATAAACTGACATAACATCAAAAAACGAAGCTTCTTGTATATTAGTAAAATCGTTGATTTCTCTACGGACTTTCAAAAATAATTTAAGATTCCTTAAGAGCATTTAAATATTTTAATGAGTCCTTCAAATATTTTTCTTCATATTATTCAACCTTTGATCAACTGTTTAAAATATATATTTCGTTCAATTAAATATGATTGTTTCTGCAACGATGAAAAAATAGTGTTTGTAAAAAAACTTTAAAGCGAAAATGTTTTCACTGAAGATGAATTCCATAATCCAAAATCATTAATTATTTGTTCTAATGTTTCAATTCCAATATACCGTAATCATTCACACCTTTTTCCATACAAAATTTTCAATTTCCAATAAATTATATCCCAATCGCACAGGTGTAGTTACATATTCCAATTGCCCAAAAAAACTGACGAGTCATTGAGTAATAACAGGACGGCTGTAACAAATCGTCCTTGACAAGCTGCGAGTTAATGAGTGCCAAATGACAATATTATGTGCGCCTTCCGTTCGATTCTATTGCCAGCCAACTGAGAGAGAGGGAGCACTTCCAAGGTTATGACAACAAATTGTTACGTTCACAGACGTCTCACCTTATTGCCTTAATTATAATGTGCGCGATATGCAAGTTAAACCATGATATATGAGGTCCGATGGAGACGATTAAATGGGGGGGCCAAACATGAACGCAGAATTTCGATGAAACCAAAAATAAAATTGCAAACATCAAATAACAATCGAATTTTAAATGAATTCAAATTGTGTTATTGTTTTCGTCTTGTTTTGGCGTTTAAATTCGAAACTGATGACTAAAGATCGTGCACTCTTTTATCGGTCCCGTATTGGGAATTTGCCTGGAATATTCATGAAGAAGTCTACTTGAGTAACGTCATTTTCATGTTTCCTTAAAATTCGATTCAAATCCTTCAATTTTATTACTAAAAAAGGGCAAATGAGAAACGAGGAACATGCTCGATGTGTTTTTTTACTCCATATGTGGTCTTTCTAATTAACGCTTATTCTACAATGCTATACATATAACATGCTCATTCCTATTTTTATGTTCCAAAAGTTGTTGGAGCTTTGAAAATTTTTTTCCAACGAGTTAATAATTTTTATTAATTTTTTATTGAATATTCTTTCTTAATTTTTAACATTTTTAAAGCATGATTGAAATTTTCGCTTCAATGAAAGCGCTAACAATTTTTTTTCTCAAATTATCCTCTTTTAGAATTTATGGCTTTTGCAAAAATTATTTTTCAAATATTCAGTAAGACTGCTTGAAAAATTTGAAATATTTCAGATAGTTAAAAATTAAAACTTAATATTTGAATTATTATATTTTAAAAGACATTAAAATCGAAAATAGGCACATTCAAAGCATTTAAAATCAGTTCAGTTAATACGATTTTTGGATGATTTTTCATTTTTTTTTCTAGAATTAAGCTCCACTTTTGAGATAATGTTCTCATTTTTTTGTCTTATAAATATGTTCGTTTATAAAGAAATGCAGAACAAAACTAAATTTATAAATGTCAAGACAAAAAAAAAACAAAAGAAATATAACCTTATTTTTTAATGTTTTTTGTTAACTCTGGTAATTCAAAACCAATAAGATCCGATCGAATTTGGCTCCGGAATCAACCTTATTGGAAAGATTGTAAAACTGTCGGATCCGATTGGTTATTATTCGAGATTGTTTTGATTTCATTTTTCAATTCGAGTAGGATCCATAGTTTTTTTTTAATTTGTTCTAGATTTTGTAAAAAGATCAAATATTAGACAAATGCAAAAATTACCAGACAATGGCTTAAAAAAGAAATGCGTTTTTGCCAACTGAAAGTTTTTTATTTCACAAATCAAGAATTTTGACCGGTAGTTTCATTTGTGAGTTAGAGGCTTCATGAAAAAAACCCATGCCGAAAAAACAGAGACATTAATTTTGCCATCTTGTGTGCAATATTCTCGCATATAAACTTGTTCATCAATCTTCTGATAAAATCTCAAATTCCCAGCAGGATTTTCGTTTTATTTTCAGATTTATGCTGGTTATCGTGCAAATCATCGTACAACTCCTTCGGACGAAAAGCTTCGAGGTGCGTTTTATTTTATTTTGATTGACCGATTACATTTCGTATAAGTTGGTAGGACGAAAAATCTCGAAAATGATGAATGTATCGGATTTATTTTTTTTTTGTAATTTCTCGCTCCCGTTGTTTACATATGTTTTTGCCAACACGAATTAACGGGATGGCTCTCGACCAGAAATTCAACCAATTAGTTTACTTGTCTATTTTTACTGCCTCAGAGTTTATTGCACTATGAACAAATGTCCTGAAATGGCCAGGTCTCAGCTGGTTCCCAGTTCAATCACTTCTCTTCATATCTGGTGTGTGGTCCGTAATTCTTATACGGCTGGAATTGCTTCCGACGACACCTAGTTGGTTGCTTTTCCGCTCACTTCATTTTTCGCTGACGTTTTTCGCGTTTTTATTACTATATATATACATAATATTGGGTTAATTATTCGTGGAAAAAAATGTTCGTGTGAAGAGAGCCGTTCATTATATCTGTCGCGCCCAGTTTTTTTTGTTACACGTGTTCTGATCATTTGCCGATTTTAAGTCAATTTTCGACGGAGTCCAATGCACAATCTGCAGACGAAGAAACAGACGTTCGAGGTCTATTTTTTCAATGTATTAGTAACACAATTTTTTTTCCAAACATTTTCCCACTAATTTTGTTGAGGTTTGCTGATTTTTGAATTGCAGCAAGCGAAGCCGTTCACTCTACATTGCTCTTTACTCATTCTTGTTCTGGTATATGCATTCATCGGAGGATTCATTTTCGATCATATTGAGACTGATGCTCATGCTCAAATGAAGAAGCTCGAGCGGGAGAATAGGACCAACTGTGTTTCAAAAGTAGGCTATGAATATATATTTCAAAATAAAGAAGAAAAAATTTAAAAAAAAAGAAATTTTTAAAATTGCTTAATAAGACAATCGAAAAGTTTTTAACTGAATTCATATAATATAAAATAGTGTGCCACTCACATTTTTGACTTTTGTGTTTTCATTAGAATAATGTTCATGAAAATTCATAATTGAATTAAGAATCTTGAATCCAATATATTCTCTTTATAGATTTTATTTTCTATCAACGACTGGAATTCGAGCCCAAAATATCAGAGAAAACTCAGTGAAGAGATTGCGGACTGTTTTGAGCCTGAAAAGTGGGCTCTTAAATTTATGCATCAAGGACCCTTTGTAACATTTCAGAGATGAAAGAAGTGAATGGAATTTCGTCACTGCTACCCTTTATGGGTTTGGAATTGTCACGACTCTAGGTAGAATAGTTCACCCTCGAAAAATAATATATCAAGCGTTTTAGGTTATAATCGGATAGCGCCGATAACATATACTGGAAGAATGTTCTGCATAATATATGGGATATGTGGAATTCCTGTGACTATGATCATAATAGCTAATGTTGGACAGTACTTAAACAATTTCGCCGGAGATTCGAGAAGAAGGGTTCATAAAAAAAGAGTCCAAAATTTTCTATTGAAAAGTTTCAGATTGAAGCCTATCGTCAACAACGCCGGATGTCAAAAGCCTCTCTAACGGGAAAAGTTTACAAGGTAATAAAAAGTTCAATAGCCCTAAAACTAATTGCCTACGTCTCCTATAGGAATCTTCTATTCAAGTGACCTCGTTGGCACTTTTGTGTGTTTTCCTATTGTACGTGACCATGGGAGCATTACTCCTTCCTGCATTGAATGGAGAGGTATAAGCATAATCTCTATCAGATAGAAGATCAAATTCCAGTTGGATTTTTTCAACGGGTTGTATTTCAACTTCCTCTGCCTAACCGCGATCGATTTCGGCCAATTAGTTCCGATTCGCGTGGAATTCCTACCAATCACATTTCTCTATGTCTGCATTGGCCTCGCTATCACAACGATCGCTATCAGTTAGTTGATCGATGCAGAGATCACCTTCGAACATTTTTTCTTTCAAGATATTGGTTCTGAGTATATGAAGAAACTGCATTATTGGGGAAAGAAGATGAAGAATGCGGCGCAAACTAAAATTTGGTTCGGTGGCAAAACGTGAGGCAATTTGCATTGAAATCAAACGATTAAAATATGCATTAATAATTGGGAGGTAATTTCAAAAAACAAATAAGCATTTAGATTAAAAGTGCGCGATCTTTTGCACGCTGTTGGAAAGAAATGTGGAGTTGAGCCCGGTGTAATTGATGCTCTGGACCTTGAAAATGTTGTTGAGCGAACTATTGCCATTCAAGTACTTATTAGACATAAGATATATTTCTATGGACATTTTAAAGGAAGGTAAAGAGCCTCCAGAAGATTTAAACGAAGAACCACCACGTGAACCATCTCCAAGATCTGTGATCCATTCTCCATGCTCACAAAGGAATCCACCAATGAGTCCGCCATCGCCAAACGAGGAAGACCCATTCATAGCTACACCGTTTGCTGATAATTGCAATCCATAGAAATTTTAACGTTTAGAAAAGAGGCAGTTTCTCACAAGCCATCCTGTTCTTCATTTGTGTTGGACATTAAAAACCCAGTGTTTCAAGATCTTTCTAATGATTTTGTGATACAATCAGCTCAGGATAAGGTCATTTGAGAACACTGAAGTGGTTTGGATTACTCACTTTCAGATGTTTGATGACTCCGATATTCAAGAGATTGAGGTTAACCCAGCGGATGTCGAAGAAATTACTTGTGAAGGAGTTGTTATCATCGAACCGCCGATGACCTATGAAGATGTCATTGTCAAAAATCCATCAGCATGTAGCCTCGAGAAAGAAGAAAAAGGTTCGCAACATCATTTTTTCATGATTGTTATAAGACCTTGTTTAGTTCCAAAACGGTTCCGCGAAAAGAAAGATATGTATGGCCGTGATCCCCGCAAACTCTATGAAACGTATCAGGAAGAATGGGATAGATTGGAACGATTATCGGACAAAAAGTCGTAATGATTGTAATTTATATTGCCTAAGCTTAAACAAATATCTAGGCATGGTACGCGTAGGAAGTCGGTGTTGAATTTGAGCAGCATCTCTCCGGAGAGAAGTGTTTCCCCGCAGCCGAATCGTCATTCGTTGACAGATGATAATCGCCGACTATCTTAATTACCCGTGTCGAATAAGTAATAAGCATGTTGAACTATCTAGAATCCCAATAAATTTTATTATTAAAGTAAACATAAAGAATGAATTAAAGAAGAAGATTTAAACGGTAAATTTCGTGACTTCGTCCTGACCGACGTTGTAGAACTCATTCTTGTAAGGAACAATGACTCCTCCCTCCGGAATTTCGCCATCGATCTTAACCCATTCTGGAGAAGTAAAGATGTTGGTCAACTTCCAGACAGATCCATCGTACTTGCTGTCGCACATTCCTGAATTTACATAACTTGAACACAGAAGGTTGCGCTTAAACGACTAACCAACTTGATTGGATCCAGTGGCGTGAATCCACGATCCGCATTCTGGGTGAACCGAAAGTGCTTGGGTTCCGGAGAAGCAGAATTTCGGAGCACTGTCATAATCCCCTGGAACCTCGATGCACCTTGCGGCTTTGGTGTTAATGTCAACAGCGAAGAATGAGCTGCGCTCCCATCTAAATCCACATCCATGGACACCAAATCCGACAGCCACTTCCTTTCCATCAGTGTAAGCAAAGACAGCCTGTCCTCTCTGAAAAAAAAACAATTATTGGATATGGATTTCAATATTGTGCTAAATCTCACAATTCCGTTTGTTTCCTCATCGATGTCAGTTAGATGCTCAATACAAGCCGAGTCATCATTTAAAGTGAGCTTGTAGACCTTGATGCCCTCACCATTGCAGACGAAATAAACTTCTGGTCCGTCATTGGCGGAAATCGCAGCAAAGAACTCAACTCGGCTCGTTGGCTCAAGTCCAGTAACAGCTTGGGGAGCCTGAAATTGACGACAATTAATTTATTTTTATTTCGCTGTGAACCTCAATATAGACTGGAACAAAGCTCTCTCCATTCCACTTATGAAGCGACTTGACTTCGACGGCACCGAAATTGGTGAAAAGCAACATGTAGATGTTGTCATTGGCCACAAAGAGCTCTTCAGCTAGATTTTCCTCATTGGAAACCGCAGGAATCTGAAATAGTTTCAGCATTTCATTCAAATTCATTTAAACTTACATCAATGCGATTCCACGTCTTTCCCTCCAAGCAGAATGATAGAGCATACGATCCCTGGAATGTTACATAATGTCCCCAATTGTGGGTTGGCTGCTCGAAATCTGAAAGAGTTGCGAAATCATTTTTCGAATGCCACCAAATTTGTACATTTCTTCGCGAAAAGCCAAAGTTTCCCTTGCGAGACAAAACCGCGATGGTATCTTTCAAATTCGCCACCAACAGATCCGTATCCGTCACCGACTTTTTCAAGGCTCATTCTGTAAACAGACAATTTAGAAGATGAAAAAAATGAGCGAGTGTGTGAGTCGAGTGTATACAAAACGAATAAAATGAAAGACACTCGGTCACTTGGGCGAAACAAACAAGCAAACAAACCAATGAAATCAATAAAAACCGAACCATATTCCCAGACTTTATATAGAAATCGAATAAAAAATGAATAGAACACATTTTTGAATCATTGGTTATTCTATTGAAGAGAATTTATTATGAAATTCCTATATGAATCATGAATATCATTTCGAAACAAAACTCAACTCAACCTGTTCGGATTTCAAGCGAACTATGAGAATGAGAGTGAACGAACGTGTTTTATAGGTGTTTCCAACGCGGAAGTTGGCAATTGATCAGCACGAAAGAGAAGAGACAAGGAAGAAGAAGGTCGGCCAATTAGTTTCTACCGACGCTATTTGATAACTCGAGTTAAAGTGCATGAAAACCCCATAGACCAAGAACGGCGTGGTGATGAATGAGTTGGAATACGAAAAAAAATAGACGACCTCTGTAGTAGACAAATATGCATTAGAAGGTCACGAGTTTGCAGTACATGTTTGTTTTTTTTTCTATTTGAAAAAGGGAGATAACCAATTTTTGGTTCAGCATAGATTGGAACTAAACTGCGAAAAATTCAACGAACCGGTTTTTAAATTGATATGCTTTTTTTAACAAATCGTTTGAGATTGTTGAAGAAAAAAAATGGAACGCAATGAGATGCCAGTTTGAATTGTGGCCGTCGTCGTTTTATGGGTTCATCGAGACGCAGAAAATACAGCGCGTTCGAACAAACTACACACAACGAACATGAAATCGGCGGCAAATTTTGTTTTTCTTTCTTTTGAAAGAACACAAGTCGATGTTGGGGGAAAAATAAAATAAACAATGAAAATAATACTGAAAATGTCTGTATAGGTTTTCTCATATTGGACATTTTTCAATAAAACGAATTGAATCACAACATGACTTATGAAAGAAATAGAAAAATGAATAAATTAGTTAAAAGAAAAAATTAAAAATGATTTCAGAAATCGTAGTTCCAAAATTCATAAGAAAAAATTAATTGCAGTGACCTTATTATTAACACTTTTCTGTACCTGTGATATATACGTAATGGATAATACCTATTCCTTTATGTTTTCACACATTTACATCACGCATTTACAGTGTCTTATCGAACAATTCCGAGAAAATTAAAGCAGAAAAAAAAGAAAGAAATTAAGAAAATTTCAATATAGAAAAAAGAATAAATCATTTTTTGTGTGTTCTTTGGTTAATTTGCATTGAAATTTTCTCGATTTTTTTTCTCATTTTTCTCTGAATTGCTTTTTTTCTGTGTATACTCTCTTTTTATTTATTTTAGTACGAACTTACTAGCATTCATTTGGTATAATATTATTTTTGATTTAAAAATTGTTATAGATGATTAAAGTTAAAAAATATTTTATTAGACTTTTGAATTATGTTATAATTTAGGAATTATTTAAAGAATAAAATATTCATTCAAAAATTTACAGCAGCTTTTAAAAGCTGAAAAAAATATATCTCGAACTGTTTTTTTATTAAAAGGGCTGAAATTTTATTGAACAAATTTCTAACGAAAATTACGTTTCAAACATTTATTTTTGCTCTGAACATTTTTTCTTTTGAAGGTAATGAGAGAAAAAAATTTAAAAAAATAAATAAAAGAAGAATTGAATTTTTTTTGCATTGAATTTTTTCTTATTGCTAATTTATTAAATCTTGTTGTGTTGCACAATGGAATTTTGCGGAAACACTGGAAAACAAATGTAAATAATAAATATTGAATATTGCGTTCTGGAATAAGAAGCAATTTTAAAATAACTTTTTATAAATACCATTTGAAATATAAATAACACTATGAGACCAATTATTTCAAAAAACATTGATTTGTGCGTTCACGGAATGCTTCATTTTGCATTGTGAGATTTTAAAACCGCTCCCAATTTACCAGACTGACCATAGTTCAAATTGTTGTTGTCAAACAAATTAAAACGAAATCATTTGGAATTGTTCAAAAAAATTGAGAGTCATTTCCATAAATAAATTAACGCCTTCCAATATCCCAAAAAATTCTCGATGTTTTCAAAATTTTCAATCTTTGCCGAAAAGTGCAAACAATTGCAATACGTGCAGTTCATAAGACACTTTTAGGCCCCATCTTCTCATTTTTCATCTTCTTCATGTTGCTTTTGAAAAAAAGAAAATGTTAAAAGAAGAAAATAAAAACTCACTTCGCTGGAATTTTGTCAATATCTCCGAAAAAAATTATAACTTGTCAAGCATCGAAAAAAAAATTATTTATTGCATGGCTAAACTGCACTGTGCATATAAGACTCGGTGTTTGCAGACTCGCGCAAATATATTTTGCCCATCTACTTTTATCACAAAATTTATTTGAAAATTCAGATCTCAGTGATAGTTGCCACAAAATGCACTCTAGTCTTATCAATCAGTTCTTCTTCTCACTCTCTCTCTCTTTCTCTTTCCCAGTTTATCACAGATTTTATCTTTTCGACTTGTTTATATCAAAAAGAAATCGTTGAGTTCAAGAACATTTCAATATTGATTACCAAAGTTCATATTTGTTCAAACGAATTTCTGTTCGCTCAACATCGTTGGCTCAATCAAAGCCTATGCCGTTTTGCCCGTTGTTTTCAATAATCTTGCCAACAATTCTACTCGCCTTGAATTGATGTCTACTCGACAGACACATCATTAAATAGTGGAACATTGAGGAGGATTAGAGCGCGACAACTGTTTAGGTCTCGACTGATTGTCTTACATGAACATCGAAACACACACACACACCCACCGATGGGTCAAATGCCCACTGTCTTGTTTCGACCCGAACCATACGCGCGAAACCAACTAGTATAAATAGCGGACCGATGAGCGGCACACACCCATTCATACTTGTTTTTCTATGATCATTTTTTTTTTAGGATTTTTGGGCTGCTGTCCCTCGCGAGTTGCCAATTCTAGTCAAACTCTGCGCTCTTATCAACTTTACTGATTGTTTTCTTTCCCCCGCGCATCGAAATCATTGCAATTTTTGCAAGGTCAGCGGATAGCCCCAAGGAAAATACTTAATATATGTTTATATTTTTTGAAAATCGACGTACGTGTGTCTCCTGAATCTTCCTCATCCAGTTTTCTTTTTCTATCCATCGACTCTCTCGCTATATTGTTGCGTTGTTGAGTGCCGCGACCTCGCTGCTGTTGCGTCCGTCGGCCGCTGCAATTTACGAAATGTCACGCACTCCATTCTGATGTCGATTTTAACAAGTGTGCTTTCGGACCATTTCTCTCGAACATCTTATCGCAACTTCGCCGTTTATATTTTGTTGTCCTCCAAAAACAAAATTAATAGTGTTTTTCCTTACAGACTTGAGTATGTTGTCCCGCTGCGCTCGACAACTGGCCGCCCCAGTAATCAAGGGAGTTTTCCACGTACGGCCTCGATAAATCTAATGTTCCTTATATATCACAACGTTTCAGCCTGTCCGCTGCACCAGCTCTATTGCACACACCATCAAGGTTGCTGAGAAGATCGAGAATACCCGTGAGCAAGCACTTCTTGGTGGAGGAAAGAAACGAATCGATGCTCAGCACAACAGAGTAAATTCGTTTTCGGTGGTGTGCTTTTTATGGTAATTGCAGGGAAAACTCACCGCTCGCGAGCGTATTGATCTTCTTCTCGACAAGGGATCGTTCCGTGAATATGACATGTTCGCTGAGCATACTTGCACCGACTTTGGAATGCAGAAAGAGAAGTACCCAGGAGATTCGGTTGTAACTGGACGCGGACAAATCAACGGAAGAACTGTGTTTGTCTTCTCTCAAGACTTCACCGTGTTCGGAGGATCCCTTTCGTCTATTCATGCCAAGAAGATCGTCAAGATCATGAAGGACGCCCTGCTTGTTGGAGCTCCGGTTATTGGCCTCAACGACTCCGGTGGTGCCCGTATTCAGGAAGGAGTTGAATCACTGGCTGGTTATGCCGACATTTTCCAGGTTACTTTAATCAGTATAAAGCAAAATAATTTATTTTATCTTGCAGGCCAATGTGATGTCTTCTGGAGTTGTTCCACAAATTTCACTTATCATGGGTCCATGCGCCGGAGGAGCTGTTTACTCTCCAGCCTTGACTGACTTCACCTTCATGGTTAGAGACACCAGCTATCTCTTCATCACTGGACCTGATGTCGTGAAAGCCGTTACCAACGAGGAGGTCACTCAGGAGGAACTTGGAGGAGCTAAAACTCACACTGTCACCTCTGGAGTTGCTCATGGAGCTTTTGACAACGATGTAGACGCTCTCATGAATATTCGTGAGCTCTTCAACTACTTGCCGTTGTCGAACAAAGACCCGTCGCCAATCCGCTCGGCTGATGATCCATGGTAATTCGATGAAATGAAATGTGAAAAATTTAATGGTTTTTTTTTTCTATAGGGATCGTCTTGTTCCATCATTGGACACTGTCGTTCCACTTGAAAGCACAGCTGCCTACAACATGAAGGATGTTGTCAACGCTCTTGTTGATGAGGGAGACTTTTTCGAGATCATGCCCGACTATGCCAAGAACTTGATCATCGGATTTGCGCGCATGAATGGACGCACCGTGGGAATCGTGGGAAACAACCCAAAGTTTGCCGCTGGATGTTTGGACATCAACTCATCCGTCAAGGGAGCTCGCTTTGTCCGCTTCTGCGACGCCTTCAACATTCCTCTCATCACTCTTGTTGACGTTCCCGGATTTTTGCCAGGTAATATCTCTTTAGTGCTATTTTTCAAAATGCCACGTATTTTTAGGAACCGCTCAGGAATATGGAGGTATTATTCGCCACGGAGCGAAACTTCTCTATGCATTTGCTGAGGCTACCGTTCCGAAGATTACTGTCATTACTCGTAAGGCGTTCGGTGGAGCTTACGACGTCATGTCATCGAAGCACCTTCGCGGAGATATCAACTACGCTTGGCCAACTGCTGAGGTTGCCGTCATGGGAGCCAAAGGAGCCGTCTCAATTTTGTTCCGCAATGACAAGGAGCACGCTGCCCAGCATGAAGAGGAATACACTGAGCTCTTCAGCAATCCGTTCCCAGCAGCTGTCAGAGGTATTTGGCAAATTTATTAAAAGCTTTGTTGAATGCATTATTTAGGAGAATGCATTATTTAGGATTCGTTGATGACATCATTGTTCCGTCGGAGACCAGAAAGAAGATCTGCGAAGATTTGAACATGCTTGAGAGCAAGCAACTCAAGAACCCATGGAAGAAGCACGGAAACATTCCACTCTAAGCTTTTTGTGCCCTACATAATTTTTTTTATTCTAATGGAATGTATAAGTAATTGTAAAATGTTGCCATATTTACGCACCGTTCTTTGGTTATACGGTTTTTTGATTTTTTTTTTGATCTTTGATTATCCATTAAATTTCCTCGAACTTGTGCATTTGTTTAAATTAATGTCGCCTTACGAATCAGATAAATTTTTAGATAATGAGATCAGTGATGTATTTATGATAAATTTTATTCTAATTAGAATAATTAGAAATTGGATATGAAAAAAGCAGAGAAATTGTAAGTAGAAAAGGAAAAAATAGAAAGCACAAAAAAATCAAGAGAGAAAATATAATGCCAGATCGAGTCAGAATTTGGAATCTCAGAATTCATCAGAATTTAGCCATCATTCTTCATCTTTTCAATAAATTTTCCTGTTTCTGTGGTTTTCTATATGTAATCTGCAGTCTTTTGAAGTATTTCATTCACTTAAAGATAATCTATGGAAAAATAAGCTAACAAAACCAAGAAATATTTTTTTTTAATTTTATACATTTTGATAGCCTAATTTGTTTCATTTTTATCTGAATCAATTAAATACATTTTTGCAAATAGCCAATCAAACAATGACGTTCAGCAAAACTGATGACATTTTTTTTGACACTTGAATGTTACATTCAGAATTATTTTATGAATCTTCAAGATCAGTTTGAGATCGTTTAAAATGTATTTATTAGAAAATATTGACATTATTATTATTATTATTATTATTAGACGGTTAGCACCGACATTATTAATTAAAGTTATTGCATGAGGTTGAGATTGGTTACACTCAAATGCGAGCTTACAAAACACCAAAGAATTTCGCCACACTCGTCAGAATTGCTCTTTGTACTGGCGGGATGACCTGCTCAACATCTTCAACGCTTGGGATTTGAAGTTTTGGAAGATCTTCAAGCTTCGGAAGAGTCATTGGAGCAATGGTAGAAGTGATTTGGAGTTGCGGCTGTTGAACTGCAGCTCCGGCGGCGGCTCCAGCAGAAGCTGCTGGTTGGGAGACGGCAAGTGACTGTTGAGCCACCGGCAGCATTCCCATTGGCTGATAAAGTGCTGGCATTGGAGCGAGAGTCATTTGTTGTGGTTGTACAAGAAGTCCTAAAGGGTTATTTACGTGTGCACACATTCGCATTGTAATGCTCGAACCTTGCTGGAATTGTTGCTGCTGTTGCTGAATCATTGCAGTCAATGGGTCTTGATAGTAGGTCTGTTGAGGCAGTTGACCATTTTGTGGGTATCCGGTGTCTGTAAAACAAAATTATATACAATTAAAGAAAAAAAAGTTGGCTTACATTGTCCATTCTGTTGAACTCCGTACCCAGTCTGAGAGAATTGTCCGTATTGTTGTTGATATTGTTGCTGTTATAAAGTCATATTGCATTTAAGAATTCTCTTCGAAAATTACTTGTACTGGTTGCTGCTGTCCCAGATAAATTTGGGTGTTTGGAAGAACTTGTTGAACTTGATTAGTTGGTGTAGCGTGTTGTGTTGGTACCCCTTGAGCTTGAGCTTGAGGGGATGGAACATGTTTTGCAGTAACTGGCGCAGTGGTTGAAATTTCATTGGTAACAGCAGCGGTTTCGACGACCCGGTTCTGAAAGGAATCTGAATCATTTGAAGAATGATGTAAAATTCTTCTTACATCAACTTTTCCCTCGCTCTCAACAATTTCATCTTCATCGAAGCATGGCATTCTCTTGATAGTAGCATAATATGTAACACTGAATCATTATAATTATATCAGTGTTATCCTCATAGAAAACTCACTTTCCGGTATTTGTCACTTCTTTCTTTAAGTTAGCAATGTAATCGAAAGCGACAAGCTTTCCATTTTCGCGGACTTCACCACCAACGACAAGTTGACCCCGGCGGACCGTGGCTTTTCCGCGATCTTGCGAATTGATAAGGACTTGATAGCTACAACATCTCATCTAAATAAGGAAAAAAGCATGATAAAACACTGTGTCGAGAATGTATACCTCAAGATTCGACGAGAATGGATCCGATTGTGGAGCGATTCCACCAACCCATTCGCCCTCTTCGCAACTGCTCGATTTGTAATTGTCAGCGCAAATCTGTCAAATTCCGGATAATTTCTTGCTATTTTAATACAAAAATTAATAAATGAAAACTCACTGCAATCTGCGGCACAAAATTGGGGTTCTTTGATGGAGCTCTGATGAACTGGTCAGCTCTTCTCAAATATCCATCTTCTTTGCCAGCGACACGGTAGAACTGGGCTGAATCTCCAGCACGGGTTCCATTAGCTGTCCATCCGAAGCATTTTGGACGTGCACATCCTAAAACCGGCCTTCCGCTTTTAATAACCTGAATGATGTAGATTTTTTATATAGCTGAAACCTATGTTTAAGAAATTACCTGAAATGTATAAGGAATTGCCGATTGACCGCAATAGGAAGCAAATGCAATTGGTAGTAGCAGGGCTATCAGAACAATCGACTTCATTTTATGTTCCGTAGTGCTGGCAGGTTCGCAATGTCAAATCGACAATGAAAAATCAGGAAGGAGGGGCACAATAGCAAAAATAAGGTCATCAAAACGGCGTTGTATGCTTTCTCCAATCCCAAGATAAGAAAAGTGAAAGCCAATCCAGGCAGTTTATACGCTGTATCGCTTTAGTGCAACACTTTCGCTATGGCGCGTACTAATTGGATCAATTGATTGACAAGCAAGATATGAAATAAAATAATTTATAATATGATTCTCAAAACAGTCAACCCGTCATAAACGACTATAAATCAATAATGTGACGCCTAGTGCTGTTGAGCAATTTCCGAGAAAAACTGAAGGACATCATTGGTGGTTACTTCAAGCTCGATCTTCGACCCTGGATAGCACGTCTCAATCGTTTGGTTGTATTCTTGAATCTGCTTCAAGAATTGTTCCTGCATATCTCGCCAGACCACTTGAAGAAGCGATGAGTTGTCCACCAATTGCTTCTCGATTTTCTTGTATAGCTGGTCGAGGCCTTTCTTCACTTCTTTACCGGTATATTGGGAAAGCACCTGGGTGGAAAAAACGATCATATAAGGTAAGATCGGCGGCCAACCTTTTTTAATTCAATTCTGCTGAATTGAGGCTGATAGGAAATTTCATGAGGTTTCACGCCTCTCAAGTCAATTGCATTGTTAACATTGTCAAAGAATGCCTAGAATTGCACTTAGTGTATAGTTTCATCCTTAAAAAACGCATTACCTGAATTTTCTCCAATGGTCGGCCTATATACTCCTTGACAAAAGCGTCAATATGTTCTTCCTTCATCGTTTTAGCATCTTTTCGCTGCTGATCAAGACAACTGATTTTCAATTCCGACAGGGTTACTGCAAATTAAAAGAGCATATCTCTAGCATATCTTTTGACTATCGCACTTACAATAAAGTTCATGGTAATTCTCAAACTTCACAACTGAAGGGGGAGATTTGCTGTTTGGATGGGCCGCAGCTTTCTGTATACCATCCGTAACAGCTCGGCAAAGGTTGAAATAACTGAAAAAAAATTAATTTCAAATAATTTTCAATGTATTCAATACCCTTTCTCCAAGTCGGTTCTTCTATCAGCTCCTTCAAAAATTCGTTCAGCCTTTCTAACGAACGCCGCAAAACGAGCAATAGTAGGAAGAATTCCAATTCTAGTACGCTTCGTGATTTTAACATCCGAGTAGTGTTGAGCTTCCATACTCTGAAAAAGAAGACAATTTACTTTTTTTAACGATTGGCTACTTACGATATAATTATCGAATTGTCGTTTGATCAAAACGAAGAGGCCGCCAAATGTGACGGCAAAGTATGAGCTAGCGTCTTGAGGCGATAAAACCTTCTTAGACATCACAACAAACAATAGAAGAACATTGCTGAAATTGGATAATATTAATAATATAAAATGATTGATTTAGTACCTTGGATTATGTTTACAAATAGATCGACAGAAATTGTCAAGGTGCACATTCAGCGATTCAAATATGGCAGCCATCACGAAGCGAACTTGGTCATTCATCTGCTTTTCAATATTTCGTCCGCCTTAAAATTATTGATTTACAAATGAAAATAGAAACAAATCAATGTTTTTTTTTTGTTTTTACCTAAGCTGGAACTGTCTCCACTTCCTGTTGAAGTTGTCTCCATTTGCGTTAGAAGCTCAGAGTTAATATGGAAGAAACGAACGACAAATTTCTGTTCGGTATCGATGACTGCGCTCAGTTCGGCTAGAAGCGTCTCAATTAACTGGAACCATAAATATTTTTTTTTTAATAGATGAGGTTCATAGAAATACCTGCGGAAGAGACTCAGAATCTACATCACTGTTTGCACTTAAGAAGCTTTGATTGTCGTTGTATCTTCCTGGGTTCAGCACCGTACCTTAATAGATTGAAAGCAATATGTTATGCCTATCTGCTACATTTCTTACTCATTTTCTTCTCTTCGACACCTGCTTTGTGCACCTTGTTGATCAAACTATCAAAGAAATTCTCAAATAATCGTTTGTACAACAAATTGGTTGTATCCGTATAACGCTGCAACGCCATGTTATAAGCTTTCGGTCGATTCATTTTGAGCCAATTTATCAAATCCGATAATGGAGATAGAGCACGGAATCTCTGCGATTGTTTGGGAATGCACAAATCGTGCCATCCTTGATCCATAGATAAGTCATTCTGCAAAATACTATAATTTGCTAGCGAAATTGAAAACATCGCTCACCAAATTCGAAAATAATGCTGTCAAATGAGACATCAAACGGTCGACAAAAATGTCAATCGCAATCATTTCACTATTTCTATCTTGATAGGCTTTCATTTGAAGCATTGGCCTCGAAATTCGCCCATGCCAAAATTGTGAGACCGCTCTTGCAGCTTCGGTGCACTTTTGAACACTTTCAGGATTGCTCAAGTTTCCTTGTTTAAGTGTTTCCAGATGAGCATCTGTCACTGCTTCAAGAGAGCTAACAAAAGAAACAAGTTCAGCGTTCAGTTTCTGCTTATTTTTGCGCTCCACGACTGACAAGCTATCTTTTTCTTCAATGAGTTCAATGCTATTTCGAACAAACTGAAAAAATTAAAAATAGCAATCTTGGTTACAATCTAGGTATACCGAGAGAATGTTATCACAGTTGTCTAGCTCTTTCTCAACTTTTGTCACCTCTTCCAAAGCCTGATTAATTCCCCACAGCAATTGATTCACAGAATTCTCACTAGCCATCATGGAAACAATATTGGCTCCATCAAGTGATTGTAATTGTTCAGTAAGCATCTAGATAATTGTATGCGATTTTGAAAATTTCCAAATGAAACTTACATCTGAAAATATGTGAGCATCAGCAAGAGTCAAATTTGCTTTTTGAAGAAGCTTTCGAAAATCCGCATCTTCTTTTGCAGTGATCGGTTGATAGTCGCTTTGAATGCCTTTGTCATTTTCCGGAAGCTCAACCGGAATAATGGACGACTCATTTTCAACCACTGGAAGTGACACATTGCAGAAGTAGGGCATTTGAAGTGGAATGTACTGGAAAGCCAACTGAAAACAACGAATTCTGGGCAATTTTCTCGTTAGAGCAGCGTATTTCTAACCTTAAACAGCTCTCTAATGAATTCTTCTTTCTCCTCGATAGATCCTGCGATCATAATATATTGGTGATCTCCAATGGTCACATGAAATTCAGGAGATGGCTGAAATGAAAGAGTTGATTGAAGCGTGCTCACATATTTCATTCTTTTTTATTTGCAAATACAAAATTCTCACTTTTTTGGGACTAATTCCATCGATTTCGCGAACTTCCCTTAGATTGAACCTTTCTTTTTTCTTAAATGTATCATCCTTTTCGCCTTTGACAAAATACAATCGGACGGATATTGGATGCTCAATGGTCACTGTAACATAATTATCTAATAAAAAGCATATTAAACTGCAATTAACCTGCTAAACAAAGAAAAGTCTGATGCTTCTTTTTCTTTCCATCAAGTTTCACCAAGTTCACAATTGCTTGAATTCGTTCATCGTCTTTTTGAAACAACTGCCTTTGAATGATTTTTCTAATCGCAGACATTACCTAAAAAACAGTTTTATAAAAGCTGAAAACGCGAACAAAAATATGAATGAAACGGTTATTTGAACTCTAGTCGTACAAAAAATAAACAATGCGCCGACTCTCTCTCTGCGTCTCCATTGCGTGCACGCTCTATGCGTGTGCACGCCAAATGCGTCAGTGGCAAAACGTGAAGACGCTGGTTTCGTTCTTTAAATCGTTCTGATTTTTATCTTAGGAGAGAAAAATAGAAAATTCCATTCGAAACTATCAATCCAATATCACGTTAAAAAATAAAAATTTTAATTTTCAAAATTTTTTTACATTATGATATAAAAATGAGAGTATAATTTAAAATATTCATAAGATAACTTTAGTTAAAATACATATCAAACAAATTGAAACAATTTATTTTTTTTTCATTTCTTAAAAATTTTAATTAGCTTTTTAATTAGATAATTTAAATCTCATTGTTTTTAATTACATAAATAAGTGATATTTTTATTTTTCAGAACAATTATGCTGACAACCAATTGCAGCCTGGTTACTCGTCGAATATTCAAAAATTGGAAGAACGAACAGAAAACGTAATTTTCATCTAACGTTTTTTTAAATACTCTAAAAATCTGGAAATGGGTGAAGAATTGGTTTCGACTGCACTGAACATTTTCAAGTTGACATTCTCATCTTCAACTCGTTCAATTTCTTGTTCGCTTCACATTTTATGAGATGTCAGTTCTTCTGAGATTTACTAGGACAACACAGAACATCAAGGTTGCAAATAATTGCGAAAACGCATTTCAAGCAATCGTAAACACATCAAATCCTGTAATGAGCGTCTCGAAGAGAGTTAAATATGGGTCAGAATCAAACACATCATTGTTTTTTTTTTCGGAGCCTTTTATTTCCTCTTTTTCCACTTCCGAAACAGCATTATTTGATTTTTCAGAAGGCGGCTCCGTGATAACGTTGCCACAATATCCGCCGCCCACACAGATCAATTTCACCGTATAAAAGAAGAGCTCAAAGGCAGGAAATGATTCGATTCAGTTTCATTTCTCATCGTCTCACATTTTCAGGATGCGATTCATATCGTTGATTCTCGCTTCGGTCCTCTTCTCAGTGTCAATCGCCGGCTATTTGAAACCAAAAGGTAGGAATATCAAAAGAGCATACCAAATTCATAAAAATTTTAGGATCGCCATGCCCGCAAGGTGATGGATTGTATTCTGTTGGATGCTCTCAGTTTTATTTGCAATGCGTCAATGTACAAAATAATTTCCTTTATCTGAAATGTTTAAATTGCTATATTCAGGGTATCGAATACGAGCGAACGTGTCCAGAAGGATTGTACTTTGATCGACTTCTTTCGAGATGTGAAAGAAGGGCGAACAATCATGCGTGCACCGAGACCAAGAAGGACTTTGCAAATGTCCGACAGAAAGCGTTGTATGCGATTTCATTTCAATTTGAGTTATCCGGACTTTTCATATAATTTACAGCTTTATTGATTGTAAAAGCCGAAAGAATGGCGACTACGCAATCGAAAAGAACATTTGCGATGAGAATTATTATCAATGTTCGAACGAAATTGGTTACATGAGAAAGTGAATTGACCGCCTAGTTTTTTTTTGTATCAACGACGATTTTCTTTTTGAGGTGCCCGTTCAATCAATACTTCAGCCCAACCACAAAACGATGTGATTATTACGAAAACTGCAGAAGCACAATTGCGGGGTAATTGAAGATTATAACCGTTTTACTATGCCACTGAAAATATTTCACTTTCCAGAAAATACACAAAAGACTACGCTAACGCCTATGCTTCGCAGGTACATTTTGTAATTAAAAAAACAGTTTCAAAACGTATTTTTAGTACGCTGCTAATGACGGATCCAAGGTCGAAGTCGTCGAAGAAAATGGAACCGGTAAGCAGTTCATCTTTTTTTCATCGGAATGATTGATGAATAGCCGTCATGTTAAAGGAATTGATTGCTCTCGTCTCGGCAATGCTACCATCACCATCGACGAATGTTCGCAAGTATATTGGATGTGCGCGAATTACAAATTGTTCAAAAAATATTGCCCAACGGTAATGCTACTACATATATCATTTACCAATAATCGTAAATGATATCTTTTAGGGTTTGGTATACGATAAGGATGAGGATTTGTGCAACCATCGCAACTTTGTCAAAGGATGCGCCGAGTTCACAGGGTATCATTCATCACTAGAACTAACTAAATCAGTTTTTAGGGCCTCCACTACCACCCCACCTGCTCCATCGGAAGACATTTCAGCAACATATAATGGAACACTTTGCCAGGGCAAAGTACACGGCCATATTTACAGATAATAAAATTGCGAAATTATATCGATTTTCAGGATGATGGATTCTATCCACTTGAAACGTGCTCTAACAAATTTGTCTCTTGCAATGGTGGTGTTAGCCGCGAGATTCCATGCGCGGATAATCTTGTGTTCGACGTCCGAATCAACGCGTGCGACTATCCAGAAGCTTGTAAAAGCGAGAGAAAAGTTGAAGAAATCCCAGCTCTCTTCACTCATGGCGGAAGTGCGATGAAGAATCACACCGACGTGCCAGTGGACTTCGATTGCTCCGATAAGGAGGATGGACTCTACGTGAAAGACAAATGTTCGACCAAATACGTGCAGGTTGGGTCCGCTCGCTGAAAATTGGCGGGGGGTGATCTAAAACGAGAACATTTAATTTTTTTTTAAATTTTCGCGTTTCATAGATAGTTCGTGCGTGATCTTATCGTCAAGCCTCCCAAAAAGGTCATCATTTTCTCATTATATGAATGTTTACATGTTTTCACCCTTATCAATCGGGAAGCGAAACAATTAATAGATATTTCCTCCAAGCGGATTTCACTTTCATTCGTCCGTTTTTTTATGGACTTTGATTTTTCTGCGGAAGAATGGCACCACCATTTTGTTAGATCTTATCACTTTCGGTTGGGTCTCAGAACATGTGTCTTTTTATTAGCCGAAATATGAGTACAACCCACCTTATCATTTCAGTGCAACGATCGAACTGCCTTCTGGATGACCTGTCCAGCGAACCTTGTCTTCAATATGGCCACCAAGACTTGCGACTATCTTGACAATTGCGATAAGCAAGTGTTTTGCTCTTGTACGAAAATCAATAATTATTGCAGGAACTACGTTGAGGCTCGTACGACTCAGATTTATACCACCACTACTTCGATGAAGACTCCAATTGTTACCAGCACTGTTTCATATGAGAATATTGTCGATAATTCTGCTCCAGCGCCGCCACCAGCTCAAGAGGAAGCGGTTGGGTATGCCTTTTTTGTAATATACTTCTATATATCTTTGAGACATTTAGATTCTCGTGTGAAAAACTTGAAAATGGACTCTACGCTGTCGGACTTTGCAAACCGCAATTCCACCAATGCTGGAACAGACGTCACTCGACATCTAATTGTCCAAGCCCATTGATCTTCAATCCATATACCGGACAATGCGACTACCGCAACAACGTCGCTGACTGCAATGGAGTGACCATTGGTGTTCCAACGTACACCCCAACCTCTACCGCGAAGACGTTGACTACTACAACCTCTACTACCGCCGCGCCACAATCCGCTTACAAAGATGTTGCCACAACCATTGTCTATGCGCCTATCGATCCGTTCTGCGAGCGTTTGGCTGATGGAAATTATGGAGTCGGATGCAACCAGTACTTCTATCAGTGCGAGAGTTTCGAAACCAAGAAGGTGAAATGTCCAGCTGGATTGTATTACAATCGGGTGAAACACTTGTGCGACTTCCGCGACCAGATACCGGAGTGCAACCCTAATTCAACTTACAAGACAACTCAGCCCCCAACAACAACCACTGCGACGTATTCGACTGGAAATGCTGCCCCAGCACCACCACCATCCCAGAAAACACACACACCATCAGCTGACGGCGTTAGTCAAACATTACCCTGAAAACTTTGACTTGTTCATCACAAAATTTTCAGAAATTCTCTTGCGTCGGACGCGTCGACGGAATCTACGCGCTTCCTTATTGCACATCCGACTATGTCCAATGCATCAATGGTCAAGCACTCGTGAGCCAATGCGCTACGGGATTGGTGTACAGCGAAAATTCGGGACTTTGCGATTATCGCGAAAATGTCGAAAATTGCAACAGTTCTGGTTCGCAGGCTGCTGACAGCATTCCAAATGAGGCATGTGCTGGAAAGACTGATGGTTACTATTCTAACGGATGCTCTCCGCATTACTACTCGTGCATTGGTGAAAAGATTCGCAAGATGTCATGCCCGGCTAAGCTTCGTTTTTCGACAGCTAAGGGAGTCTGCGACTATCCAGGAGATGTGGCTGAGTGCGGTTTGAGTTCCCAGCCAATTCAAACCCCACCAGTGTATGTAAAATCCTAAAATCATTGCTGGTAAAATTATTATAATTATTACAGGGCTGATAGCTCATTATGTGTCAACAAAATAAATGGACTTCATTCATTCAAGAGGTGCTCACCACACTACGTCGTCTGTGAAAATGGAATTGCTACGGTTCGGAAATTGATTTTAAAAAATAAGAAAAATAAATTCTTCAGACCGGAACTTGTGCTGCCCCATTGGTGTTCAACGGCGCCACTGAGTTGTGCGACTACAAGAGCAACCAGCCGGAATGCTCGGAAAATTCGGAAAATCAAAAACCATATTAAACAAATTCCCTTTGTAATCATTATAATATCTTAATAAATAACTTCACTCTTCAATCAAAGTAAGTTTGAACGCTGAAAATTTTTGGGAAACTGAGCGAAAATAATGAAAAAGAAGAAGGTCTACACTATTCTTTGCAAAATAGTGGATTCGCAGAGATTTCAAGAGTTAAATTTTTCCAACTTGGTATATTTATGCAGAATCTTATTGATCCCTAGAGGAAAAAGTAGAAATATATGATAAAGAGGGAAAAAATTGTTTGTTTTTTTTTTTGCTGCAATGAAGTTTTTTCTACATTGTCCCATCAATGCCAAGAAATTCATATTCTCTTAGAGAAATACATACAGCGTTAGAATCCCATTGGCTAATTTTAAACGAAAAAATGAAAAATAAAATTTTATCAGCATTTATTCAGTTCGATCAAAATATTTTGAATTTAAGTTATATAAATAAAAATGAAGCAGGTAATATTACAATTAGGGTTGGGATAGAAAGGGCAGACTGGTAACGAACAATTTTGCGTAGTTTCCAACCAGCTGGTCAGTTAGTTATTTCTAGCTAAAAATATATGAAAAAAGCTTTAAAGCTACGAAAAATTGAGATTTAAAAAATATAATGGGTTCATTTATTTCTTGTGGCGACGCGCGTACGCCGGAACACGGAGCACATAGAACAGCGAATTGCCATCCGAGTGCTTCTTCTGGAAACGAATTGAGAACTCTAGATCATGCTTGTTCTCCGCGTTGATTCGAAACATGATTTTCACCACGTCTCCCGGAAGTCCTCCGATTTGCAATGGCTCGCACTTCCATGTGTAGTTGGTGTAGTTATTGCGAAGAATACGCCAGCGAGTGATGGTGTGCTCATGCTGGTCCTGTGATTTGATTCAGTTATTAGTTTTCTTGAAAATGTGTTGTTCTACCATAGTCAGAAAAATTGGCGATCCTTTGACGACTTCAACGTTGCTCCAGAGATGTTGCGGATTTGGAGCGTCACCACTGATTGTGCACTCAACCGGCTCGGTGTGTGGGGTATGGAAGCTAAAATAATAAAATTAGGCTCGTAAGCTTCTGTATTTCAACACCTGAAATTGTGACGGAGCTTATACGCCAGAGACGCCATCACACCCTTCTTTGGGTTCAACACCGTTTGAGCCACAAAGAATGAGCTCGGGTTATCCTTGGTCAGCACGCACGCCTTATTACCCCATAAAAACGGTTCAAGGCAGTTCTCGAGCGTCGACGTCATCTTCCATCTGAAAATTGATTATCATTTTTCAAGAACGTCCTCCGTTACCTTGTCATAAACTTGGTGCTGAAAGTGCGCCTCAAGCCGCGGAAGCTTCTGGTACGATGCACCTTAATACCATACCTTCTTCTTCCAGTCGAAAGGATTGTTGAGTGGATTTGTCCAGCTCCTTCTATCTTCGCAAGAATGATGACGCTCTCGATGAAGTTATCATTATTTTTCTGAATATCGCATTTATTCCGATTCAATAATTTTATTAAACCTCTCCAGATGCCGCAACGACTTCGTCAGATTTTTCACCGAGGTTTCCTGATTTCGCCGAAATCTTTCTAGTCTTCGTCACTACCTTTCTTGATGCCGTAAAGCTACTATCTTTCCTGATGCCGAATCCATTCGTTTTTTCAACAACCTTTCTAGACGCGGTAACGATCATCTCCGAGTCGTTCTCGTCCTCTTCCAATTTCGGCGAAATATCATGATACTTCATGACGATATCGTCTGACGTCTCAGCAGTATCATCCGAATTTGCGGGGACGCCTTCCGACTTCATAACGATCTTTTCGGCATTTGCGACTACGGCTTTCGATGTCGTGGCCACTTCTTGAGACATTTCGAAATCTTGACCTGACACCGAGATAACATTATCCGACATTGCAACGACGTCTTCAGATACAGCGTTCATTTCATCTGACTTCGCCACGACGTTTTTAGATGTCGCGTCAATTTTCTCCGATTCAGCGACGGCGTCTTCGTATGGCGCAGTGGCTTCATCCGACTGAGCAACCACGTCTTTCGATGCCACAGTGTTTTCATCCGACTTAGCGACGACGTCTTTTGAAGCCGCAGTCTTGTCATCTGACTTTGCAACGACGTTTTTAGATGTCGCGTCAATTTTCTCCGATTCAGCGACGGCGTCTTCTGTTGCAGCAGTGGCATCATCCGACTTAGCGACGACGTCTTCTGAAGCCGCAGTTTTGACATCTGGCTTAGCGACGGCATTTTCTGATGCCGCAGTGATTTCATCCGACTTAGTGTCGGTGCCTTCAGATTCCGCAACGATATCCTTCAATTTTGCCGCGACATCTCCTGATTTCGCGCCGATTTCAACCGATTTCGCGACAATTTCAATTGATTTTCTAACAACATCTCCCAATTTCGCGACAACCATGGTAGATGAGGCAACGGCTTTTTCGGATTTTGCGTCTGCTTTTTTCGATGTGCCAACCTTTTCTTCTTCCACCTCTTCATCCCTTTCTTCGTCATCGGTGCTCACATCGGTCTCGATTTCATTCGCCTGAATAAATCATCTTAAAAATTATATATTTCTTCAACGCAAATACTTTCAGCTGAATCATGAACGCCTCGCGATCATTCATCTTCTTTCCCGACTTTCTACGAATCGGTTTGGTGTTACAGATGCTGAACACCACCTGACTCATGGATCGATGAGCTTCAACTCTCAGCCCATTAGAGACGATCCCGGTCGACACTTGATTCATGATGGTACAGAAGAATTCGACCTCATCAAGACGCATGGTCAACAGATGGAACGAGCGATCCTCATGCTTTTTGAGCAGTCCCAAAAGGATATCCCTAAACCAATCGGAGTATTTTAAAAAAATTGAATTCGATTCAACCCCGTCACATAATACAATTTGACCCAGAAGTAGCGGCTAGTTGGGAACCCTCTCGGCAATCCGAAGTGACGAACATTACTTTCCGTCGACTTCCGATCGAATCATCTAAACGTAAGAAATTCATACAGCAATTCATTTACAATTATTCTTATCAGAAAATGCGCAGAGTTTTGATAAGAGTTTAAGTTACCTTTTAATGGAGGATAGAAAACCAATAGAAAACTTGGTGTATTTTGCCTAACAAGAAATCAATAAAACCTCGATCAATTACACAATTACTATTCAAGCCTTTTAAAGAGTTGATCTAAGCTAGTTCATATCACATAAATCACTAAATCCACTTACACAACTCTTGGCTTCGTTGATGCACACAACGTAGTTGCCGTAGTAGTCGAACGCGCCGAACGGCCCATCGCACGGAAGAGAGAACATTGTTGAGAATGACAATCGCTATTATCAGTCGCTGCAATGCACATTATCATGAATATCGATTATCAGCAAAAAATAAAGCTGTGCGTGACGACGCAATCATCAAACGTCAGAAATAAATTTGCGGCCAACATTTTTTTTTGTCTTGTGTTTCATCGCGAAAATTGCCCGCCGGCTTTTTGGGCACGTACAAGAAAACACACAAAAATCGATAAAATTCCATCAATGCGGCGAAGAAAGTGGGCAATAAAAAATTGCGTCATCGGCTGCTCTCTTCTATTACCAGATTAAAAATTGAGACGCGTTCGAAGCTAACCCGAAGAATTAAGTGTGACCGCCTACCTTTCAAGTGTCCTACACTTAAAACCATTTACCTAATGGCATATAAGAACAAATACAATGATATATTTAATATATACAAAAATTTGGAACAAAAGGAGTTTGTGTGTCTCGAGGTTGGTTTTAAATTTTCGCACACAAAATGGCATTCTCGCATCGCGTAGTGGGAAATACAAAAATGATGAAAGCCGTCTGCTCTATTGCGGTTTTGTTGTTTTTCCGTTCGGAATCAGCTCAATGACTCATCAATAAACTATCGAAATCTTTTGATGACACATTCTTATTGATTTCATTTTTTCTATGTTTTTCTATGCAATCTCTTGCAGAACTGCTGAGTTACCGTACCTCTTGGCCATTCTATCGAACTACCGTAACTCTCTGAGTCCTAGTGTGAGCGCATTGATCTATGCGTTATCCTGTGAACCGTAAACCATCTAATCTATTGGACTTCTTGGAACAAATAAGCTACCGTATTCCTTGAACATAATGAGCTACATGAGTGACATTTTAAGCAAGTCTGAGCATCATTTAAGAGCCCCTCCCCCACTAAGAAAAACTCACTATTTTTATGTTCAAACGGTAGAAAGGAGAAGAAAAATTGATCGCAGATTAGAAGGCAACCAACAGGCTAGGAAAACTGCAATAAGCTAACAATGAAATCTGTCTCGACTGGCGACGATGACAATTATATGGGCGGCCTTTGGTAGGCGTGTTTCGCACAAGCCGTTCTAGAAGAAAGCGATGCGTCACAAAGAGCTTCAAATGGGCGGGGCCGAGGTACGATACAATTTCGAAGACAATTTCAACACAGGAAGAGAACAATAGAGTTCAACATAGAAACGCAAAATCCGTGAGAGAAAAAAAGGACAGTGGCAGTGTCAAGTGTTGAGAAATGGTTCAAATAAGCAGACATTGGCAATATTCAATAAATTCGTACATTTTGAGTTAAAACTCATCTCTCAGTAAAAAAATATTTAGAGATTTCATTTGTAAATTGACATTGAAGCGAACAGAAAATCTCAATGCATTATGGTTTGAAATGGTTAATAAAGCGAATTTGCGTCAATGTTAATGGAAGAAGCGCTGAGTTCTCATTATTTTTCCATGTTTTATGGACGTCTCATTAAGGACTACGATATATAATGACGGTTTTCAAATTCTTGTTCCAAATTCGATTGGCGAAACATGACTCAAAATGGCTTGCAAAGTTAGCTATTTACCTGGAAATTGTGTTCGATGTGTGTAACCTGAAATCACAGGTTCCTTTGGTGATAATTGGCAGGTTGGCAGAGGTTGAGAAACTGCGTGGTGATTTCTATGGTTTCTGATTTTTGCACAGTGACGACATCAGGCTCATAACAATGGGTCGTTTCGTGTTCGAATTTCCAATAAATCCTGACGTGTGCGCGGAGGAAGATGCAGTGCTTGAATCCAATAAAATTTTGGGCGCGCTAATGCACTGCGCTGCAGACGCGAAGATTTACGCAGCAAAATCCACAATCGCCTCAATTATTTTATTCTAATGATATGAGAACCGAAATGAATAACAAAATCAATGAGAATAATTTTAGAATTTGGTTTTTCTTTTTTTTTTGAATTGCAAATAAAAATAATCTAATTGAAAAAAAAAGAAATTGGTAAAAATGAGATCACCGACACAAAAATTGCATAAATCAAAAACGAATTGCGGGAAAGATTGAAGGTGTGTAGAACAAATGAAGGAATGTGATAATCACAAAACAAACAAATTTAATAAATTTTTTTGATGAAAAAAAAAACGAATAATTAATAGCGAAATTCACCGGGGAAAACGAATAATACTAAAAAAGTGCGGAGTTGAGAACTATTCCATCATTCTTGGACTATCATCCTCATCGAATTGAACACTCGGCGCTCGAGGTGAAGTTACTGGGTTCTTATTAATGTCACTTTGTCGGCTTTGTGGTAAGGAGCTGCTCGATGAAGCTTGAGTTATTATTTTTCGTTTTGCCCTAAAAGCAAAAGTTTGCAACAAATTGCTTCAAGTCTACATAATTACTCATTGATTTCAGTGGGTTTGACGGTTTTAGTTGGTGACACAGATATTCGGAATCTCTTCTTTGATGAGTCACTCTGTGCATCGCTCTCTTCGCTCTTCTCCATTTCAGCGTTCTAAACAATATTTTGATTATCACCGAGCGATTTCAAAATATATTTTGTCTCACTTGGAATTTCCTATGTACTGGCACCGCTGGTCGATATTCGAATCTTGTTTCAGTACTTCCAGGCACTTTTTCTTCTTTCGAAATTTCCGAAACTGTGGTCTTCGCCAACATCAAAGGAGTTTTTGATTTCAGTTTGTCTCGCATCGCTTTAGTCTGCAAATTCCAGGTTTCCAGAAAAATAATTTTCGCTTTTGCTATTTTCACCTCTTCAAACGATGGCCATGGCATAAATTGTGGCGCTATATCAGTAGCAACAAATCTGTAAAATCGAGATTTTCTTTTAAAAAATATTTGAAAAATTAATTATACTTCGCCGAATTTGATGGCAACTTTGTGATATCCTTTTCAGGAATATTTGCCAATTTTGGTTTTGCTGTTGTCGTGCCCGTTGGAGCATCATCAAAATTATCATTTTGACGGAGCGACGTGAAGCTTCTGAATGTTCATAATTAAATTATTATTAAATAAATTCTCATGTCGTGCAAAAAATATTGTTACAAAATAATTTGAAATCAAACTGTGACGAAAAAAAGTTACAAAATGGGTTTTCAAAAGATGCAATAGAACGTGTTAACAGAAAATTAATGACAAACTTCGGATAGGAATCCTCTCTTCCGGATTCATACAACGACACATATGAGTTGTATTTTGATGAACATCTCGACGGCGTCTGATTCGGAGGTGTATGAATATCGATTGGGAACGATCGTACACCGGGTTGACAGGGAACACCATATTTAGCTTCCAAATATGGCCGCAGTAATGCACTGCAATCACCCATGCGAATGAATAGAATTATACCAATCATGCACAAAACACATCACATGCTATTAAATTGTGAAATCTTGAGATTTAGAAAATACCGAATTTCTTCAGGTGTGGCTATCTGAACAACACTGCGCGAAAGTTGACTGCTATTGTCCGCAGATGAATCAAAGTTCATCGCTGCCGTCGGAGCTCCTTGATAGGAAATGGATTTGTGGATCGTTGGTGCTTCGGTCTCTTCATCCTCAAGCTCACGATTATCAATTAGCGATCTAAAGTAATGGGTCAAGATTTGTTATTTAATAATTTTCACCCCAAGCTTGGATGGAATGCAGTGACTTGCAAAGTTTCGGGAGTATTGTCTTGATATTGCAATGGTCTCGCAATGACTTGAGTCTTCTGCTCATCTTCTTCATCGATATCACTTTCCTCAGAAGAATCGGATGCCAGCACATTGTCATTTTCAATCTGAATAATTTTCAAGACCATTTTTTTTAAAGAAATTCCTCCTACTTCATGATACTGCCTCCATGGCTCCCTTCTCTGCTGCTCAATAAGTGGAATATAATCGATTGGGCTTTTCTTGTTTCTATCCTTATCCATTTGGTTTTTCTTACCTCCGGCGAGCTCAAATATCTTCTTTTTTTCCTCAGTTCGTTCCTATGTATACAAATTTTGTATGTGAAAACACAATAATGCATTCTTACGTGTACAAGTTGAGCTTGAAGATCAGTGTTTGCTTCTCGGAGACCTCGAACCAACGAAAATAAGAAATAAATAATAAGCCTAAGAAGAAAAAATCAAATAAATTCAAAACTCATCGACTTACATTAAAAATAGGATAATTGGAACAACAACTCCTGGGGATGCAACATGTTTGATGTAGCTGAGAACTGTTTGATCTACCCGTTTTTCGAGTTCTTTCTTAATAACGGTGTAGAAATTATCATATTTTCTGCAAAAAGAACACGCATAAATCTCAATAAATTTTCAATAATATTTACGCAAATGGTCCACAAGCTCTTGATGGGCTCATTGAAGCGATGACAAACCCAACTGGAAGGGTACAAAGGAGCAGCCAAATAAGAAGGATTCCAAGATAAAAATTGCTCGATCTATAGTATTTTAAGCGAAATGTGAAATTTAGCTTCAAAAAGCATACCTGCTGGCTCTGAAAATTTCTCTTGCTGGAACGTTGCAGGTCATGACCGCCCAACCCCTGATATACATCAAAATTATCAATTTGAGATTATTGATTGCTGGAAGCAGCGGGGCAAAGAACAATCCAAGCCAAATCATTCCTTGGTTGTTAATAATGTGGAGCACATTTTCCGCAACTTTAAACTCCCCATACTCTGGCTGAAATATTAAACAATTGAAGAAGAAAACATCCATTATTAAAAATCTCACAAAAGTGGTCTCAATATCCCAACACCACCATGAAGAGCAATATTTGATCCAAAGGCCGCGCAGAAAATCAATAACAAGAATGGAGAGAATAGTGAAAATGAGGTCCATTGTGACAAGTTTCACAATTTCCTAAAAAAAAAGTCGATGAAACAATTTTTTTGGAAAAAATTACCTGGCCAATAATTGTCTCCCAACAAATATCAGTATTGTACCCATCGCCTCCTTCACTTCTTCTCAGTGCAGTTTCACCCATTTTCACTGACGTATCTGAAAAGAGTTTGAATGAAAGAAAGCGTGGATTCTCGGCATATCTACCGTTTGAATCACTTTCGTCATCTTCATTTGGGTCTTCGGCTGGATCAAGCTCGATTAATCCTGAAGGTGTGGACGTTGTCGTAATAAGTCGCCAAGGTGGTTTCGTGCGCACTCTGGGCAATGGTGTTGATTTGGTGAAGACGCGATGTTTTGTAAAGTCTGGGCCTCCATATTGCTGGAAAATAAAAGATTTGATGAACATCGAAATATCAAAACTACCTGTCCGACTTTTCCCGGAACATGAGGAGGGTAAGTCCTTGGCGGCGGTGTGAAAATTGGCAACATTTTTGGCCCGAGTCTTTGAGATTCAAAAGCAGTTGTATGAGTACCATTGTGAAGGTATGCATTCGGATTATTAACATTAAAAGGACCATATTGTGGGGCCACCTGAAAAACTATTTTTTTCAAAGCAAAATCTTTACGGTGCGTTCCAACCGTATATGGTGTTGTTAAGGCTCGAGTGGTTCGTTGACTGATACTCTGAAATCGTCGCGTATTGGCTGCTAAAAATTTCTCCATTTTTCTCGTCTCAGCACGACTAGCATATGGTGGTGGGCGCTTGATGTTCTAAATGCGTGGTTGACATAATTTGATTCCTCAAAAATGTAAAATTACCGGATTAAATCCTCCTTGCTGCCGTTTCATTCGATGATGCGTCGTCGATGTTCCATTAACCCTTTCTCGGAGTGCAGTCATTTTTTCGAACAACGCGAAAATCAGGGTGATGTAATTGACAGTATACAGAATTAATACGCTAAAATGGCGATTAACGAGGAAGCTGCGAGAAAAAAAATTGGATATTACCGTCCCAAATGGGCTCTTAATGCAGTCCTCGGATGATAGTTCTCCATTCTTCCAATTAGATCGAATATCATTGGGAAAACGTGGGTGATGGTGGAGACAACAGAAGGAACCTAAAAATAGCATATTTTACTATCATAAATTTTGAAAAGTGAAAATTTTACCTGATTTTTTGTGAACAAATTTCCGTCGTCGTGAACTTGAGACTTCTGAACCGCAAAGATAATGCAGTATATTGAAAATCCAAGCATAGCGCATATGACAATATTTGCAAATACTCTAAGATCAATAATCTATTATAATTTTTTATGTAACTCAAATTTTGGTACCTTAACATAAATTGTAGTAGTCGAAATTTGCTATGCGCTCCGGTCTTGCAATCCGCAATTGATTCCTATAATTATATTATTTAGGCAATATCTTATATTTAGCAAATTACCCTCAATTTGATGACAACCGCCATCACAGTATTACTAGCAGTTTCAGAGTTTCCAATCGTATAATCCCATCCAGTGAACAATTTCCAGTTGAAAATGTACTGCTCAGCTTTGCTTCCAGATAATTTCGACATTCTCGCATTTGCAGCCATTCTATAATCATGGATATCTTATTCAGATCGTTTCTTCCATTCCTACTTTCGAAGAATTGCAAAAAAACTATATGCGAATATAGTTAATGTGACCATAAAATATGCTAACGGCAAGGCATAATTACTCTTTTTGCCTAGGAATGGATCATCGGAATAATAACCATAAAATAGAGGTGAGTATCGAAGGTATCCCTGAAAATCGCATCCATTACTCAGTCAAACCCATTATTTATTATCACGTCATAATGCCAAACAACAGCCAGCTCATCGGCGTGTATTTTCTCGTTCAATGGTATCTGCTTTCTGCTTTTCGTTCTATTATACCGGCCCTCATCAGCCACTGAGTCGGCAAGCGTCTAAAGTCCATTAAAAACAAATGAGGAGCATTAGGCAATTAGCGACTCACTTCTGGGAGAACGACAAATGCTACGGCGATTAGGGTGATAACCACGTTGACGAATACAATCCAGCGGAGAAATGTAAAATATGATGAAACAACTGATCCAAAATGACCTATAGAATATAAAATTGATTAAAAAAATGAACAATTATATGTTTTTTACTTTCTATCCGTTTGATTTTCGATTCCCATGGTATCAAATATGTTTTGAAATTTGAAAAACTCCTTTTCATCAATCTACCCCGTTTTCGCAATTCCTCAATATATAAATGACTTCGCGACACTTTCGACTCATGCTGCTCCAGATATTTTTGAGCAAGTCTGCAAAACAAAATTCGAGGTTTTCTATCAATTATACTGTCGATAAACTTCAATGTTCGCTTTTTTCTGGACATACTCCATGGCTGACATCGTAGCTTTCCAATAACCTCCTTTTTTTGTCGAATTCGTTCAAGAAGCGCCTAAAAATAAATCGCCTTCGTTTTCGAAATTCTGCGTGATTACCTGTCGAGTGAGCGGATTTCCATCTTCATCAGTTTCCCTTTGTTTTTCACCGCTCTTGTTGAGAAACGTATCAGTTTCGCTGGAAATATACTTTTTTTTCGTAAATATCACTAAAATAGGTACATATCTATTTATAAACATTTTGTTTGTTGTATTTTCTCAAATATTTTTTTATACTTCAACAACAATTTTTGTGTCGATTTTGAGCAGCCAATATTCGAAGAACTCATATTCGTCAAAGATGAACAAGAATTTCTTGCTGACTGATCCTCCTGATAAAACGTGTTGTTTTTCGCGGCCGCTGGTGACAGACAATTCGTCTGATTGCTTGTTTCGATCAGAAAAGCAAATTCGAGCAATGATGAATTGTTTTCGCAAAAATTGGTGGTGAATTCTCATGAGGGAAATTTGAAATGAAAAATCTCTATTGAAAATTTCTTTTGCAGATCCCAAGTTTCTGAGAAAGCAGTATACATGTATACATAATTTTTTTAAATCACATTTTACTGACATCAAAATTCCTGTTTATCGAAACACGCGATCAATTAAAACATCATAGATCGAACAATAAAAAGCTCACATCTAATTTTTCGGATTCACCCACACATTTTTTTAAATTATTGCCTGACATCACAATACTACGGTAACGTTAGTAAAATATCATTGCCTTTATTCTAGAGCCCACGCAACAAAGGAATTTCGTGGCATTCCATGATTTATGCTTTTGGTGGTAGAATGAGGACACACACAATGGTGGTCTCGTCAAAAATGAATTGGAAAAATCTCTTGAAAGAGGGGAAGCGATGAGGGAAGAAAAGTATCGGGCAACAACACAATGGAGAAATACTTTGCAAAAATTGCATAATTATAATACATAGGCATAATAATTTAAACTTTTTCGAATGTGTTCAACACCATTTAAAGTTAAAATTGCAAAATTTAAATATTTTTTACATTTGAGTTTTTTTTCAGGTACTTTATTGTGGAGAATGTTTTATCGTCTTAAAAACTGATACAGGACTGAGAATATATGTTTTCCTTCAATCGCAGAAGTACTTTAATTTTTGAATTTAAACAACAAATTTGAGTAACTAACTGCTTGTATAGTTCATAAACGGTTAATTACCCATTTTTACATTTACAAACTGACGGCAAAAACTTACACATTTTGGTTTTGAGGCTGGAATAACGAAGAAGCATCAAAAGAATTGTTATATAACCTGCTAACGGTATTTTTGCGGAATACCGTTATTAAGTCATGAAACACCGACGCTCGCCTTTGGACCAGTGGATTGTCTCGCAAACCCTCTGGCAGAATTTCAATTCCATTCATTTGACATTGGTGCCGACACGCTGATTAAAACGGTTAGCTATGAACGGATATTAATTAATAGTCGACACAATAAGAATAACGAGGAAGTTCGAACCGAATGAATCAAATGGATCTGATAAAACACTGCTCAGTTGCACACAGGGAGAATAGCCTCACCCTCGATCCCACCACAACTAAATGATGAATGCTCTCTTTCCCTCCCGTGACGTTTGCGATGGGAAATATACGTTGGTATCGGGAGTTGATCAAAACTTATTTTTTTTGTGCGTGCGTGTGCAACATCTTGTCGCAACATTGTGTGCCGAAAAATATGATCGGATATTACAAATTTGATGAACATGAGAAATTGATATTCTAGACACAATCCGCGAAGCTATCCATTGTTTCAAGGGATTGATACTGAGACGCGGCATAAATCACACCGATAGGCACTTTTTCATTAAAAACACCCTCGTTTAATGTGTTGGTTTCTAATCACTAAGTTTCGGTGGCGTTTTTTGAGTAAAAAGATGATTAAGAATGTAATTGATTAAAACAAGAAAGAACAAGCGTTTTGCGGTTTTAGCACAATTTTTTGACGTCGTCAGTTCAACGGGGAAGCGTTTATGACCTCCCATGAGGATATATTCAATGCCAAATATTTCGGAAAGTGTCCCTTCCAGCTCAAATCGTAAACTATTGTTTTAATGAAATCAGTTTTTGCGGAAGAAACGTTTTCAGGTTGAATAGGAATTTTGCTCATGCTCGAATAAACAGCAAATTTCTTGACACTCCAAAATGTACATATAGAGAAAGTTCCAAATTTTTTTATTAAAAAAAAAAAAAACAAAAAAAACAATATTTTTGGAATTTCGAACATTAACTAAAATTATACTTTGCAATAAAATCTGCTGAATATAATAAAAATGTAAGGATGTCTTAAAATTTCTGTCAAAAATTGTATTTTAGCAAACCCAAGGTTTTCTAAGACTACGGAATTTTTTAAATTTTTTTTTATAAATCGAAAAATTATTTTCAAGTATTAATAGCACTTTTGAAGAAATTCCACAAATGACCCCCCCCATCCATTAGTCTAACGCATCGTCCATTAAGCTTGATATAAAGAATAAACGAAGATGATATAAAAATCGAATCAAGTTTTTCGAAAAAAATGGTAAAATTTAAAAATTTGCCTGAAATTCTGATCGTTTGAAAATTTTGTAACTTACCTGAAATCAAAAATACAAGAGAGAATAGACAATGTGGAAAAGCTTGAATTCTGGTAGAAATTCTTGCGAGTCACCTTTCGCCTATATTCTTCTCTTTCATTTTGCTCATCGTCTTCAATCGAGCTTGACATAATACTATCAGAAATGTTGCTCATTTTTGAGATGTCAACTCCGAAAAGTGAGGAGGACCCCACAAGTGTATCATCAATCTATGCATCTTGGCTGGCATTATCTCTTGTAAAATTGTGTGTCAAGCACGCTATCCAAACACTCGAATTGAATTACTGGCACCCTTTTTTCGATTTTTTTGGTTGGTTTGACATTCCTTTGGAAAAAGAGAATTCTGCGTGTTATCCAAACTTACCCAAATGCATATAGAATATCGTAAAGCTCGTCATCTAGGGTGAGTTTCGATGATGCTCGTTCTCCAAGCGATTCCTGAAATTAACATCTCATAATTCCCTGGCGATTTCAAGCATTTCGCGGGGCGTCCTTCAATATTTTTGTGGTTGGCTCATGCTCGCGAGTTTTCATTGTATCCCAAAGACCACACACATTTCCCGTCGGCTCACAATTTTTTTTCATTAACTTTGAATGCTCGAGAATTTAAAAAACCAGTGTTGCCGATTTAATTAAGAGATACGAAATTGTTTTCAATTTCGGGGAGGGCGCCTCCCACAATTCGAAATTCATGCCTCGTCTGCGAGCCAACAATTTCCAACGATGTGATGATGTTTGAATAGTGATCTAATATTTGAAAAATTATCTTCGAGAATGCCACTATAAATCAAATAGTGATTGTGAACATTCATAATCACAACCCAAAAATATGAACTTGGAGTCGCTCAGAAATCTCAAAGGTCGCTGAGGTGGGACAGGAAACAAATTGCGGCTGTGAAAAATTAGAACTTTCTTCGCGAAAAAAAAACGTTTGTAAAGTGCAGGATTGGACTTGCATAAAATATGAAATTTAATTATTTTAAAAAATATGAAACGAAATTATCTGCGAAGTTTTTCCCATAAAACCGTTTAACTATTATTTTTAAATTAATCGTCGATTAAGCATTAAAATTTTCGAAAATTTGATTAGGATATTTTGAATCTTTTATTAAATTCATAGAACTGATAATATTGAGATGAAAAATTTTTTTTTGAAAAAATGGAATTTGATAAATTAAATCAAGCCTGTTTTGTTATATATTCTAAAGCAAATATGAAACTTCTTACTCAAATTTACAGAAATTCTAAATAGTCGAAAATTCACCTGTTTAGATAATTCAGCTACATTGGTTGGTGTGAACTCCCTTCTCAGCGATGTTCTCCTATTTTCCTGCTGCATTTTGACAGCGGTGGGAGCCAACGTAGGTGTTACTACGTAAGCGACCCCGCTGGCAACACCGCCGCTGTTGCCGAATTCTGAAAAAAAATGATTTGAGTTGCTCATGAGGAAACTTGACTTCCGAGTGTTCATTTCAATAAATCATTTTGAGCATAACCGAAACTGGCACTTTCACAGGTCAATGCGTTTTTTGGCATTCAAGGGTGAAACGAGAATGTGTAAAAGTGTTCATAGATAGCATTTAAATTCAAATAAAAAATTGTGTATCCTTAAATAAAAAAAATTGAATGAATAATTTGCAGTATAAAAGACCAAAAGCTAGCCACCTCATTATTGAAAGGGACAAAAAAGCTACTGCCTCAATAATGAGAATATTATTCGCATAATCCAAATAATAATAATCTAATATAAAATCGAAATTATCAAATATTTTTTTCACATATGAAAACAATGTTTTGCCAAATCTCTGTTCATCAAAATCACGTAACATAGCGGCAAAGAATATACTAGATTCCTACAAAAGGAATTGACATCTGTAGGATGATGGTGTTTTTTGCGTGCTAAATGTTAACGTTTTATAGTATGAATATACATTTTAAAAAATTGAAAATTTTTAATAAAGCTATGAATTCTATTTTAAGTAAATATTATAAAAATATAGAATATTTTAGAGACTCTGTGGTATGTTCATTGCGGTTTCTGCAACACGTACTATTCAAAACTTCTTAGGGTTCAAAATCATTTAAAATTATTGAAGATTGAACTCGATAGATGAGATGCGCCGATCAATTTTTTTTCTGGCGTTAGACTTACCGTTTCGCATTTTATGCATTTTTAAAGCTAATCTGAACAAAATGGGCGAAGTTCAACTTGTAAAGCTCCCATGTCAACATCCCATGGGATGATCAACGTTTATTTTTTTTGTCGAAACCTAGACAGACCTTCTATCCGACGAAAAAAAATTGGAAGACTCGCGACAAAAATGATTCTTTTAGTTTTGAGTAATTTGTCAAGTGCCGTTGGTCGAACTTTTTTTTCGGTGGCGGGAGAGGAAAAAAGACCAAAAAAGCATGGTGTAAGCTAAACCCCGAAAAAAAATGTTCGCTATGTGATTTTTCTAAAATACGAGAGTGTACGCACCTTTTTTTGAAGACCACCCATGGGAATAATGTTTTGAAACAATAGATTAATCTTTCAACGTTTCGTTCTCAACGCGTGTACGTGCTATTGAGACAAACTTTAATTCATTAGAGCATGAATGTTTTTCTAATATTACCTGGCCGAAGAAAGACGTGCATCAGGATAAATGTAACAATGGGAATATGCGGACATGGACAGAAATAATTATGGGGGGGGTGTAATGGACAATCTAATTTTGGTGGTAATCAGATTGCAACAATTGTAGGCGCATTTACACCAGAAACCCAAAAACATGCCAAAAAACCAAAAATTTAAACAAAGATCTGTTATGGGTTCCCCCACCAAAAAAAAAAGACAAGGCAATTTTGCAAATTGGCGTTGCTCATTCAAGCCTCACCACCTTAAATATGTAAATAAAATCAACAGAAATTGGTTCCGGGAGTCCCATGAGGAATCAACGGAAAATTTTGATTCACGTTTCAATGTTTCATATGTTCACGAATACATGGGAAAAAATGAGGCGCGGGCAAACTGAATGGTATGTACATACGTATGCGGTTGTGGGTGTTGCTTGATGCATACACCCCTAGGGATGATGTTTTTGGAACATACAAAACAATGTCTTAATTTTCTGACACATTTTTTTCACACTCATATTTCGGATTTGATGCGTATTTGGCCAATGGTGACCCCACAAACATACACACACAAGAAGTTGATTTTGTTTTCGTTTCTTACTGAGTTTTATTTTTTTTTGCATTCCAATTCCATTTTTCACGGATTTGCGAATTGAGGAAATCAAACAAAGAGGAAGCGATTCAATTTTAAATGTTTATTTTTGCTTAAAAGGCTAGAACTTCAATATTGATGAATAGGAATGCGAATTTCAGAAGTCGGTTAAACTAGAACAGATATTGAATTCTCATACGATGTCTCCAGTTGTCAGAGTTATAGGAAAAAAAAATATTCTCAAATTTTTAAATTTTCAAATATGTCTTATATAATATTACAATCGCATATCTTGTTGAGGCTGTGAGTTTCATTTGCATATTAACAATTTAGAAATTTAGGTTTTTACATTCAAATTCGAATTACCGCAAAAAATATGGTGGTCCATAGATACTCAGAGTGTTCATTTAATTGCCATCCTAATATTAATAAACCGAAGTGGTTCGATCAATGAACATGATTTCTGACACTTCGAGCATTGCGAAATTTTCGGAAAGATATTTTTAAAACGTTATGTTTAGACGTAACTAAAAGTAGTAAGGATTAAAAGAACTCAAATTGCTGTAATATAAAAAAAGAGGGATTACTGGTGAGAATGCAAATTTGTCATAAAAATGCATGAGATCGAAAATTGGGAGAATGAGCTCATAAAATTTACGATGTGTAGAAAACCCTTCCCTTTGCATAAGCATAATTATAACAAATATTGAGAAAAAGTGCAAAACCTGAGCGTTTTAGCCAAATTGTTATTTTTTATATTATGCACACGCTCCATAAAAAAAGCTCTTGAGCAAAATTGGTAGTTGACTTTGGACCATATGGAGTCAAAAAGGCGTGGCAGGAAGGTGCCATCAATCGCACTCACAAAAGTGTCACCTTGTTTGCTTTGTAATTTGGTTCATTTTGGGAGAGGAGGAAAAAGGGGGGGGGGAGGTGAGTGAGGGTCCCACACAGATGAGCTTGATTCAAACAAGTGTGCGCATCAACCGAAATTAGGAGGGCGAGAGAAAAGTGGCGGCACCGGTGTTTGTCTCCAAAACTATCAAGTTGCTTTGCTTTTTTAGTAGACTCTAAACACCCCGTCACACTCCAGAAATGGGCTCGCCGTACAAAATCGCAAAACGATCCAAGAGAAAAAAAGATAAGCCACAACTTACTCAATCGATCTCGGAAGAATTTCATTGTAGTCTCGCCGCAAAGTCCATCACAAAACGCAAACGAATGAAATTGACAGATAATGTAAAATTAGCTGTGCAAAAATGTGGACAACGTGTGGAGTGACAACTCAAACGTTGAAATGAGCCATATCACTCATCTCAATATCACCGGTGGTTTTCGTCACAAACACTTGACAAAATATATGTTTTTATCTTCGTGTCTACTAAAAAAAATAATGCAAAGCAGAGAGGAATTGTGAAATATTAAATCCGAAATGAAGATATGATGTTACTGGTAAACACTGCACTTAAAAAAAGGGGAAAATTTAAAAATAAGACGCTTAAATTCTTGAAGGTCATTTTTCCTCACTTTCCATCACTCCAACACCTCTCAATCCGTATTGCACTTTTTAGAGTAAATTATATATTTTTCTCACTTTAAAATTTTTTAATTATGCTGTTTGAGCAATATTATAATTAATTCAATATAGGCAACACATATAGAGCAATATCCGCAGCAACGCCCATATTTGGTATTCTTCATTAACTGACCATGACAAATAGAAAAGTGCAAATGACTTAGCACATCAAGTACATGTTTCGCACCCTTTAAAATATTACTTTGAATTTTGTTTTCAAGATAATCGTGTCAAAAATTTATGTATATTCAACATTATTTTACATATTAAATTTAACATAAAATATATCATTCCTTATATGTACTTTCGATATTTATATTTTTGATGTGAGAATTTCAACGCATATTCGTCTATATAATCCACCAATAGTATATCTGGGAACTCAATAATGTTGTATACACGACAAGTGCTTTCTATCAATTCGCCAGCTCACCTTCTTGCATGTGGCGTCTTCGACTTGACCAGAAACGTTAGAACGCGCATTGATTTATAACAGAATGGGTGTTAACCAAGGGGCCCAGATTAATCTGGCCCAATTTTTCGATTACATTTTTCTATTAAGCATTCTGTTTCTTTTCTAATTAAATGTATTAAAAAGTAGATGCTTTTATTAAGCTTTTGACAAATAATCAAAAAACTAAATTAATGCTACCCTTCAATTTTTTTTAAGAAACCGTACCTTGCGCTGATTCTCTCGCGCTGTTTGGCATTTTCACTCCGCTGGCAATGCACTAAAAAGTCAAAATAGTTTTGAAACAAAAATATTGAATTAAAACGTCTAGCCTAAAACGATTTGTATAAATTGAAGTGGTAGACCAAGTGCAGCCCAAAGTCAGGAAGTGCAGCCCGTTGGGTAGATTACAAGCCACATTACTCGAAACGTTTTTTTTCACCCGTTTCGCCTTCCATAAGTGTAAATCACAGTATTCCATGGTTGAATAGTTTTCGGATATGCGTAATGCACTTCACGCATGCATTATACCTGAGAAAGTCTGGCGCCTATTTAGATATGTGTAGAAATATGCCTGTGTGTATGTGCTTAGATAATCATATATTGCAAACACCACTCAGGTTTTCTCGTCACCCATAGCCAGAAGTGAAAAAAATAGCTGGAAAATCGCTAAGAAGCTAGTAAATTTTGTGCGTAATAGCATACCTTGCACATTTCTATAAAGTACCTTACAAATATCATTTTTTCGCGTCAATAAATTTGAAATAGTTGAACTACCGGAAGTGCGCTAACTGACATGCATTGTCCTTCAGGAACAGGTTGCGATTTTTCACCCATAGATGGAACGGGAATCAAGGTCAAAGTTCACTATAGAGAAATTACAATTATATAATTCATATGTTTCTTCCCATTTTTTGATATTATTTAATTGTGGTCACTTTGAGCATCTTCGTAGACGAACATACATAATTTGGCGGAGATCAGCCTCTTAGAATTTTTTTTGCTTCGAATTGCTTTTGGATGCCCGTTCTTGGTAGCCGCGAATTTAAGAGAAATGAGCAATGCTTTTGTTTCAAATCATCATTGTTTGTTTCGAAAGAGCAATATAATTTCCTTCTTTACTGCTGCATTACTCATTTCTTTGCGACAGCCATCAAACACGCCACAAATCTCATTTCAATATCAACGCTTTGAAACTTGCTAAATTAAATTTCGCCCAAAAATTTTAATCTGATGGGCCAGGTCTTGTCGGCAGCTGCCCCCCATCGCTCGTTCCCCCGCATTCTCTCCGTTTTATATTGTATATGTTGTGTTTGAAAAAATTTTCGCGATTGAACGGAGTGATAAAAGGGGTGTTCTCCTATCATTTTGTTCGAAAAGCAAACTCTCATCAGACATTTTTGGAAGTATGATTTCAATCAACTGGTTTTGTTGTTTCATTTCGTTAAGTGTTCGCAGCCTTCGTGTTTCTTATTATCGTCCACTCAAACCGAGAACATTCCTCTCCTCTTTTAAACGCAAGTGTGATTAATCAATATGCACTTTGCCATCATTACTTTCTTTAATATTTTTTTTCCAAAGAAAACCTTGCAATACCACGCAAAAGCAACAAATATTGACATTTCTTGTTTGAAAAACGACAAGTACATACAATCGCTCACAAATTCGAGTTTTGACCTTTGCTTGAAAGTACAAGTTTTTTTTGCAAGAATAAGTTGAAATATGTGCTACATCTACTGGTATGCAACAACTCTTTAATTGTTTGTCAATAAAATATTGTCCAGCGTTAAGTGTTCTTAGAATTTTTGAAACAATTATTAAAAATTAAAAATTGTTATTTGGAGCCTCTAAACTCTGATAAATTGCTCAAAAATACCGATATCAGTGCATTGTGCCATTATGTAGGCGCCGCAAATATCATTTTATCAATTCCATTCTAGAGCATTCAACAATTGTCGATTTCTAGGGTTCCACAATGGAGAATATGTACGATGTTGTCGTTGTTGGTGCTGGAATCTTTGGATCCTGTACGGCGTTTCATTGCCAAAAGTTGGGTCTCAAAACACTTTTATTAGAACAGGTATGCAATGTTTTCTAATTACACAAATAAGGGAATATCGCTTACATTCTACGAATATGAATCAATGATTCATAAATGTAATTTTGCTCTGCGAAAAAATTTTCAGGTTTCCCCTATCTTCTTAAAACATTTTTATTTTATTTGATCGGTCAGTCGCGGTACACTATGTATCTTTATTGGTTTTGAGATGTGCAAATGATAGGGACTGTCAATGCTAGATAGAACATGGCTACGAAAAACTATTTTCAATATTTAAGATCTTTTTTTCAATATTCTACTAGAAAATTCAATTTAAAAAGGTTTTTAAATTTGAATTGTGCTATTGGGGAATTTTTTGTTTACTCTGGTTTTTTAGCCATGGAACAAATGATTTTAATCATTTCGAATACATTAACCATCTTCAATATTTCCAAATTAGGTTTTGATATAATTAAAAGATTATAAATCATCATTCGTGATTTACATAATTAAGACAGAATAATTATGGCAACAAAATTTTTTCCACTTCACTTTCCACTATAATTTATTTAGATAAGATCAAACTCCAAATTTTCATTTTTAACTGTGAGCGGTCTTCTTTTTCTGGTTGATGCCACTCTGCTCTCTTGAAACAGTTTGTCTAAGAGCATGTGATAAGAAAATAATTAAAAATTTCCGGGTCCAAGCGAACTTTAAAATTCGCAGTTAATTAATCAACTTTATGGGGTTGAAATATACATCATATCAGTTGCCAACACCTAGACAAATACTTTACTCAAAATCATTAATTTGATAACGGGAGTGAACAATAAAATTAATCTTGCATATGTGCATTAAAATAAAATCATTATAGTACACTGTCGGACATAAGAATGGTAGCTCACACGGAATGACGAGAATCATTCGATATGCTCACACTGAAAAGGAGTACTTACCATTAGTCTCGGACTCTTACATTCAGACATTTGAGATGGAAGAGCTTCGAAATGAAAGACTTTGGAAGAAAACGGGTCTTCTTTGGGTGTCGAAAGGAGAGGAAATCGATAAAATTTCCGAAAATCTCCGCGCTTTCAAGGTTGAACACGAAATTTTCAACGGTATTCTGGTATTTTGAACAAAATCCACGTGGAATGTACTTTTCATGACGAGGTTTTCAGATCAACCGCAAATACACGCAGTTCAAATTCGGACAGGAATGGAAGGGCTTGCTGGACCCAATGGGCGGAGTCATATTTGCCGACAAATGGCTTCAAGCCTACCAAGTAATCCCCGTTTTCTGTTTATTAGCTTAATTGTAAAAAATGTTCAGGCAGAATTTAAGCAGCTAGGAGGTGTTCTTCAAGATAATGAAGAAGTGACAGAATATAAAGAAAACGATGAGACTGGGGTGTGCGTGTACACCAACCGTGGCACTTATACGGCAAAAAAGGTGATTTTCACCGTTGGGGCTTGGATTGGAAAGCTGCTGCCCGAGCTCAAGTTCAAACCGGAGGTATTGAAAATTTTCAATAAGAAAACAACAATTCATTTTAAGCCTATTAGTATTGCCGTCTGCTTCTGGGAGCCAAAGGACAAGAAGGACGAAAAAATGTTTTCAGACGATCACTTGCCAGTGTTTATCGCACAGGACAACGATTTGCAACAATTTCACTTCGGCCTTCCTGGTAATGATCATCCGGGCACTTTCAAGTTTTGCTATCACACGGGTCCCACTTTGGACGCTAACTTGAATCATCCAGCGAGTCCATCCGAGGTTTGTAATAAAACAAATGTGCAAACTAGAACAGTTAATTGCTTAAGGAATGCATCAAATTGCCGGCGAAATTCATTGAGAACCACATTCCCCTTGTTAATCCGATTCCAAAAATTGTGGAGACATGCAAGTACACGGTAGGCAGCTAGTTTCAGCTGATTCAAGCAAAATTACAATTATTTGAGGTCTCCCCAGACCATCATTATATTATTGGGCCTATCTCTGAGGATCGTCCTAATGTGATTGTTGGCGGTTGTGGCAGCGGATCGGGTTTCAAGGTAGCGCCGGCAATCGGACGAGTTCTGGCAGAATTGGCCGCTGATCAAGATCCGTCAATAGAAATTGCATTCTTCTCACCAGATAGATTCATATAATTTACGTAAATGTTTTTATTGTACATATTAGCCAATTTCTATACGAGTTGAATTTATTTGATTTTTTTCCTTATCAACCTGTGCTAAAGTTTAGTCGAAATGTTAAAACTCTTTATTTGAATAAATGTTCAACAATATTATTTTGTAAGATTGGATATGGAAAAATCATTTAACACGAAATTGGGGGGTCGATTTGGCTTGGCGTCCGGCGCCAATGTGATACTAGCAATGTCATCGGCGATTTTCACTGTTTTTGGCTAGTAGTAGCCTCCTCAAAAATAATTCATGCGTAAGTTTCTCAAAATATTCAGAATTATACCTCAGTATTCATCGGCTCATCATTATCGGGAAGAGAAACCATGATCTTCTCCGTAGTAGTTGTTGGTTGTCCGGAACTCCAGCGAGTAATCTTGATTTCCATAGTCTGGAGTGAATAACGCTGGATCTGCTTTTTCGTCAGTGTTTCTTTCTTAGTATGCTTGAATTCAGATGTTTTAGTTTTCTTCACTTTGTTGATATTGTCAATTTTCACATTTTGCAACGATTCCGACAACTCCTATACTTACATCTTAAAATTGTTAATTGCCATTCTATACCTTGATTTGAGCTGGCGGATTTGCATTCACCTGCACGTTTTGCTCGGAAACGGTAGTCGCTCCACCGGTGGTGTTTGTTGGAGCTCTTGGTGGTGATGGCGGAACAAAGTGATCCTGAATTGAACTACCATACACGAATCACAACAAAGAACACAAACCATTGAAATTCCGAACAGTTCGTAACCGTACTTAAGCATGCTTGATAGAATTTAAAACCTGCAATGAATTGGTAGAAATGGAACTCATCCTATGCGAAAATAAGCGAACACGGAAGGTCCAGAATTTATTAATTATCAACTAAATTGTGGCTTGTTTATTCTTATTCTGTTTTATTATATGATTCGATTAAAAAATGATACTGATAAGTAGATAAGAATTGTTCAATCATTATTTGCCCGATCATTAACTAGAATAAGCTGTGTATTTAATTTTATTCATGGCAATAAAAGCAATATTTATTTAAAATTATAATTGCAAGTGATAAAATGTAAGAATGCCTAAATTGAATGGAAGAATCAGTAAGAGAAATATATAAAAATAAAGGTATATCTTGAGATAATGCTATGGAAATGTGCATGTAGTCATATACAAATTCTTAAAAAATGTTCCCACACACTTTTATATCCACAATTGATATTATATATATTTTTTTTTTGAAGATAAAATGTTAAATTTTAGAAAAAAAATTGTTTCTGCAAATGCGTTAGCCCTTACCAATTTTTTAATAGGGAAATTAAAAGAAAATTAAAAAAATGCAAAATGCAGAACAAAAAACACTCAGAGAATCAATCGGGGCAAATTATTGTGGGAGACAAACACGAGAATAATAGTGGAAACAAATGACGCCGACGGGTCAGCCCGACACGATAAATTGAAGGCGATGTGTAATTGGAGTGTCGTACTGGCCCTGTTTTTTTTTTGCGACAAACTGCGAGTTTTTGGGAACTCACGTGGAATCATAATCTCAGCGATTCGAAAAGGACGAACCATAGTTGATTTTGGTTGAAACATCGAGATTTCCCAAAAACTTCCGCGGTTTGTTCCAAATCTTTTTTTAACCCTACTAGTACGAAACTCCAATTACAAATCGCCCGCAGTTTAGCGTGTCAGGACTAAACCGTGAACGTTTTGTTTTGACCGAGTTGTTCGATCCGTTATCCCAAACCAAAAATTGTCCCAATGTTCGTCCCGATCGAATCACTGATATGCTTAAATCGAAACCAAAAAATTTCTATTTTAAAAGTTACCCTATTTTTTCATTTTTTTTTAAATTTTATCCAATTGTTCCATAAATTCTAAAAGGGGCCTTTTTGGGTCCTAAAAAGTACGTGATTTTATCGGCTGATTTTTTTTGTATCATAAAATTCATTCCGATCGATTTTTTTTGTATTTTTAATACTTGACTGTTAATAAATCTAGATAAAAAATTAAAATAAAGTTTTTTTAAAACTATCCTTAATTTTTTCTGTTTTGGATTGTTTGAATAACTATCTTAAAATCTATATTATATATTAATATGCCATAAAGCTTCAAGAGTCCATTTCTCTTTATCAGGATATATATATATAAACCAGTGAGCACAAGAAATTTAAAACTGAACGACTTTATTTAACCATTTCTTCTGCTTTTTTTGTAAAATAAATAAAATATTAATATTTATTAAAATATTAATATATACACAATATCAGCGGCATGTGAACGAAATGTATGAAAACTACTTCACCGACACGGCGTATCCCCATAATTTCATCTGCTTCCCAGGAATCCAATATCACGCGTTGTGTAAAAAACACGCGAGAACATTTGATATAATAATTTTGCATTCCCCGAAGTAAAAGTTTTATATTATATATATATATATAGTAAGAACACGAGTAATTTAATGAATGAAATTCCAACTTAAAAAAAAATAGACATGCGAGATATTAATCCAACTGAAATTTATTCTTGTTTATTTCTCTTGAAAAACCTCGAAGGGCTAAGAAAAATGTAAAAAGCAGAAACCAAAAAAATGATTTGCTCAATTTTTTTCTTTGTTAGTATTATAAATCAAATAAAAAATATTGGATTTGGACTTGCCATCATGAATGTCTTGATGTACTTCTCTTCGTCAAAATTGCCTCATAAATCGTCTATAGCCGCATCACGAGGAGACGAATTCGATGAGGGCCCAATTAATAAAGAAAGTGTCTGCGACGAGTCTACCGCTATCCCCGTTATTTTTTTTTTGAAAAAACGGCAAAGTTCCTTCTCGTTGCCCTGTTCCTCCTTCACCACTCCACGGTGTATCACTCAGGTTGTCGAATTGAAGATTGGAGAAAGAGGGGGGGGAGGGGTGGGGTTGCGGTGTGCAAAGAACTATGTTCGAAGCAGTTATATGATGTAACCGTAATCAGCGCATAGTAGCTGATAAATCAACTACCATTGTGCAGTGGCAGGTATTAATTATAATCGGATGATTGTGAAATTCATGACTCTGCTCTTCTTCAGCATTCGAACTTTGAACTCAATAATAACAATGGAATTGGAATGCAACGTGACTTAAACAAATAATTATAATTAAACAGCAAAAAAAGAAATAAATGAAACTTGGATTAAACACGCGTTTACATTTGCGCGGTGGCAGTTTTTTCTTGTTTGGTCGATAGGTTTTAAGATCGAGATTTTGAAAAATCGGACTACTGAAAAAAGAGAACAAACTAATTGAATGAAATAAATCTTTTCGTAAAATTATCGCTTCGAGAATCACAAACCATCCTCATCGGAATTCTGTGGTAAATGACATGAAGATATCTGCCGACATCTTTTTTTCAAGAACATGTGCAATGTGAAGCATGAATTGTTTTTCAATTTTTCTGGAAAAAAAATTATAGTTAATTTAAAAGAGATAGGAAAATACTTCTATGAGGGTGGTTTTATGAAAAACTTGAAAGCTGCTTTTCACGATCAAACATGTAATTTCGAACTTTGCATCAATTCAAGATAAAATCGATTCAAAAATTTCAAACGAATTGAGGTGGAAGGTTTTCCTGCTGGTCGCGCAAAGCAGTTTTTTCTCGTACGCCTTGCGTGCTGTACTAAACTTGATGACAAACCTCCCCATCGCCTCGTCCAAGCTTTCATATTTTTGTTTCATTATGCGATTGACTACAGTGCAACAACAAAAATATGAGCAAAACATAATTTTTCTACGACTCAAATGAATGGAAAAAAGTTGGTACAATAAAATTGTTTCATGATTTCAAATCAACTACGCAAGACAAATCAAATTAATCTGTTTGATTGTCGAAATACCAAAATGATAGAGTACCAGGGTAGATTTGATTGAAACGCGGCGTTGAAATTCTTCTACAAATATTGTGGGAGACGAATGGAAACTCAAATGGTCAAATTACAGGTCTAATTTGATTAATTATCCATTGAACATGATTCTCTGTAACGATTACAATTTAAAATAGAAACTTTGGGTGACATTGGGAAGCATATAGAATTCAAATCAATTTGGTGCAATTTTCAAATTTTAGTCAAAATCTGAAAAAAATAAATATCTATTACGATGGGTTGGGAAGTTCATAAACAGAAGTCTAATTGTTGAATTGTTGAATTTAAACATATTTTTCTAAAATAGTTTAATTAAGCTTTATCTAATTGAGCTCAAACTGCGACTCCTTTTTTTAATGTCACTTTAAACTGTTCTATCGTCAATACCACAGTTTTCATGTAATTTCTATTTTCTAGCTACTTGCTCTTATCGATGTAATCCATTAACGCCCCCTTTTTGATACTGATAAAATTTCCAGATATTTATAGATAAGGTTGCCATTGAAATACGCTACCGTGTGTATCGATAGTATAGCTCAACGCAAAAATTTCAAAATTTTCCAAATTTCAGGTGTCGGGTCTCCAACAGATCCTACGTCCTAACAATGGGCCTTGGCAGTAAGACGGCAATTTACAGTAATCACAAAATTGAGAACAATTTTTGCAGGTTGCATAAAAAATCTCAAGCTTCGAGAATGGCTTAACATTGTACTGTTCATCATATCAATTGCTGTTCTGATCACATCAGTGGTTCTTATTGTCGTATTCGCAGGTATGTACATTATGCCATATTAAGGACTTCCAGAATTTGAAGGGAATAAAGCTTTTAACAATATTCATATTCTCTTAAATCCAATATTCAATTAACTTACTTAGTTTCTGGTAGCAAATTGTTGAATCTTGCTACCATCATTTTTTTATTTTATGAGTTTATGAAAGTTTCAAAAAGTTTATTCTACCAATTTTTATGAGACATAGCTTCCGAGTTCAAATAGTGATATCAAGAACATAATTTTGTAGACATATGATGAAAACCACCGGCACCTGAAACTGAGATAACAATAGTGCAAAATATCAAGCATCATTAAAAAAATGACATTTTAGGAAAAGACCCGGGTCATGAAGCGTCGATCATTTACACAACATCCCTGGCTACTGGTATTCAATGGAATAATGATTTGTTCAATCCGGAATCAAAAGCTTTCCAAGATTTGTCAAAGGCTCTTCAAGCGAATGTAAATTTGAATTCTAACAACTCTAGCATAATTTATTATCACTTGAGATCACCAACGGATGGACAAATCAAAAGCCCATGATGGGTATGATAACAGCATTTATGTGAGTAAATTACATCACATTATTCTACTGTACACGGTTTTTTGATGATAAGCTTCTCAATGAATAATTGCTGATACATAGGCAGCAGCACGAAAATAAAATACGCCGATATGATAAAAACTGATAAATTTTAGGCCCGATTCAGAAGGAATCAACTTCTATGCTGAATACATTTTCATGGGTAAATCAATGGTTCCAACGAAAACTGTTGTGACGGCAATGGAAAGTCAAGGGTACCCAACAAATGCCTTCTGTAGGGAGATGAAAAATGAATACTACAAGGAAAAGAGAATTCTGTTATTTAAGATTTGTCGCTGCAACAATGTAGTGGACTTCTTCCTTACAAACAGCCATCTACCAAAATATCACCAACAGGAGGACCAAATGGAGGCGCGTTGCAATCATTTTTTTCTAAAAAATTTCAGAATTTAGGCTACTGTGATGCTAGTAATAAAAACCTTCTCAACATTATCCTGGTTGACGTCTCTGTCCCAATTATTGGAACACTTTCAGACAAATTAGACACGGTAGACTTTCAGAAAGCTTAATCAATAAGATAAATATGTTAAGCTCTCCCAATTTCTACAAGGCCTCCCCCAAACGATTAATTTGGACACCTCCTCGCCATGGAGCTCACAAGAGTTCAGATTAGTAGCTTATGGAGGAAATGAGCCGTGAGATCTTTTGTATTATTAATACGTATCTGAGATGTGAATTCAGGGAGCCACTTGGTCGAGCAAAGAACCAAGCAGATTGGAACAGCATTATTAATAGCATTTCTCCTAAAAATGTGAACGCAAATAATGTGGACAATCATGCCCTTAAAGGGTAGGAAAAGTCTAATCATTATTAATAGTACAATGCGTTTCAGAGCCCTCCGATATGTTATGGATAATTATTTGCCTACACCAGGTGTTGCGGTCAACGTTCTTATTGTTACTGATGGATTGTAATCACTAAATATTAAATAAAAAAAAACATATCACCGATTTTTAGCGACTTCACTGAAATGGGCACTATTTCTTCAATCACTGATGTCCTAAAGAAGCAATACTTCTATTCAATTGATGCTATTGTAATGTCAACCTCACAGCTTGTCAGGTATCAACCACGAGATGATGGAAGCCTAGAATTGAATGATTTAGAATGAATATTCAACCATTGGTTTCTGATTTTTATCATTTCTATCCAATTGATAGTATTGATTACATTAGTAATGAAGCCGTTCTCAAATCTCAAGCACTTTGGGCTTGCGAAGCTTTCTACCCGACTCAACCGCCGCCAACACCACGCCCGACTCGTATTCCTTTGAAAACAACAACCCTTCAACCAACTAATCAGCCAACAGGGAATCCGCATAATCCAGGAATCGCCATGTGTCGTCAAAATGTTCTCTTCCTCATTGAGCAATCGCAATTTCTTCTGTCATATGGCTACGATGTAAAGTATACAGAAAATTCAGGAGGGTATTGTTATTTTGCAGGATTCGATTGATTTCATCCTCAAAACTGCTCAATATTTGCATGACTTCAACGATCGCACCACATTTGCCTATATTGCATACAATAGTGACGTTGTGTCGCAGACGGTATGATTAATGTTGTGGGAAAAAATAGAAAATAAGCAATTTTAAGACAAGAAAACAATTTTTTTTTCAGCAAAATTGAGATTTTTTTGGAATCACTTCCCTTTCATAACTAAATTGCCATCTTGATTAACTTTTAATTCTCTAATAATTTTAGCTTGGCTACGTGAATTTGGAGACTTTCAAAACTCAACTTAAATCTGCTTCTAAAACTGTGGCCAATTCTGATACCGTCCTGTAAGAAAATAATCATAATGTTTCCTAATTCCTTATTTTCAGTGGATTCAATGCGTCTTTGAACTTCATTTCCAAAAACTCGCAATACTCTGATGACGATACCCGATCTCTTCTCTATTTCATCACACAAGGGTAAATTCACCCGATTTACTATAATCGCAGCTTTTCAATATTTTCAGAAACGATTTGAGTGATCAAGCTACTGATGTGATTCCACTCACACGCCAAATTCGCTCTTCTTATCAAACACAGGTAGTTGGAGTTGGTATGTTGCTATGGTCAATTTAAAAAAATTCTATTGACCATTTTCAGCCATTGCTGAATCAACAATCGGAGAAGATGCCGTCAAGAAAGTCATTCAATACGCTTCACATGATTCATATGCTCCATCTGTATACGTCGGAGTTAACAATACTATGCAGCTTGATAATGATACCACAGTTACATCTACTTTGAATCAACTGATTTGCAAAAGTGATGTATTAAAGTAAAAAATATCTTATAATTTGCTTCAGATTCTGGATGCAATATTGATTTGACGTTCGTCATTGAGACATCTCAAGTTGAAGGGCCTTCGTTCGTGGAGCTGGTGAATAATTTTTACTCTTATTTTGAAAAATTATATTATTAATTATAGCAAGTCGAAAGTGTGATCAATGTAATCAAAAATTATGCTGGAATGATTTCTCCATTGAAAATGGCCGTATCGGTTATATATTTCTCTTCTCCTGACAGTCTTTCACCCAATCAGCCGGATCGCTCTGGAATTTTGTTCGAGCAAGTCACAGATTCCGACTACGCTATTAGTCAGTTGAGCGGCAGTACGTTCGCGCCACTTGGTGCTGCATCAGATCTAGAGCTGTAAAATATGAGTTAGAAATCAATAGTTCAAATGCAAGATTTTAGGGGATTTGAATTAACCGCTGACAGTTTATCGCGAGGTTTCGCCCAAAATAGCAAATTTGTGGTGTTCTTTGCACGCGGACAATACGAGAAGCTGGCTAATTGTTGTCCTGACCCATCTATGGAAGCCGCTCGCGTAAGATCACTTTCAAGTGTGCAAGGAGTGTGCATTGGGCCGAATACTGACAAAGATCAGCTTGACAAACTAACCGGATCAACAAGCATTGATGCTAACAGCTACATTGATAACTTTGACATGAATGTCAGATATGAATACAAAGCAGCTGAACATTTTGTAAATTTCAGTCAACCGACATTACGACATATGCTCAACGCATTTCTGATGCAATCATTCCAACAGTCAACAATTTCATAAATCAACAGAAATGCGCTGGAGTTCCCGACTTTGGTGCGAGTTTTATGTTTTGACTTAATTTTAAGAAAATCCCTATTCAGTTGATCCACCTTGTGAAGAACCGATTGACGTGATGATCATGCTTCATGCTTCAACGTCAAATAATTGGGCGAGAATTACCAATTTCACGGCAACGCAACTCATTCCCGATCTTCTTGGATCGACAGGATATCCAACGAACAAGATTCTTACGACGTCGAACCCAATTAATTTTGCTGTAATGGGATATTATTATTTGGATACCAAAGTGGTAAGAACACACAATTCATTATGCTCCAGCTTATTTGATTTGCTTTTCAGTTTACCGACTTCAATTATCTCCTTACACCTGATGATTACGTGTCCAAAGTGAAATCTCTTCCGTTCTATCCAACTACTGGAACATCCACACTGTCTCTGTAAGAAATTGGTTTGTTGAAGAAGTTCACTTTTAAATATTAGGGCATACAAACGAGCTATTGATGTTTTCATGGATGGAAGGCAATATGCAAGCAAAAATATAATCTTGATCACTGACAGAATTGAGTAAGACTAATTAACGATTAATTTGTTAATTTTTTTTTCTTTTAGTATTAGCGACGTGGAAGCTGCACTTTCTGAGCACGACGCAATGGTTCAGCTTGTTGGTGGATACACTTCTGCTCTTTATGTATCGCCAAACTTGAATGCTGGAGCTATTATTCCAGGGGCTGATTATCAATTGATCATTGATCCACTCGAGGTGAAGATTAAGGAGAACATACCATTGCAACATGGAATATTTCTAGCTTGATCCAAGTAACAAATATGCCGAGAGACAATTGGCAAATCAGCTAACACTTAAAACGTGCACGTACATGCCATGGCAACGTACGAATTAATTCAAAACGCAAAATCTGAAAACAACGCATTTTCAGCACCAACTCAGCAACCAGTTACTGTAACACCAACATTGCCAGGACCTATTCCAGTGGTGAAGGCAAGAAATGTCTGGCCTGATATGACAATCCTTATCGACACCTCGGTGGCTGCAACCACCGACGATGTTGGAATGACATCAGTTAATTTTGAAAAAGTTTGCATTCAAGACAAAAAAACGATAACGACTGTAAAAATTTAATTTTAGATCCGCAGATTCCTCGACATTCTTCTTTCACAATATTCCGTTGGAGAAAAAGGATCGAAATTCACAATTGCGACATTCGATGGGCAAACTACTCAATATTCATGCAAATTCTATGAAGTACCCTCACAATTTTGAAATTTTCTAAAAAATAATACTTAAGATTAATAATTACTATGATCTCAATTCGTGTAGAAATGAGCGACTCTCATTTTATTCGAGAGACCATGACACCAAACGCGATGTCAATAATGCGCTTGCTGATTTACGCAAAAATGTATACGAATCGACTTCGTCAGGATATAGGCAACTTAATGAGAATTTCCTTCTTATTTTGACTCTTGGAAAGTAAGAAATGTGGCCAGAAAACAGCAAACAATACAAATTTTAAGATCTGTCACTGATTTCAATCATGAATTAGTAAATCTCCAGCGCATGGGCATTAGGACAATGGCAATTGGCCTATCTGATACTTTGAGTAACACTGAATTAAGTGTCTTCGGTCAAACCAACTTCTTGGTAAGCTTGAGTAACGATACATCGTGTACCATTTGATATTTTAGATGTCGGACTGGAATTCTCCTTACACCGGAATTGATACTAATTATGATCTTGCTGACCGCATTATTCAGATATCAACTAAAAAGCGTACTATATTTTAATTTCCAGCCAACCTTCTCAACTTAATATTACAGGAAGCCCATCATCTGCTTCATTTTATGCTAACCTTGTGTTTGTCGTTGATCAGTCAGTTGATACAGGCAGCGCCACTCAAAATGTTTCACAATTTGTGTCAGACTTCACTTCCCAATTTTTTGTCGATCCACGAAAGTATAAATTGAAAACTGTCATCTGAATACTAAAATATTTTTAGAACTCAAGTTTCTATCATTCCATTTGCTAACGGAGCTATCTCCCCATTGGACCTTACTGGAGATCAAAATGTAAATTTTCCGGACGAAATTAACATCATTCTTAATTTCCTAATTTCAAGGTTCTCGATTCCTATTTGATGCAACTTAAAAACTCCGTGGCTTCATCCGCATATTCGGATATTGGAAGTGCTATCACATACACAGCTGACATGTTGAAAAGAAAAAGCTCATCCGATCGTCCTACTTATGTTATTTTTGTTGTTGGTGCTTCAAAGTAACTGAATAGTGTATATTAGACTGTTTTATTTGGAATTTAAGCACAACTGGTTCTGAAACAGCAAAGACACAACTGGGCCCAATCACATCACTCTTATATGCGATTGACTTCACCATCGATGCTCAAAACTACACTACCAACTTGACATATCAAACCGATGACATTTTCAAGTAAAAAGATAAATGAAAACTTCTTCAATCAAAATTTACAGGGTTGAGTCTGGAAGTCTTCTGATAGATCGCGTCGTTACTTTTGAATTCAACAGAACAAATCCGATTCTGGACTTTGCCACTGAAATCTATGCTAGTAAATTCCTTGAAATCATTTGGGAAAACTAATAATGATTGCGTCTTTCAGCGCAAGAAGCAACTGATTCCATCAATTATCCTTTGACCGCAATTGCCGCCGATATTGTGCTTCTCGTTGACGAAACTGGTCAAACTGATTCCGATTTCTCATACATGAAGGGATTCCTCGCTGATTTCTCGACGATGTTCCATGTTGGTCCAACATCCACACAATTCGCTCTTCAAACCTATAATGGACGAACAATTCCACACGATGGTTTCCATTTTTACGAAGCAACTAACAATGATGTTGTTCGCCAAAGAATCAATCAGCTAACATTGGCCAAGGCTGCTGAGAACTCAACAGATGCCGATTTGGCGGGAGCGATCGAGCAGGAAATCTACTTTTTCCTTACGGAAGGAAACGGCTGGAGGGATGACACAATGACATACACTATCATCTTCTCACATGCCGATATGTTCTACGACAGAGACACCGCTGTTGCGATGCAAATCAAAAATCAGTCAACGGTTAAAACGTCTATCATAAGCGTTTGATCAACGAACTTTTAGATTTTCGCGGTTGGAACAAACGGACAAATGTTTGAGTATGTAAGAAATTTCACAAATTCGGGATTCTACGAAACTGTTCCTGATATCACCAGCCTTTCGCTTAATACCACTACAATCCAAGATTTATTAAACGCAATTGGGCTTGGTTTAAAAACAAACCAAAATGAATTTTGATTAGATATTTTCTAGACTATCGCGAGAAAGTCTATCCAACTCCATTCCCTATCAAGAATATCGTAAAGGCCGACTTCATCTTCCTTGTGGACAATGCTCTCTCCGTGTCCTACACGCAAAGAGTAATCTATAAATTGTGACTGATTTGAATATAAAACATTCACATTAGGTTCGTCAATTCTTCAACGATTTCATCACCAACGTAGCAACTTTCTCAAACTCCGGAAATGATACAAGATTAGCTGTTGTTAACTATGGGCACGAAGTAACCTAAAAAATCAATATTGATTTAAATTGCATCAATCAACTTTAGGGGGTTACTGATTCCTGGAATCTATTCGCTTCGCAGACAGTGGACTCTTTGAAGAGCAAGATAGCCAATATCAATATTGCATCGTCAGTGGGTGCCAGTAACCTGAAATCGTAATAAAGATGTATGCTTACGTGGTTTATTACCAACTTTAGGGCAATTGATTCGGTTATACTGGAAGAATATGAATTTGGAGTGGATTCCGATAGACCGACATACTTAATCATCATTGCTGGAACTGAAAAGTTAATATTTTTATCCGATATCGTTCTATATATACCTGATTCAGCATTGTTTCGCCAATCGACTCTGTGACGTCGCGAAACCTTAACACAAGATATTCAACATTTGTCATCCAGACGAATGACAAGCAATATTCTTATGTTCCGAACGTTGTCGGCACACAACTTACTGATGGACGTTATCTTCTCGATCAAAACTTGAATTACTCTGATGATCAATTTGGCATTCTCAACAGCTGGATTTCTTCTGGTTAGATAGCCCATTGGAAAATGTCAAAACTGTGTTGCACTTTTCAGAATTCTCCGCATGGCGAACAACATTCCCCGACAAGCTGGACTGTTTCTAAATATTGAATATTCCAGCCCTAGGATTCATGTAATTATATTTTCTTATCGGTATTAATTCGGTGATTCTTTCATTTGTATTTATATATAATTCAAATATACACACAAATTTAAAAAATATGATCAATGGTATGATGTTGATTTGATAGACAATACATAATGAATATAATGGTTCATAAAGGACGTAGAGGTTTGCGAGCAATAAATAAAATAAATAGTAATATATCACAATTAAAAATCATTCGGGCTTCTGTTGGGGAGAGCTAGTGTTGATAGATGTCATTTAGACTTGAATGTTCTTCGCAGATGGCTCGAATTTCTCCCAGGCAGAGAGAAGCTGAATTTTATGCAAATTAAATATAAGCTTAGCTTCATAATAATGCTTACCTCAGTATGAGTGTCGACAAGAGTCTCGAGGTACTCAATGATGATTTTCTTCATGTCATTTTTGCGCTCATTCTCAAATCGAGCCACTTCCTCGCGAATACTTTTGCTCAAATCGCCAAAATGAGCTTCAAGCTGATCCATTTTAGTGATAGTCTCCTCGATCTCATTTTTGAGTTGCTCCGAGCGCTCAGAACGTCCAGAGAGATCAAGTCTGAAATAATTTTATTTTGCATTTCTAGTATTTCTATGTATTGCGAGAGCATACTTGGTCTTCTGATCGCGCTTACGAGCCAACGTTTGCTGAGCATTCTGCCAATTCTGCCAGGCACGAACACGCTCCTCAAACACATCCTTCAGAGCGCCAACGAGAGATACATATTCTCCAATCGCCTCGGCAAATCTGTAAAGTAAACATATCATGTTGTAGAGAAATAGTGCAAAAGTGTAATACAATAAAATAGGTTGTGGTCCTATAAATTGAGCTCATTAGGCTACGAGAGACGCTAGATGAAAAAAAAAACTCGTGGTGTCATTTTTCGCCACTGGTTACATTATATCATTCTAAACTTCTATATAGAAAATAACTATTCTTACTTGGCGTTGTCTGCTTCCGATTGCTTCTGCCAAATCATGGACACGTTTTCCGTGGTGTCAGTGAGAGATGAAAGAGCGCGAGAGAGCGAAGTGGATTCCTCACAAGCGGCCAACATAGACAAAGCCTGAAAAGTTTATAATTTATACCAATGAGTTTTGCTCTCTTAAAGTCTATACGAGTAATCTAATTTTTTTTTAAGAATCCTATATGAATTCTTATTTCTTTTCAATAATGCATGTGAATTATTTGTAAAATAAATCCAAATGAAGAGGGAAAGTGTATTTTAAAATTTTGGGGTACGAGAGTCCAAACGAGGCGAATTATTATTTCTCAGCGTTGCGCCGTTTCTATACTAATCCGGGAATCAATATTAGTGGTTTCGTAAAGTGAACGCCCTTTTTGTAGTTTTTTACATTTTGCTAGTTAATTTGTTGGTTACGTACTAGAAAAGTAGTACATACGCATTTATTCGTCAGAGTCTTTAATTTCCGGATAAAAAATTGAAATTGCAAACTCTTTGCCTAATATTTAGATATTTTCAATCTCATCTCGCCTATTGGTAATCTCCACTCAATTCAAATATTTATTTTCATTCTTTTGCTTTATATCCTCCAATATCTAATGAATTTTTTATCAAATAGCGCATTTGTATTTTATGCTCCGAAAAATCATTCACTTGGGAATTTTTCAAATACGGGTTTGATGTTTTACACCAAACTCTCCCTTTGCTCTTCATTTCATCTTTTAGTTTTCCACTTATTTACTCAGACTATCTAATTACAAATTGGTCGAACCTTGCTTAGCTGCTCTCCGCTGCAGGCCATCTCTTTTCTCGCCGCGACCATCGATTCCGCAATGTGGTGAAGGCGTCTGAGAGCTTCATCCAATTCGTCGACTTGCGATTGAATCTGTTCGAACCAGCGGTCCCCTTCCTCCATATGAAACGCCATCTTTGAAAACACATCGCCAAAGCTTTTGATCATCTTTTTCACACCAGCGCTTGAAAGAGTCGACGTTTGAACAGCTTTTGGGAGTTCCGTCTCTAATGTCAAAAAATCGCGAACATCGCAGTCAGTGCGAATTCTCGGATGCTGAACAAGGCGGCGGATGAATCTTTCAAGCTGTCTTGCGCGACGAATTCCAACTTCTCTCGAATGCGATGGGTCAGCGTTCTTAAAATTATTCACGATTATTCCATATTATCTCATTTGTACCTTTGTCTTTGTCAATGCGGCAATGCTTTTCTCAGGTGGTACTGGAATGATCACCCCCTTCGGCAAGTACTTCTGAACGACTTTCTCATGAAGACCGAGGAAGTCGGAGAAGCGACGCCAAACTTCGTAATTCTTCTTTGTATATCCGACAACACCCTCAACCTAAATCAAATATTGTAATTGTGATCAATCGTTAAATATGAAGCTACCTCTGTTTGGATCTTGTAGACGATGTAGGCGTTGATACCTTCTCCACGTTTCTCGAAATCTTTGATAATGATGATGAATGTATTTGCTGGTGGCTCGGGCGAGATTTGAGCAAATCGATTCTCATTCTTATCATCCTCGAAACTGAAAAAAAATTAACATAAATTATTGCCTCTCCATGAATAAAATATATATCAGATAATATTATGACTAAAATCGATTTTGAAATATTGTGGGTATGCTATTGGAATTTTTCGTGTTTTATATTTGTTTTGCAATATTTTTTTCTCGAAAACAATTACCGATGATCCTCAATATTCGTAATATCTTTGGAATCCACGATAGTCGGCTCCTCACTCAGACGAAGCTTCGACGGCACAGTTTCCGAATTCAAGTTGATTTCGTCACCCTCATCAGCAAGAAGTGATGGCTAAAACAAAATTCAAATTCGGATCAAAATATATTTGTATTTTCTACTTGATCATTGAGAACTTCTCTGTTTCCATACACGTTGGTCGTATTCTCTTCTTCGGACATCATCATACACCTGGAAAAATGAACCATTAAGCTCATCGAAACGCTTATCAACTGGGCAATTTGTTATATTTGGATGTAAACAAAACGGGATATGTTTACAAAATGAAAAATGACACCGTCACAGTAAAATGGACGGGAAATAACAGAGAGAGAGAACTCGAAAAAACGAATGAATGAACGCAATTTGTGTGAAGGAATGCATTGATAGCTTTGCGTAACAGTGACACACACCAGAGGTCGGTGTACAATAGAGCGCAGATACCCGCAAGCGAGTTAGTGTCACAGAGGGGGTGACGCCTCGTTTGCACATTATCTAGACGGATAATCGATAAGAATTTTGTATTTTGCTTTGAATAGAGTGACGCAACGACATTGATAACCTACGCCGGTGCCACTCATGACGGCAGACATATTGGAAATTAGATCGCCATTGAGAAATGTCGCCACTGCACTGCAATTGGTTGATAATAAAATAAAAGCACTAAATTAAAATTGAATCCCCCATATATCCTCTGTTTAATAATTGCTCCTCATCAATTAAATTTCATCCAGTTCGTTTTTGCAATTAGTGCGGAGGAGCACATTTGCAATGATGAGTGCGTGGTCTCGCGGCGGCCGCTGTTGTTTGTGTTGTAATTCGACAAAAAATTTCGTTTTTATGTATTATTCTTCATTTATTATGCAACTAATTAATTAAATAATGAATGCAGCAAATTATTTATAATGTACATCTTATTCATCGTCCTCAATTTCATTGCTATAAGCGTGATTAGATTCTGGGTTCACTAGATTGATGACATCTGACGGCAAGCAACTTCGGTATATCTGGAAAAAATGCATATTTATCAGCTCATAGTTTGCAGCAATTTTATTTATCAAATTCCGTTTGCACAGTGTATGCATAATATATCGTATTTAGTTAACTTTCCTACATTATCAATGTCAGCCTTTATGCGGTTTTAATCGCCCAAAGCAGATTAAAAAACTGCTTACCAGATAAATAATCAATGTGAGAACTATGATTCCAGCCAATGAGCAACCAACAATAATTGGGACTAAATCGGTGACGCGTTGATCTGATGGGCATGTTTCGCGGTTGCCATAACCTCCACCGTCCGTTTTATAAGCTTGTAGCGTTGTTAGTATAAATTTGATACTAGAAAATATCCAAATCGTTTTGAAATTTTTTTAATTAACATACTATGCATAGGGACCATATTTAGTATTTTTGTTGATCGCGTATTTCTGACTACTAGGACAATAATAGGAATTTCCATTTTTTGCGTAAATCGATCCCGAAACATCTGACAAATCGTTTGGATCAATCGGCAAATAATAATGCTGAATTGGCTCTGAAAAGTCAAAAAATTATATTAACTGATTATCACGGCTACTCTGATTGATAGTTAATTATTTCGAGCACTGATATCAATTTGATATTTCTTGTGCTAAAACAATGTCCGTCTTATCTATCATAGCACCAAACTAAATTCATCGGCACATGTCAATTTCAAAGCTGATTACCTTGCACTCCTGGGTATGAACTCGGATCGCTGCCGTAGTTTGCTGTCACGTTAATTTGGAATAGTGTATACTCGGTCCCCTTTTCCGTTTTAAACATATTATCCTTTGTGAATGCCAAATCAATACTCCAACCAGGCATCTGAAAAAAAATATGATAATCAAGAGAATAATACTAATGAAAATGCTCACGTGGTCCAAATTTATTCGAAGTAATTGCGACTTTATTGAGTGATTGCTTGTTGTGATTATCGTGTCGCATGAGGAAACATCTGCGTCTACTGTGGAAGTTGTAGGAACGTGAATCGTTGCTTCTTCCTTGAAACATCGCAATTTAATTTTTTTAAATTTTGTTTTAAACTTACTGTTCCTGTTGTCGTATAATACGATAAATATAAGGTGATGTCGGTTTGTAGAATTATGCATGGAATTTTGGTATCAGAATTTACCACCTCAAAATAATTTTCTATAAATGAAATTCCCTTTAATTAGCTTACTTTATACGTCCCCCTTTTCTGCCCTCCTGCTCCCTCCAGTGCTGAAATAACGAAAATTGCTGAAAGTGAAAAAAAATGTTTTCAGCACATCTTTTTAAACAGACCCAAAAATAAGAATATTTTAAATCCGTTCATTTGTTGGCTAAAATCTGAAATTTGGCAACATTTGATAAAACGGAACGCAATTGAATCAGAAGCGTGAGATCAAGTCCGACACGGGACATCTTAAAAGAATGATGCATTTATCAGTACCAGCGCTGAGTCGAGCAAAAACTAATCGACACACGCAACAATTTTACGACTAAAAGGTGTTTTATCAGCGAAATTGTTTCTTCGTTTATTGCTTGATTACCGGACCTGTTTTAATGCACAATCATTATTTTTAGTGGTTTCTCACACCTTTCCATGATTTTAATCAAGATGTTTGTCTATGGTGTTTGAAATTGATTGTGTTTCAGTGCAATGTGGAAAATCACCAGTGGTGCGGCGATAGCAGGATGCTCATTTTTATTGGGCAGATATTCGAAAAATGAGGAGAGCCGGGTGTTTCGCAACGCCATGTCGGCAACATCAAATATTGTAAGATAGTGGAAATCGACAAATTCCTATAAGTACAATAGATCAATGATATATACAAGAGATATTCGCAAAAAATTTCACAAATTTCTGGAAATGAGGCGCCCAGTGCTAATTTTTATCTTTTAGATAATGATATAAAAATGTGATCAGAAACGTAGTGTATTACAGGAGCCAATATCTTTTCCCGCTACAACAACCAATGATGCTCATCTTCAACCATCGCGAGCCTCTCAAATAATGGTGCACGGATTTCCGGGCTTTGACAACTTGCGAACATTTGAAGACTTTGTCTTATCGTATGATAGGAAGACAAAAACAGCGCATTGGGTAGATGAGAATTTCGTTGTTTAAACACTTATGCATTGTTTATTTTAAGGTTTGTGAGCATCTGACACCAGATATGCTTGTTTATGATAAATCAGTGGATCGAACGAAATGTCAATTTCGACCCGATGAAAGTATTCACAAATATTTTCAATCTCAAAATGAGGATTATAAAGTAATTTTAAAGAATATCATTTATGATTGAATGAATTTTTTTGAATATTATAGGGAAGTGGGTTTGATCGAGGTCATTTGGCTGCCGCAGGCAATCATAGAAAGTCTCAGAACGCTGTTGATCAAACGTTCTTCCTCACAAACATGAGTCCGCAAGTTGGCAAAGGTTTCAATCGAGACAAGTGGAATGAGCTCGAGAAATATTGCAGGTGGGTATCATCGACTAGTCGAGGAATGTTGCAAAAAAAAAAATACAATCAGACAACAAAATTCTAACATGTGTTGCACACGCGTTGAAAATCTTTTTCTAATCAAATTTCAGAAAAATCGCAAAGAAATCGGTGAACACTTACATTCTCACTGGTCCAATGTACCTTCCGAAACTTTTTGAAGATGGTAAAAAATATGTCAAATATCAAGTTATTGGCAAGAATCACGTTGCGGTGCCAACACATTTTTTCAAAGTACTTCTAGTGGAAGTGGCGCCTGGAAATTTTGAAATGGAATGTTTTCTACTTCCAAATGAGGTTTTAAAAATTGGCATTTGAACCAAAACTATATCGAAATTTAAGGTGATTCCAGAGAGCGTCGATCTTTCCAGCTTCCATGTGCCATTGGAAATGATTGAGAGAAATGCTGGAATTCTGATATTCGACAAATTGCCGAAAAATTCCTTGAAGAAAGTGAACGGAAAGAAATCGGGAGGATTCTGGTGATAACATTTCCCATTGAAATTAGATTTTTTTTCAAATTTTCTAGGTCATAATTCCCACTAGTGATTTTTACTTGATACCATTTTTTCTGTGTTCAATTTTTTGTTACGGTTGTTCTTGTTGATTGTTTTTGGTAAATTCAAAGTAGGCGATGTGTTGTTGCGTGGCTAGGCTGGAGGGGCGCTGAATTTAAATCTTGATGAATGATGAATCTGAAATGTCGATAAGATCTGAACAATGTCTCGTTTTTTTTCTGCAACCTACACCGAGACACTATCCGTTTTTCTAGTGAAATTTTTGAAATCGGAAAAAAAAACACCCACACGAGAGGCGACATAATCATCATCAACCTGTCCCGGTGCCCTCAAATATATAGGAATCTGAACATTCGCACTGTCAATTCGTTTTCTTCTCATTTGACCCCCATTTATTTTTGTTGAACAACCAGAAATATGATGAACATGCCGTCGTCATTGGTTAGTGGATTACTGTTGGCGGCGATTTGGATTGGAATCGCTGAATCAGCTGTCGCCATTTTTCCGACAAAGGTTTGTTTAACGACATTTTCGCGAGTTTGTAGCTCTGCTGCGCAGTAATACATATGTGTTTTATGACCTATTTGTTGCTAAACGCTGTTATCCGACCGCCGAAAAAAGAGAAGAAGAAACGGGCCAATTGTCTCTGATTTATTATAGCCTACTCGATCTCTCGGTTGGATGACAAAATGCGACAATATTTGTAACTGAAATAAAAGCTTGTATTGTTTTAATTATATTAAAACAATTGAAAAAAGACAAAGCGCATGAGAAATTTTTTTAGTTTTTCAAAATATGTTAATTTTGAAAGTCTTATTTTCGAACACCCGTATTTTTTGCTTATTTTGAAGAGGCAATAAGTTATATCGTTAGATCGATTATTTTTTTTCAATCTTGTTTTAAAATAGTATATCGTTAATTGCAACAACTTGAGACTCTTGAAACTCGTGATTACTTCAAATATAGGTGTTTAGTCCGAATTAGTCGAAAAATTACCACGTTATTACGAGAATACACATTAACAAATTTCATATCGGCGAAACCCTGATTCTCGACCTCGGCAAAGATGTGAAAGAATGGAAACGAATGCGGGACGGTCAAGAGGAGACAATAAAGTGACGCATTTGATTTAGTGGCGTTTTCAAATTCTTTCATTTATTAGGTATTGTGCCGACGAGAAGGGCAAAGACTGCAATGTTTGGTTGAACGCGGTTTGAATTTCAAGGCGAATTCGGTGAATTTATGCGCGTTCGTTTCAGGACCATAAAACAGTGGGTGACGGACGCGAGCATATATTTGACAACGGCACGTTGATCATTGAAAATTTCCAAACCAGCGACTCCGGAGACTATTATACTGATGATGAACTGCAAAGAGTAGGCACATTATGAGTTGGCGGTGTGCAATGATTAATGAATATCGTTCAGATTCATTACACGGCAGATGGTCATGTCTGGCAATTGGCTCGAACAAAGATATCTGTGGTGCCGATCTAATAAGAATTTCAACAATTGTTTGCACATTTTACACGCCCCTTAATAAATCAATTAATCCTATACATTTTGAAGCAATTTCGCATCAAATTTTTAAGTGTATCCCTTCTCATCGATTGGTAGGACGTCTCTCATTGCTTTCGGCGTTTTTTTTTTCTTAATGTAATGGCGGAGATGAAGCGGAAGCTCGAGAGTTTCTCACACTTGTCCATGAAGTTCTGATGTGCTCTTTTTTCCAAAAAAAATGTTGTAACAATCCAAAACAAATACGATTTTGGTTGAGGGGCGACGCGGAAAAAGGCGACTCTGGACATCTGTTCATGATTGGTCTAATTGATGACAGAATAAGGGAGGTCTTGTTGTTGCTCGCCTCCCTTCACTCATACCCCATTTCCCCAATTTCGTTCCTCTCGGCTCTCGTTTAGATGTACTAATGGATTGCGCTAATATCGTTTACTATGTCGACGCGAATGTTCCGACATTGATTCCAACATAAACGATGAATTTATACTATGTGTTTTCAAATAAAACACTACACATTTGCATAAAAATTTTGCGAAATATCTTTCTTTTTTCTTTCATTCCATTTATTTTTAAACTAAAATGCCTGAGCACACTAGAAAAAATTGCTCCGTTTTAATAAAATTATTTTTGTCTTAAAAAAAATTTTCTTTTTTTTCTACAAAAAATGTGATAATATCTAGAGCGTTGACTATTTTCCTCAGTTTTGCTCGGAAAGTACATATGAAATTGAAATTTTTTTTGAAATTGATATTTTCAAATAAATGCATCTTCCAGTTTCCCAAAACATTACTATTTTTTATTCCTCAGTTTTGCTCGAAAAGTTCATACGAAATTGAAATTTTTATCGAAATTGATATTTTCAAATAAATGCAACTTCCAGTTTCCCAAAATATTAATATCGAGCAGATCACTCAATAAACAAACATCATCCAACTTGTTTATTTTTCATTCTGGTCTAATCGTTTTTGCCAACCGATTACCTTGACAAGTATTAACCTTCAAGCAAAACCCATTACATGACCAAAATCGATAATGCATTCGAATATTATTCACCATCGCACCGGTGGAGAGGGTGCGGGTGGTGTGCGGACACCCGAACCATTACTCGATGCGCAACCATTCTCTATGTCTCCGCACCTCGCACACTATTTCCCCTACCTAAGCATTATGCACGCCGAGCGCCTTGGAACAGAACAGTATCATATTTCCTAATTCCCATCAAACACCTTCTGCTCTGCACCTCCCATCTCTCACCCCCTCATTGTGTTATTTTTTGTTATTTTCTGACCAGTGTGAATGCGATACATAATAATAAGAAGAATAATAAAATTTCGTAGATGATCCCATCGGTCCAAGCAAGTTGACATTTCTGTATACATGAACAATTATTTTGCGGCGTCGCGATTCCGATTCTTACTAGTCATTTCAATTGCGAGACGCGCAAAACGTTTTTATTTATTTATTTCACTTCATTTTGAAGGTAGCGAGATTTTGCAAGCGATACCCTATTTTTTGCCGTCCAACTACTATTGAAAGACTCATGTTCCAAGTAAGGCCATCTTGATGCAATTCAGCGAGAACTCGACAGTTAAAAACGTCGTAATTTTTCTGCGTTACGCGACGAACACAATTGTATAGCTTGATTCACACTATTCTTCTAATTGAATTGATTATCACGATGAAGTGACTCATCAAAATTTTACAACCAAAAAGTGTGCAAGCGGTGGCGGACTCGCGTCCTTCGTGTGCTTTTTTTTGCTTTCATTGTTCCTCGATATTTTCTCGACTGCCATCCCACCAATTTTCTCCATGAAAGCCATTTCTTTTGTCTATGGCTAGTCTCGCATATGAAGTGTAGTGGTCAAAAGCAGCTACGCCAAATTGGGCGTTAGCCGTGCGTCTGTTTTTTTCATCCTCAACGACTCTACTTCATCGCGTGTATTCGTTGTTGTTTTTTTTTATTGCCTACTCATTTTTATCTTTTCACAATTTTCTCTCTCCCCTATAGTGACCCCCCCGTGTCATCAATAATTCACGGCTAGTGCATCGAGATCGCATTATTAATCAACAAGTCCTCATTATTTTCGCGGCTTCTATTCTCTCCGCTTTATTCATGTTTCAATGTACATTGAATGTCAATCTGCCCACTTATATCGCTTCGTAACGTCGTGTAGGTGGCCGTATTTTGTAAACAACCATTTTTAGCATTTGAAGAAAGAGTAAGTAATTCAATGTGCAGCTTCAAAAAAAAATGCCAAGTGTAATCCCATCACATAGGCTTTTGCTGACTTTTTTTTCCAATTTATCGAAACTTCTCTTCATAAATTAGATGGATCTTGAGATATAATTAATTGGCAAAGCCAAATGTCGATGATGTAAAAATGCATAGTAATTGCGAGTCCTTCTTCGAAGCCAGCAGATTATCCGCACGCTGTCGATTTCAAAAAACATTCTCCCAACCTTGATCATAATGATGATCCCAACACAAAAAACTTCTCATTTTGTTAAGACAATTCTCCCTTCCCCCCTTTGCAAACGTCCTCTCATCGCAAATTAATTTCAAACTCGAACGCAGCGAAAAAAAAAAACAAGACACTATGTGAATGACTTGCAACACATATGCCCGAAGTTTCAAAACTTTTTTGTTTCGCAATATGCTGATTTTAATGCCAAAGGCTAGCAATACGTGCCCAACATCTATTTGCACTAAACGACAAGTCAATTCAAAAAGTATCTCTTTGCTAAAAGCAATTCGGCATTGTCTCAATTTGCTTTTGGGACGCGACGCAATATCTGCCCGTCCTTCTGCCTCGACGGTTCATATTTCGCGTTCTTATAGGATTAGCTCTGTCGCCTCTTCTATTCCGTAAAAAAATGCACGCCACTCAACGACCGCCTAGTAAACAAATAAACCTAAAAGGTTATATCATTGTATCCTTCTCAGAACCCTCAAACAACGCCTCGTAATCTTTTCTTATTTATATGTATACGATTTGTGCTATTTTATTGCTTCAGGCGCCGACTTGTCATCCATCAAATTGAGCAGAGGAGAAGGCTAATTTCAGCCTGAAAGTACGCATTATGACGCGTCCGACTGCTCCAATTTTGACGGCAGACTACTACACCTATTCAACGTACTCGCAGGTAATACAATGAAACCCTTTAGGAAAAAAATTTGAATTTGATTAATTTCAGCAAGACGATTTCTATGGTGGATTTGAGGCTAGAAATGGGAGTGTTAATACGGGACCAACTCGAATGGAACCAATTATATGCAAAAATCAGTCCCGTAAAATAGTGAAAGAGGATACCGCATCAGCGCATTGTATCACCTTCATCTACTTCGCACTCGCCATGATTGTCATCGCTTTCAACTGCTATATTTACTACTACGGGATTCGTAATAAAGTAAGTTAATTTTCTTCGATTACAATCTCAATATTCAAAACACTTTCAGATGGTTTTCTACATTACTGCTTTAATGGGTTTCATAGTTTTCACCAGTCTCTTAATGCACGTCGGAATTGTCCGTCGCCATCCATTTTTGTGCATCCCATTTGTTGTGTGCAGGGTATGTAATTAATTAAATAAAACCATATATGGTTAAACTATTATTTCAGACCATGGAAGCTTTCATTTGCATTTGCTTCATGTGTGTTTTCGGGTACTCACTGTTCGATAGAAAAAATGACTTCTACATTTTTTTCTTGGAATGCACAAAATTTGTTGCGCAATTCCTTCCAAAACATTATAACATCGACTTAGCTGATGGTAAGAAATCACAAATCTTTGCATTAAAATAAAAAAATTAGATATAATAATAAGTCAATATATATCTTTAAATATCTAATAAAACACGTTCAGCTACTCTTCAACTCTGCATTGTTGGATTTGTTCTTTCGCTTCTTCTTCTATCCATTTCGGTATACGTTTGCCGTGTTTCCTTCGAATGTACTACCTGGGTCGCTGATCAATTCCGTGCTAAGCGCATCCAGCAATCCTACGACTCATCCCGTGCCAGAATCGCCAGTGATGAATTCTACTGCACTTAAATCATAATTTATTCGCTTTGTCAAGACGTTCTCATTGATATCTGGTTGCTCATCCAACTATAATTCACAGTATTATACATTCAATAATTGACCGCTTGCCACTTTGTAATAGCCAAAATTGTACTTTATCAAAATATATGAGATGTGAGATTATTAATAAAGAAGATGACAGATAAGAAACTCATTTTGATTATACATGTATGTACTGAACGAAAGGCTTTCCACCTCCAAAACTACGGGAGAAAAGTATCATGATAAATGCGAAGAGCAATATGAAACAAAAGGCACATATTCACTGGGTACAAATTTGAGAAATCGAAAGTTTGATTGGGTTTTGAATCAAAGCTCGTTATTTAGAAGAAGACGATCAATGCTACGATGGCTGATACGATTCCATGAGCAATGGCGAAGGTGGAGGACACTTGCTTGTCAGCGTCGTCAAGTTGCTTGGTGAGGGTCTCATCGTCAACTTCGGGAGCTTCAGTTGACGCCTGCTCGGGTTCTGGCTCCGGTTGTGGTTCTGGTTCTGGCTCTGGTTGTGGCTCTGGCTCTGGTTCCGGTTCGGGCTCTGGGGCATAGGTAACCTCTTCAGAGACCTACAATGACTTCAAGATTAACATTGCTCATTTTGGTTGTCTATAAACCTCTTCGTCAACTCCACAGAATGCTCCCGTCTTTCCGGCATTGCAAACGCATCGGTTGCATTCGCAACGACCATTGTTTGAGCAGAGCTCCTGAAAAGGCAATGATGCATCATCTTAGAAGTTTGGTTTTAATGGCTTCATACTCCATTCTCCACGCAATTATTGGTGGCCGTTGAGCAGCTGCAGTCGTCTCTTTCCCATCCATGTTCGCATCTAAAATGGGTTTGAGGATTATGAAGAAACAAATGTGAGACAAGAATCTTACTTGCACACTCCACAATCGCATACACCATTTCCAGAGCAGAGTTGGCCGTTTGGCGACGCCGGACACGCAGTGTTGTCGCATTGGCAATATTTTCCGGACACCTGAAAACGATTCGTCATTTCATTCCCATCCAATTGCTCTCAATGTTTATTTTACAGTTAGATTTGTGCACCGACACTGGCCGCATTCGCATCGACCCGCTCCGCTGCAGACTTGAGAAGATGAATCGCTAAAATAATGGGGCGATTTCAATTCCGACGGGGGGGCACCTGATAAAAAAAATCGCTTACGCTTTACATTTCTCGGTGAGCTGGAGAGCCGATGAAACGCCGTGAAGCGCCAAAGGACACTCGCATTTGTCACCACCGCGTGTTGCATCGCAAACACATTGACCACAAACAAGATGTCCGTATTGATGGCACAATCGGGAATTCATTTCCTGAAAAAAACAAGACCAATTAAGAACAATTGATGGGTACTTAAATAATTAAAAACTATGGGATCATTAAAAAACACTCTATCTCGAGCTCTATCTCGACTTTGAAGCAATAAAAAGCCATTATCTTAATCATTTATAATTTTAATGGTTTTCCCGAGCTAGAAGCTTTCTTCCACTTACTATGCTTTATCCCCCATTAACTCACCGGGTGCTTTTCACATTCACATCCGCAAACCGCTGTAATGTACAATCCAGCAATAGTTCTTTGGCCACGAACACCCACTGACAACGTGATGTCTCCATTCGTCGAGCAAGAATCCAGAATGATCTGCAGGTTATGATTGTACACTTTCGTAGATTAAAAAAAACATGCATGTGCTCGTTCTTGTCTCCGCTGAGCACCTGTTCTGTTTTTTTTAAACGAGGGCGTTATGACGGATGCGATAAAAAATATCTCTATAGTACGAACACATGCACTACTTTTCGATGGGTGGAAAAGAAAGCGACAAACCTCGATGCGGAAGTCAACAATCTGATTGTTTTTCACGTTACAGGTTTTGGTTTCCGTTTCAACTCTGAATATTAAAAAATTGGAATTGGAATTCACAAACTGTTTCGTACCCATCGCAGGTGATGAAGAATTTCAGCTTCACCGGGCTTTCCTTAATATCCGATGTTTGGATCTCCATTACTTCTGGCTCTTCGCTTTTTCTGTTTGGATCCGAATGATGGAGATACTTGAATTCGGCGCTCGCCGAGTGTCCTGAAATATTTCATAATTGCCATTTGTCAGTTGGAACCGCGAATGAGAAGCATTAGTCTTTGTTGATGCGATAATTATGAAGATAGTGCAAAACACATGGATTCTATTAGATTTATGGTTACCCGGCATGAGGCGGACGCTGACGGCCTGTGGCTGCATGCGAACCGGCGTCTTGCCATCGTGCTGAAGAGCCTCTAACGGAAGATTCTGAAAAAAATTAACATTGAAATTGTCAAATTTCTCATAAATCTTACCTGTTGGACCTTGACTTGAGCGGCTTGCGGGGAGTAGATCAAATGAGGAGTGCACGTATTGTTGGTGAAGCTGTTCTTTTCGGCACAACGGTTAATCAGAGGCGAATGCGGATCGATGCACCAACCGCAATCAGCATGAGCTTTGATGCACTGTCCGCAGCTGAGCTGGGCTTCTGGGCTTCCACAGAGTGTCTGAGCATCTGAAAGTATTTCACTTCAACTATATATCCAAAGGGAAATTGATCTCACCTGAGGCGAGAACTATAGTAGTTGCCGCTCCAATTAGCAAAAATACTCGTAGCATTTCTGAAAGATATCAAATAACTTGACGGTTTCGCTGTGGCTCGAGAGGACGAGCAAAAAGTCTGAGGAAAAAAATGATAGGAGCGTGAGGTTAACGGTTCTGCCGGAGCAACTCAACCAACTATAAACATCCCAGTCGAACCAGCGAGTAATATGATAAGTCTGACTATGCAACAGTGTGTTGATTGAATGGTGAAGGGTGTCTGGCGTTTTTTTTTGCGGCCCAACAGACCACCATACCATTTGCTCGCCGAGTTTTATGATAGCTCGAGAGGGCCGAACGTTGCGCGCGTCACAATGGGCGAAAATTTTTGAGAGATGACGATGAAATGCAACGAAATGACTTCCGCAACATATGTGCCAAACGATTTCATTGGAATCGAATCGAAATTTTATGATTCGAGCGAATGAATTCACTGGCTAGTTGTGATTGCAAAGTGAAAGCGGTTGAGGCGAAATATATATGAATGAAGAGTCAAACCCGAAGACCGCATCGATCAATCATAAAACAATGAGTTGAGAATGAAAACGAAAATGAATGGAAATGCTCTCTTCTAGTTAGCCGCGGCACCTTGCCATCATCGCCAGATGCCGCAGTTGTTTGTGGAGATTACTGCTGACCTATCGCTGCACCTTCGCCAGGGAACAACCGAGCTTGTGCTCCCCCTTTTCACCGCTTGCCTCACGGCTCAAACTAATCTAACCACGCCCACCTATTCGAAAGTTTTTCGAAAGCAAGATAGAGAATGCCCCTGCGTGAGCGTGTCGTTTGCTGCCGCTGCCGCAGTTTTTTTTTTCGTTATAGTTGTTATAGTTGAAGCACAGCTAGTGAAAATACGAACACTTTCGAAACAGTGTAACAAATGCTCATGATTTTTGCCATCGTAAAAGTTCATTGCTTGAGCGTGTGTGACGATCAGAAAAATATCGAAAATACCAGAAACCAACGCTCGTTTTTTGATACTTGGAGAGTATATGGAAAAAAAATGAATTGGAATGGAGGCGGATGCAAAACTCTTGACGAGTTGAGGTCAGTGCCGTCGACGTCTCACGCCAAATGAGTCGAGCATTGTATGGCAAATGAGTTAAGAATCATTTCAAAAAATGGGTTACTGTGGGAAGCGGCTACTATTGAACAAGTAAGATAAATTCAAAAATGCAATTTTTTCTAAAGAAAAACTGTCACATCAAATACCAGTGGAAAAAAAAAAGAAATCGAATTCTGTAAAATTTCTAAAAATATTATAGTTGACGGTTTGAAACGTTTTGCCAAGTTAAGAATTTTCGAGAAAAATAGTAGAAGATTAAAATTACCAATGACTTTGACGTGGACGACACATACTTTGATGTTTGTCTTTTCAAAACATATCTTGTGGAACCCGCAGGTTATTGTAATAAACAAGGCTTAACAACGCATACGAGTGGATCGGAGAAGTTCGAGGTAAGATGGAAGTTCGTAAATTCTACTAAAACTTTTATTGTCCGGAACTTCATTTTATTATATTGGTAATAATGAGTTTCTTGAAGTGGGTGAGGCTATTTCCATCAGATTTATTCATAGCTATGCCAATCAAGGTATCCATTTGGCCATTCTTCAAGTGGACATTACCAATTTCTTTCTTTTCAAATCCATTATACGATTTGGCTCTTTGATCTTTTCAATATTGCGTTTTGTGCAGATCTTCCGATTTTTGAATGTTTAAAGAAATAGTAAACCAAAAAACACAATGTCTTATTCAAGCAACTCAGAATTGAGATTGAAAGTGCAAGTTCATATAATAGTTTATTTGCAACATTTCTTGGCTTTAATTGGTTTCAGATGCCGTTTCCAATAAGCTTTACAATACGAACACCAAATCCTCTTCCGGATTTTATTGGAGTTCGTCTTGCGGTCCATCAAGCTCATTTCATTCCTCAAATCCTGCAATTGTTCCACTCTTTATTATTCGCATTTGCATATGTGATTCGGCACAACCTAAGCGAAACCAGCTGTTTAAAGCACTCATAAAAATAATAAATGTTGCAGTTTTATAAAGCTGTGGTGTATTTCGCCGCGCTCCTCCGCTATCAATCATAGTGCGCGCGCAACTCCGATGCGACAAAAGGATTTGTTTTGCTCTTGGTTCATTTCTTGCCAGTAACAGCTGACGAGCAATATCGAAGGACAACTCGGAGCAACAATGAGAGTTAAAACATCACCTTGATTATCGAGTTCAGAATGGATTTCATTATCATACGCCGATTCGCGATGCACACTTTATGCTCCGTAATCGATCCCGGACGTGGTCCATATGGATATCTGCCACCAATTCGCGTCACAAATGTTATCCGCCAGTTCTATAAAACGAAACCACATATCGATTTCATAACAATTAAAAATTGGGCTCATTTGTACGTGCTTCTTCTCATCGTCGTATAGATTACACTATTGCTATCGAAACGCATAAGCCGTCAAAAATAGTTTCAAAAAAAGCAATCGCATGGACGGCTGACTATGAGAAATAGTAAGAAGTGAAACGATTGGTACCTTTTCATCATCACATGTGTTCATTGTTTGTCGTTCAAACGAGCGCAATTTCTCAAAGCTGAGCCCTTTTCTGCAAAAAAAAAAGAATCCAAAACACCTGAAGAAAAAACCCGAAGGAAATGTTGCATCAAAACGTTCGCCGACAATCATTAAAATTCGCCTACCCTTTGATTCGATGCCTCCGAATCCAAGAAATGGGTTTTATAATTACTTGCCGAGTCCGGTTATCATTCTGAACACCGATCCCATAAATATTGCGGGTACGAGCCGAGAAGGATTCTGAAATCGAAATGGACAACCTGTTGAAAAAACTGAGAGTCAATAAATCTTATCCTGACAAGAGCCATTAACTCGTGAAAGCTTTCGGGACAATTTGTTAACAACATCGGGATCGGATAGACTTCACGAAAGAAAAAAAAAACTATGTTTTAAATTCATTCCTTTTGATTATTTTGTCATTGTTTTTTCTAGTAAAAGTGTTTTAAAGAGCAATAAAAAGCGTTTTTAAAAGGCGTATGACTCAAACTTAAAATGAGCCAACAGCTCCAATTTTTTGTGCATTTTTCTATCAATTGTATGTTTAAAAAAATTCCAAAATGAAGTAAAATTAAATATCGTTTTTTACCGAGAAAATTTATAAAGTCATTGTAAAGTTCATTAGATGTATTTTTGTTCTTTTCCCTGGGTAGCTTTGTTATTTTACATTAATATACGTTAAGTATTATTAAAAATTATTTTCTTACCTTCAGGAGATTTCAAAAATAAAACTAGAATTGCAATAAAGCCAAAATGTTCATAATTCATGCTAGACAGTAAGCGCCGCCGCCAGAAAAACCAGCCGAAATTTTTTGGAATATCGGTCAGTTGTAAGACATCGTCATAATTGGTCACTAATGCAACATATCCATCAAGTCCGACGGCGTCCGGACACGTCTTGGTTACCGGTCAATTAGCACATTTTCATCGGCGCTCGTTTACAATTTATTTATTTTCAACATACATTATACAACTTAATAAAGCAATTTCGGTAAACCAGCCCACAATCAATATATCTCAATAAATAGATAAATGTCTGACAAAACGATTGGCTCATGATGTTATGACAGCAAATTGGTTGTTGGTACCGACAAGTGCCCATTGAACTTGTTATATATAAATGCGGTGCACGCTTTAAAGCGTGGGGCTGGGCTCAACATTTATAAATGTTGGTAGTATGGCGATAGCTGCTGCGATCTCTGGAATATTAATACAAAATTTCAAATCTAACTCTTATTCTTCGAAACTCACTTAAGGCAGTCATCATGTTTCTTGTACTCGAGTACAGTATTTTGGGGAAGCTGCAAAACACGACGGAGAGCATCTCTTATACGATTTGTCACCGTTATATCATCCGAAGTCCTGAAACCAAATCAGCAATGGCTATTAATGAAGAGAGAACTCGAAATGTTAAAAAGAATTTTGAATGGGATAAAAAGGTTTACAAAAAACTAGGTTAGCTACGCGATTTCGCGCCGCTTTGCAACGATAAAGAATTTTGAAAATGACCGCGTCGCGTTAACCGCTGCGCAAATGGCGATGTTAGATAGTACACATCATACGATAGATAGGTGGCGAAGATTTCATTGCGATAAGATTGTTTCAAACTTTCGTTTTCTGCGAATTTTTTCAAGGTCGTACCTGTTCCAAACAGAAATGATGTCTTCTTGATTTCGAATCGAACACACAGCACCGCAAATCTCGTCGCCAACCATGAATTGTTCGCCAATCATGGCTAGTAATAAATTTTCCCACATGCGGGTGCACAATCCCTAGAAATTAAGCAAATTTATTTGGATTTTGGGCATTTCTTTGCGAGACTTTCTTCAAGCGAACTATCCATTTTCCACCTCGCACGTTCGCCGGATCTTCCCAAACCGGCTTGATTCCCTTTTTAAAGAAGTGAATATCGGCTTTATCTCCCAAATCTAAAAATAATGCGAATGTTTTGGCAAAAAAATGAGACTTCCTGATAAATCTACCTGTTGGTCGTTTAAAATGTATAAACACTCTCCAGAATTGTTCAACCGATTTGATAACAGCCACGGGCTGCACATAGCTTGCATATTCTACTGGATCGAATTTCCCACTAGGCCTAACAAAAAATGATAGCATAAAGCTATATTCGGTTAAATGATCGTTCGATTCAGGATCAGTTTCTGCCTGCAAATTTTTGGAATCTTCTGAAATGTTATAAATCATATGAATACTCACCACATACATTGGAACAACTTTACTTTCTGGTTCAAAAGATTTTTTGTCTGAAGCGGCCATTCTATTCTAAACGCCTATAAATAATTCAAAAATTTTTTTTTCTAACTACATAGAACAAATTATATATGAACTGTAAGCTGACAGTTGAAAAAAATAGCACACAAAATTGGCTCTATTAACTTTTTATTGCACATTTAACTATCACAGACAATGGGCAACCCGTTAAACCGATATGTTTGGATGATCACAATGGAAATTCTAGAATTCAATATCTATAATATGGTTTTAATATATTCTACGGCTGATTTAAAATTTGTCCAATAGTAGGCGTCTCGACCAGACTCAATGCATTCACCAGCGAACGCTTCAACGAACTGCACATTGGAAAGCAATGCACGAGGATTGGCCTAAAAATGAAGCCAATGAAATGCGAAGATTATTTTGAATTTTAAATTGCAAAGCACGTTATGTGTTAGAGTTGGTCAAAGTACGAGAGAATAAACAATGGGATTATATTGGTACCTCTCGATCTAGACAATGAATACGATAAATGTACCTTTATAATTACAAACACTAGCACCGGTGTTATATCGTCTGCAGATGCCACTGCATTTTTCGATGACAATGCTATCAAGTTATTAATCACATCGCAGCATCGAACAATGCATTTAAGTTTGTCGCGAGCCGTCACATAAATATCAAGCATTGACAGCTCCGCCTGGGCAGATGGCCATGGAGCTTCGCCATGTAAACGTCGAGGAATTCGCAAAAAATCGCTATTTGGAGTAACAGAAAGCGCCAAAGTTGCAATGCTGGCTTGTAGAACTCTATAAAACTCAATTCCTTCTAATACATTTCGTGATTATGAAAATTACTTGTCACGTGGCTGATCTGCACCAAGATTTGGGTAGAATGCGGTTTCATATATTCCAAACATCACATATCTTTCTATAGCAATCATTGCGCGTTCAATCATTGGCTCCGAGGCGTACTGAAAAAAATCAATATCAACACAATTGTATTAGCTTAATTAAATATTACACTCCAATCGGCATTTTTCAATAATCGCGACTGGAGATGCTCAAGAAGCTGTTTCAGAAGCTCGGCTCTTTCATCTTGCACATGACAATGCTTGAAATCATCGTAGAATTTGAGAACTGTCTCAACTTCTGCCGACCGGGTATTCGGCGCTTTATTTTGCACAAAACCGCTATCCAAAAAGATTCTCATCAAGCTGTCAACCAAATTTTGCTCAATAAGCTTTTTGTTTCTGCAATCCTTCATTTTGAAATCTGATCTTTGTTCAAAATAAACTCACAATATCACTTTTTGTTCAAGAGATGAAATGTCATTAGCCTGTCGCATAAGTAAAATACGCTGCTCTCTGAGTTCGGCAAACTTTTCTTCTTTCGAGATTTCATCCAATTTCAAATGCTCGAGGAGTATTTTAACCCTAAAATGGTTGTTTAAAATAAGGGAAAATGCCGATAAAAATCTCACTCGTCGTTCAAAAATAGATCGATGCATCGCTTGACCTCCAATAACTGAGCGGCGAGACCGTTCTCCCGACGATGTTCGGCTTCACAAAGAAGGCCACTAAGAAATCGATAAAGCAAGTATTTCTGATCAATTCTCTCATCATCGGACCTTTAAAAGAATTTATTAGGCGAATGTTTGAAATAAGATAAAGCACCCATGAACTCTGCAATTGATATGAGGAAGATAGGAAATGCTGCCTAGCACTGTTCCAAGTTTACGAAGAGTGTCTTTAAACGCTCTAAATATTTATTCAATTTATTAATTTTTTTTGATTCAACGTTTTACCGGCAGTTCAAAAGATTTTCAGAAGAGTAGTAGGGTTCAATATCTTCCTAAATTCTTATTTTAATTATTTTCGTTTCGGTTATTTTTACAATTCTAGGCGACTCAAATGAAATCAGATTTCCAGAATGGTGTTCAGGTTTGACTGTTGGCGCTGCTTTCGAAGCATATTTCTCCAGAATATCGTCTCTCGGACTTGCCGATGTGAGGGTTTGCTCACTGGCGCTCGAAGAAAGTGTTGTTTCCGGACGAGCCATTGATGCGCTGCGTCGTATATGACTACGTATATCGGTAAGTGTGTTTGACTGTGTTAAACCTAAAAAAAATTGAAAAAATTAGACCAAACACAAGCAAAAATCAAAATATTTTTTCTAATGTACCTTTTTTCATACGATCTCCAATAATTTTTAATTTTGCGAAACCTCGAACTTCAGTTTGACCGTCTTCTTGTGTTGAATGATCGGCGCTCACACTCGTCGATCGATTCTCCATCTTATCCTTCACAGAAATCGTATCAATTTCGGTGGGTTGTCTGAATACAATTGCTGCTACATGTACTAGTATGACAGAAACTTACTGAATTTCATTTGCACTAAAAGATACGTCATCAGTTTTCACAATTTCATCTTGTGGTGCAATTTCTTCCGCAGCTCTAACTGGGGCATCATCTGGAACAGGTGTTGGTTCATGCTTATCTTGAATAGGCTCTTCAGATGGTAATTCCTTATAAAGCTCTCTGCAATGCCTCAATGTAGTTAACTGTTTCAAATCGTGCTATTACGGATGATATTCAGCCAAGAAAATTTCAAATTCCTCTCTCACAATATTAATCGAGTCCAGTTTTTCAATAGTTCTGCGCTCCTCAATATCATGAGGGTCATTCCTTTTAATTCCACTCAACATTTTCTTTTGAAAATTTTTCAGTGTGCTAAGCCTCGATGGATGCTCGGGGCTCCCCATTGAAAGATGTTGAGTGGTACATGCGAATGATTCAGGTAGTTTACTGAACTTTTTCCGGATGTGCCATAGAGAAGGATCGCTCATGTTCGATTCAATCCGTGCGAGTTTTATCTGAAAAAAAAAACCCGTTTGATTTAGGAATATGCTACTATTTGAGATTTACCATTTCGTTCATTTCTCCAATTGATCCAACAAACATTGTTTTCTTCATTTTATCCGACAATAGTCTTTCGTTAGTGATTACAGAAATTACTTCGACTTCCGGAGCGGGGATATCCATAAGCATCGTTTCCATCATTTCCGATACCAGATTCGTTTTCTGAAAATCCCCTTATCCATTGTAAAATCAATAAGATATGTGTACCCGGCATTCCGTTAAGAACTCTTTGTACTCGGAGGGTGGTTCCTCGAGGTTTTGCAATGGAATCGCCTATAAGAAGTAATACCTTTTGACTTTGTTTTAAGCCATGGATTACTTTAATGAGCATTGCAATTTGCGCCAAGTTATGGCTCACTATAGCTCCAATCCGAACATCATTGTCAATAATTCCAAACTTTTGCGGGCTGATAATTGCAGAACATATCAGGTTGGATATAAACATATCCTTGCAAGCATGTGTGAGCTAAAAATGCTTTAAAATAAGTTTTCTTTGGATCATCAAGCACCTCAGCATTGTCATTATCAGCTCGAAGGCTTTCAAATATATTGCGAATGATCCAGTTGAGTGATGGCGGTAATATGGCAAGCGACTTATGAATTTCTGCAATCATTCCTTCAGTATTGAGTGAATTTATTTTTTTGCTACCTTCTAAGAAAGAATCAACTAATTCAACAAGTCGTGATACCACCAAAGCTCGATACTCTGGCAATCTCTCTTTATTACGGAAGTTATCGCGTAGGAATCGATTTGCAGACTAAATTGATAACCACTATGACAATCCAATAATATATATGATATTACTTGTTTCTCATCAATATCCAACCAAAAATTTCCAGTTTGTATGACTTTGATAATTGATGATCGTAGAGCACCAGTCAAATACACCTGTAATGTTAGACTATTGTACGGAAATTGAAAATCGCTTCCTTCAATCACATGCCCATCGTCCTAATATTGCAACAGAAGTCAACAAATAAAACAGACTTTTGTTTTTTTTTTTTGTCGGGGGAAGAATTTTTGCAGATAAGCCTTTTTAGAAAGGGTATGAGAAAATACTAGACAGAGAACGTGAGAAAAGGCACGTAAAATGTTGAGCGAACCGCAATTTCTTTCCGTTTAGGAGCCGCCAATTGTGTTTTCTTTACGCTTTTATTCCTGTTCTCCCATTTCCTTTTGTTCGCTCGTATGTTCAAAACATATATTATTGTTTTCCAATCATTTACAAAATCATTGTACAACATCAAAAATTCACGAGAAATAATCAACCATGAAGTGGTCTGTACTGTTCAAATTAGCAACGATGACCACAAGTTAATTTCAGCTTCCGGTAGAGTTCAGAAGTGTCTATTCTATATACTCTCAAATTCTTCTCAGTAATGTTTTATTGTTAACCTTTTTTGTAACAATACTTACATTTTTACGTGTCTACTCTTTGTTGTCCGTACGCGCATAAAAGCAGAATTGCAGCTCTAATTTAACTTGGGCTCATAGTTGATATAGCTTGAAAGATGTTGATATTTTGCGTTTTTTATTATACGTGCCATAAATATGGTATTTAGCAGTTCTCTTTTTTGTTAAAAATTGCAAAACATGCGATGATATAAACATAAATTTGCTATTCTTTCCACGTTTTCGAAAATTTTGGATCTTAGAACGTTTTAATGTGTATTTGAACAATATTTTTTTGGCTTCACACCTATCACTTGAATTATCTCAAATCTTACCATAGTTGGATGCGATGTTTCTACATAAAGCCGATAAAACCTGGTACATATCGCAGTCTCCTTCCGAATGACTTGTCGCATTCGCCCTCTCGCCGATGAAAGTTGAAGTTTTAGCAATTGGCACACGGCCTGAAAATATATGCTATATTGCTATATGCTTGCTTACTTCTCACCTGCGAAAGTCGTAGCTCATCTTCCGGAAACAAACCGCACGAGTAAACCATCTGATAGAAAATATTGGATATACTATCATTGTTATGAATATCATTTTCATCAAAGTTCTGCATAAGTTTTGCCACCGTGTTAGGCTCATGGTAGAGAGTTGTAAGAACATCTTCTATTGAGGAGTAATGATGACCAAAAGCCCTGAAACTCGCAGAATTAGGCGTGTGTGATGACCAAATCAATATTAATGTTCTGATAATGATTGTAATTTACCTCTGGATAATTTAATTTACATTGAAATTTTCACAATTTAATTTTTTTGATACCAATTACTGGTGAGAAAAAACCAATAAACCATGAGAAACTTTTAAATGTCTCACAATACATCGGTTTTTCATTACATGCAATTTATATATAGAACAAAACTCACTTATAAGCTGGCACTGATTCAGTTTCGCTAATTATTTTGATAAGTCGACACACATTTTGCGGATCCAACGGGTCCGATTGACTTTTTAGTTGTTGTAATATGTTCTAAATAAATTGTTTTATCTAAGAAATGCTTGTGCCAATGCTCACTTTGTAATAGAAGCAACGCCAGGCTTCAGTGAGAACACGTGTCTCATCAACTGCAACATTTTGCCGTTGAATATCAAGCGATTCTTGCTGTAATTTTCAAAATATCAATGAAATTTTCAATGATTAATGCAAACCTCTGAATCAGTTAGCAATTTCTGATTTCGAATTCTCGTGGCAATTTCATACAATTCCTTATAACTATCGCTATTTCTAATTTTCTGAAGCAAATCCGCCATGAGAGTTTTTGGTTTTTCTTCCCTATAATATAATAATATAGAAATTTACTATCAATTGATAACGACAACAATAATGGTGGATTGCGATCATCACAACAACAAGGAAACGCCACAAAATGCAATGAAAGTGCGAGGATTCGATTGATTCGTGTTCCAATGAGTACCCGTCATCGCTCTCGCATTACTTTCTCTCTTTTCCCTCTCTGCATTTTCATTCTATCGTGTTTGCACAAATGCGCATCACTATACGGAACCATCCATTTCAGGGCAATATGACACCAATGGTTAAGTATTTGTTTATATTTTCAACGTTCCTATTACAATCTTCGGGCACGTTCGGATGTGAAGAATTGACTCATCCGCAAAATAGCGTGAAAATGGAAGTGAGTTGAATTGTTTTAAAAATATTCCATAAGTAGAATGTTTTTTTGTAGATTTTCCGCAATGGACTCCATCGGCATCTTGTTGTGAAAACTAATATCCTATCAAAAGCACGATTTTCGCAATGTCGACTGCTCTATCGTTTCGAAATTCCTCGAACGATGTATTTGGATGACTATGCGTTAGTTTTCAGCAAATAAAAGTCAATTTTGAATTTTTTTTTGTTCAGATTGAATCGATCGTTGCTAGCGCATGAATATATTTCATTTAGGAATTTTGACGTTGAAAAAATGGCAATAGAATCCAAAACAAAGAATGTAGGTTTATTATTTTTAATTATTTTGGCAATTCCTATTTTTAGGTATACTTCATTAGGAAAAAACCGTTTTTGTCAACATTTGAAATGAAAGATACGCTTGAGCTCCCGATTCATATGCGTTATCCACCATCGGGTGATTAATTGTAGCAAAACATTTAAAAAATTGAAAAAAAAAATATTGAAAAAGGAAAATCAATGGAATAGAACAAATATTAAAAGTTTTGTTGCGATTTTCAGAAAATTTTCTTCTAAGAAATCAAGAAATAATGCATCTAATCTTGAGAAAAATAAGATAATTTATTAAATGTCTGTTAATTAAGAAAACTATTTAAAAACTTGACACAAATTAACAAAAATTGGTAGAAAAATTTTCGAGTTAAAAAATTGCAAAAACTGCTGAAGAAATGCGAAAAGATAGAGTGTTCGATATCAGTGCATTCTTTTGTCCTTTTTTCCCGCCGAATAATTCATTTCTATAGTGAATATCAAACATATGAATATCAGACTTTTAGTACATATAACTAAAAGAAAATACTGAAAATTCTAGCTTAAAATGCCATATTCCCCTAAATGAAATCTGTATTAACCAACAGAAATAGCATTAAAGCATAAATAAATTAAAAACTGGACTGATGTGTAATATATTCAGGAAACACCCAATTACGTTACACTACATTTAAACAACCGTCATTGGCTATCGATTGTCAGAATGATCAGTTTAATAAGTGCCCAAGGTTTGCGGTCCATCCCGGTGAGTCATTACGTTCATTGCCATTACATATAAACGACATTTTCTAGAACAACGCTTGAAGTCGCAATCTACCAATTGGCGGGAAATTACATTACCACAAAAATCAATTAGAATTGACTTCAAGGGATCGAGCTGGGACGATAAAGGTGTCGAGTTTAAAGTGGCAAGTGCCGTCCTCGCTGTTATAATCTTACTTTGCACCGGAATTCATGTTTTTTAATGTGTGAGCTGCCAAAATAATGTGTATGTGAGAAACTGGTGTTCCAAGGCGTGCTTAATACGATGTTGTAATTCAACGTGACCACTGCCCACAACCTACGGTATTATGACAATGTAAAAATTTTCGAATTCCTCAAATCTTGTCATGTTATAGTGGATCTCATTTGTTTTTATTATCATTTTTTCTTTATTTTGTTTTTAATTTAAAATGTGTTTGTGTTATTTATTTGCGAATATTTGAATATCTGAATCATAAATACAGGGTGTCATTTAAGTTCCCGCACAACTTTGTAGACGTACATTTCTGAAACTAAAAGTCCAAATCAAACGAGACTCGAAATATTTTTTATCTATAGTATAACAAATATTTATCAATTAACTCTTTTTGATTCGGCCTCTTTTCGCAGCTATGACTTCACGGAGACGCTTCGGGTAGGATGTGACTGTGGTACGCAGGTATTCGATGGAAAGATTGTCCCATTCCGCCAGTAATGTCTTCTTCAGAGCCTCTACACTTGAGTTGGGTTTTGCGTTGACCTTCTCCTGCAAGACCCCATCACGGAAAAGTCAAGCGGGTTCAGGTCTGGGGAGCAATCAGGCCATTCGGATGACTTGATAAAGTCGGGAAAATGGGTCTGGCACCACTCCTGAGTAGTTTTGGCAGTGTATGCGGGTGCTCCGTCCTGTTGAAAGACCCATTTCTGCCCACCGAAATGCGTTTGGGTCCAGGGCATCACATGCTTCTCCAAAATGTCCCGAACGTAGACTTCTTTGTTCATTTTCACCATCTGATCCACGAAAACCAGGTAGCACTTCCCGGTTGAGCAGATGGCACCGAAAGCCATCACACTGGCAGGATGTGAGGCTGGATGATATGTTCTTCCTTTCTCAGAAGCTTGCTGGGATGTTTGGCCAAGTACTCAATGGTTTTGTGAGTTGAATGCCGCCTCCACACTGAACAGCTTCTCGTCGGAGAAGACAGTGACGAGGTGTTCTCCAGACCGCGTGCGAGCAAGAAGTCGTTTTGCTTTTTCGAAGCGTCTCTGCTTGTTGACGGCCGATAGAATTGCCGCTTTTTGGACACGATATGGGGTCAGTACAAGCTTTGTTTTGACGATTTGTTCCATAGCAAAGATGCTCATTCCCATGTCTGACGCCATCTTTCTCATGCTCCTGTGTGGGTTTCGCCTGATCCTCGATTTAACGGCGTTGATCTTCTGAGGAGTGGTTACTGAGACGAGTCTTCCTTGTCTGGGACGGACACTGGTCGTATTTAGCTACTTGAATCGTTTGATGGTGTCGCAAACCGTTCTACGAAGCACACCGACCCGTTGAATGATGTCTCTCGGGCTCACATTTTGCTTATGAAGTTCGATAATGGAAGCGCGATGGATGTTAGCCTTCGCCATTTCTCGGAAACACATCCGAATGAGGTGAAACTTGGGAAATAAGTAAAATACACCTTATTTAACAAAAATAAATTGTATTGGTGCACAAAAAGTGCGACAGTCAATCTCTTCATGGCGTCAAACTTTTGTGCGGGAACTTAAATGACACCCTGTATGTAGATTATAATGACTTGTTTCACTCACACGCAGAAAAAAAATGAAAATGCCCAGATGGAATACAGGTTTTTTGCATTGGACATTAAGCCTATGCAGATGTCGCTTTTACGACAAAAATGTATCCATATGCTTTCGATTTTTTCAAGCAATATATTGGTAACAAAACTTCCAGAATAGAATACACCAATGTCGGCAATATCGCTCTTCTCCGAAAAAATTTTTGGGTGGGCGTTGTCACGCCAAGGTGCCAAAATTGAATGACCATTTGCTGACCAAGAAGTTCCCCCTCATTCGCCCCCGTTGTAATTCTGGCCTACAAACATGGTATTATTCTTTGTACCAAACCTTCCTTCTCATTACAACCAACACAAAATGGTTGTGATTTAAATCTGTCTTCATTGTTTGTTTGTCCTCCACTTCTGTTGGCCGTCAATTTTTGTTCAAAAAATCTTTTTCTCGTATTTTTTGTGGCGTTTGAACGAGTTTTTCTGTGCTCTCCAGGTTTTGCTTTGTACGATAGGTTTATCAGTAACTTCTATTATTATCAATTTCAAACTCCATGGAATCGAATGATTACATTGTAGTGTGAAACATGGCCAATACGATGTTGAACAGGATAGCAAAGTTCACGGCTTTAACAACACTTGTAATTGGATGCATATTCCTAATCCTTCACAAGCCGCTACCTGAAGGATTTACTATTTCAGTGTCGGACAGAATAGCTGTCCATATAATCGAACCGGTGCTAAGAGCGGTTTATTACTATCCTGTAAGTTAAGTCAGTTATTTAAAAAATTCATCGAGTCTAAATTTAAGAGTCAAATGTTTTCCGATCCCGCTGATATGATTTGGTGGACAAGACTTTCTTTGAATAGTCTTAATCGTGTCATAAACCCGATAAAGCCGACGGACAAAGAGCTGATAGTCAAAAATGAGGATTGGTTTGGTGTTCCAGTGAGAATTTACATTCCCGAAAATGCTTCAACTCGAAATAATGCTTCTGTTCTGTTTTTCCATGGTGGTGGTTTTGCATTGGGCAATGTTGAGATGTACGACAGTCTCACAAGATTACTAGCGAAAAAGTAAGGGGTATTTCTAGAAGGAAATTCAATACTACAAAATGCTACAAAATTCCTTTTTTTTATCGAGTCGCTACAAATTGGGTGTGTGTTCTAAACACTTGACTAGATAATATCAAAATTTCACTTGTGATTTTTAGTGCGGAAATCGATTAAAAAACCATTCATTCTTCAGAAATATTGACAGAATATAGTGTTGAAACATCCTACACTTATGAAAGAGAAAATCATTATTATTTGATGAAAATTTTCAGGTTGAACAGTGTTCTAGTTTCGGTCGAATATCGCTTATCACCGGAAACCGCATTCCCTGGACAAATCCAAGACTGCGAAGCTGTTGTGGATTACATGATGGAGAATGGCGAAGATCGATTTGGAATTGACACCCATAGAATCACATTGATGGGAGATTCGGCTGGTGGAAATCTTGCGACGGTTGTAATTCAGAGACGCGTTGCAAAGCGAGCTCATCCAGAAATTGGCGCTCAGGTTCTACTTTATCCATTACTACAATTTGTCGACCTCCAAACATCATCCTACCGTTATTTCCACAAAAGACTGAATGGTCTTGCCCTTGTTGGTAAGCTTCTTCTTTCTTGCTTTCCTTTAAAACATTTTACAGACCCCAAGTCGATTGCCTACTATTACATGTTTTATGCTGGAATTGAAAAGAATACTGTGAAGAAGCTTGTTCCCTTTGTGATTACGAACGGACACGTGAAAACCGAACAGAAAGCAGCCATCGAGATGGTTTGTTTGAATGACTTTTGTTGTTCACTTTTCAGTTGTGTGATATGCGTGGTGGCAACCGGATTGCCGACAAAAACAATCATCATAATTTCAACGTGTGCCAATAATACGGGTCGAATTACAAAATAGATAGTAGAGAGTTGTTGATGTTTCAAAAGAAAGTAGATTAAAGCTAGTTTTGTATTCAAACACCGTGGACCCAGTTTTTTTGCATCTTAGAAAGACATTTCATTACAAGCATTTTCCGGGACACGCCACAATTGAATGTTTGATGCAGCGTTGGCGGCAATCAAAACAAGGACTCATTTTTTGCAACCCCGTTGATCAACTGCCTGAAATAATTGCTTATTGCATATTTTTTAATGTTAAAAAGGCTCATACATCTTCCAATACGCAATATTAAAAAAAATGCCTTGCAAGTATTGCTGAAATAAATTCTCATAATTTAACAGTATTTACCTCTTCAGTTTATTTATATGTGATAGTTAATATTTCAAATAGTCAACAAACAAAAAAACCAATTTGTTTATATTTTCACTATCAACGCCACATGACCCATTTATTTTTTTTCTTTCAGGCAATGAGGTACGAATCAACAATCGAGAAATCGCTAAACTATCGAAATGCGACAATCCCAGCGAGATTCAAAGTGAAAGAAAGTCGACAAGCGCAGGAATTGCTTAGCAAATTCATCCTAAACCCCGACTTTTGTCCGTTGTTGAGGGAGGATTTGCGCGGGATGCCCAAGTCGCTAATAATTACCTGCGAGTATGACGCCCTTCGTGACGAGGGGATCATTTACGCGCAAAGATTGAAGGTATCGTACATATGTGTCAACCTTGGACATGAATAATGCGCTGGAAAATTGCAGGATGCTGGTGTGCAGGTCGACGCGCGAAATTATGAAAATGGCTTCCACGCGATGCTAAATCTTCACAAAGAGGTGGAAGAAGCTCAAAAATGTGTCGACGACATTGTCAATTGGATATTGAACAATGTCTAGAAGCCAATAATATAATTTTAATATATGTAAATTTGTTATATTCAATAACGCCATTTTCCCTTGACTACGTGTGTTTCTTGTTTCTGACCTGACCTTCTTGCGAACAATTTGATTGTTTTACGAATAAAAAGAGTAAAAGCTTGCATCGAGATAATATTATCTAACAAGCCATCTTGGATGTTTTCTATGACCTCGGCTAATAGTTCCATTGTGAATTTGATTTGGTGGTGGTTGGTGTAACACAAACGAGTTTCGCTTCTGCATACGATGCCCAATAATTTTTGCCGGCACTTTTGCTTGCCACGCGGTTGCGATAAACGAAAAATGAACAAATACTTTCTAAAATAAGCAACGCTCTTTTTTTTTTCTTCATTCGCCTTATCGTTTCAATGATGCCGTATTTGCATTACTCCTGACACTTCTTGAACCTGCATTTTTCGATTCGCAACTGACATTTAGTTTAGTCACATTTATTTGTTCTTTCCAATAAGTTTTATTTGAACAGTGGGATCGAAAAACTAGATTTCATAGTTAATTTGAGCAGCAATAATCTGGGACGCCAGAAACAATTGTGAAATATTCGAGAGCATTCGATTCATTTTCGGGTAGTCATAGTTACAGCAATATTTATCACCCTACTTCCTCTTTCTCTTTTTTTCTTTAATGTTTAGCCAACACAATTTTTTTTTTCAAAATTTTCATACTTGGCCAGTTTATTGGCCACCAAAACGCATTCGTTATAACTGGTTACAATTTTTTTTCTCTTCAATTCCTTCTCGAAGGTCATTTTTAATGCCAAGTTCTAGCAAAATTAAAGGTTGCCCCGTTTCTAAGTGAGTCAGCTAGGAACACTTGAACTCTCAACGTGCTATTGTGTTTACTCATATTATTATTGATGGGATCAGGAGTAACAGAATCCCTATCGAGCTGAAGACAAAGGCAATATATTCTCAAATTACTTGTCTTCCTTTTCTTCACGTCAGTATGCATTTAACGTTTTTATGTGATCAGGTATCATCAAACATGCATGTTTCATTGAACCACCATTTTTTGAGATATATCATCAATGTTCCTTCTCATTTTCTCTCGCGCAAGTTTGTGGAACTAATTTTCTTTCTTTTTTTTGTAGTTATCCACTCCCGATGAAATTGCAGTTCCGTTCTGGTAACTCTCCAATTTTCCATAATTGGAAATGCGTTTTACATATAAATAAGAATGACAAAGAGGATTACATTGAGATTGAGAATCACTTAGTCTTGCTTAATGTTATCATCATCTTAAATGGAAATTATATATAGGATTAAGTATACGGTAGAAGAAATTTTGCATTCCACTCGCTATTCTCAGTCCAGTCGAACTTGCAATTCTCATCAAAACTCGTGCATTTTTCACTTTACAGCGCGTCGAGAATTCCCGCGTTTTTTTTTCTTCACCCATCATCATCATGATCGTCACATTTGAGAAAATTTTGAGCATATGACCAACGAATCGCGGCTGCTTTGTTTCCAGGTTTTCGCTTTTTATTTTCCTTTGGGAGAAAAAAAAATACTGCCGCTCAAATGTATCTCTCATTATAAAGAGAAACACGTATTCGCGGTTGTTTCAAATCGTTTTGCTTGATCAGTTTTTAGCGGAAAACATCATTATTATTATTGTAATTTTATCGCGAAATGCGGTTTTCTTCACAACCCCGCTCGATTTTCTCAAATCATTTTGCATTGCGAATTACGACGTTTTACTACGTTTTCGTTGAGTCATTATTCTAGGAAAACTCCGTCGTTTAAGTGTGAGAGTTTGAAATTCTAGTATTATGCACATTTTAAATTGAAAGCTTCGAATTCTCAATTAGGATGATTTTTGTTTTCCAAATATTTATTGCCATCGGAATTCAAATTACTTTATCGGTCCCTAAAATAAAATTATAAATACAATTTAGGTTGGTGAACAATTATGTATACTTTAGAGACAATTATGCCCGTATGTCCTTGTAGCGCAAAATATTGACAATACTTAATGTCCAGAAGGTCAACCTGCTCAGGTTTCATACTACAACTCAAATGTAACATTATAAAGCATCACTCAAAAAAAAATTCATATAAATCCCTAGATGCAATATATTTTTGATCAACCTAATTTTGTTCATTTCACGTTTGATTTGACGAATTCACATAAAACCCATTTTATCAACCATTCCATTAAAGGAAATGCACAATTTAATTCGTTTCCGTAAAATCTGCTGACGTAGGCTGTTCAATCACATGATAAGCGCGTTGATATGAATGGTCTGAGCCTTTCTCGAAGATTGAGAACACATTCCTGCAGGGATACAATTTTTTTCTTCTGATAAATGACATCGCGTGATACTCTTGTTATTCTTTCGGGTTCAGTTCCTTCGGCAAATAAGTGATTGACTATTAAGTTCAGTTATCAATCAAAAATTGCGCTTCGGTCATAAGACTTGAATTGGTAGATAAGATAACTTCAGAATTGTCTTAAAATCCTTCCTTCTACATCCTTCTATATTCTTCTAGATTTCCAATCCAAGGCCCTTTTTTTTTTAGAAATAATTGTTTTTGGGTCGACCATTAAAGTGTGTTTTGTTTTCCTAAAGAAAATTTGCTACTTGCTTTTCCTCTTCACCGTTTTCCAAAATGGCAAACGCAGAACGTCTAGTTGAAAGCGAATGTGTGCATGCGTAGACTATTGTAAAAACGCATAATTTTGTCGTCAAAATGATGACGCTATAAATTGTCAAATGTGCTCATTAAAACGCGTTTTGTTCCTTTTTCAAGCCGCCGTATTGCGAAACCGTTCGAACTTCTTTACTATTTTCTTAAATACCATCATCGCTTTGGATATGATGATGACGATGCAGAAAGAAGGCGGCCAGGGCTGATTCCTTGCAACGCGAGGGCCTAGTGACTATTCGAAAGCGAGGAGACACTGGCCGCAGAAAACAAGGCGAAGTAAAAGTGGTGTAGAGATGGTGTCGCGGCGAATTCTTGCCGCTCACGCGACGATTTCACGCCGCATGCCGCGTATTCGCCCTCCTCATTCTCCTCGGAGGTCTGCGTGTCGCGTTTCTTTTTTCCCTCTTGTCAAGTCCGACTAGGCCCGTCATCCAGTCAGCTATAGGCACCAATTCACGTGGCCTAACAAATTTCCAAATTCGTACCATTCGCCATCCTATTTTTAGACAATGTTTACCTCATTAGTATTCATCAGATTCGTTTTTTTCCTATTTTTTAACTTTCCCCTCTTAAATAACTATTAGGTTATTGTAACTCCTATTTTCCTGGTCGCCTTCGATTCCTGACCAAATACTTCTACACTATCCAACGCGATTCAATAATTATTATATCATTCAGGTCCCATTAGAAAACCGATAACAATCTATTGAATTAATTACCATTCAATGACTACTGATAGTCATCGCAATTTAGTTTCCGTTTAGGATATGGAAAGGGAGGACCACCATTTGAACAAATATTGTGAAATGAACTCAATTTAGTTAATAATCATTCTATTTATTTGTTTTATTGAAAAACGACCAAAGTTCTAGAAATTTGAGCCAATTTGGTTTATGAATGCAAAAATAAGAGCACTCATAGAATTCCGTTTGAACTCGATTACAGTCAATATGAGAAAACACTGGTTTTCTCATGATCACATGCTTTAACTTATTGGTATATTTTTTTTTGTTTTTCACATCATGTCGATGTGGGAAAGATTGTATGTGTGTGTTTTGAACACCTTACAAACCTCATTTTAAATTCATACAAAGCCCATTTTGAATGCGCCTCTGTAATTGTACTTAAAACATTTATTGTTCTAGTATCTTGCTAACTGTTGTTCAATTTTGAGATGCCGGAACTCGGAATGATTTACATACAACATGAATCACAATACAAGCATTTATTTGCACTGCCATCTGCTCTCTAGCATCTTTCAATACTATGCATTATTAAGACAGTCGCACGCACACGCGGCACGGAAAAGATTTTCGCAAATTTCTTGCTCACCCGAAGCCGCCATACACACACGCACACATGCATGCATACCGGGAGCACACAGCTCGGTCGCGCGAGGTCGATTGTCTGTATGCATGCATTCGGCGCAACATGTACAATATTTCCCTCCTTCAAACGAGAAAATATTTGCTTTTTGCGCGTTCTCCATGCAAATTCTACTGTGCCGCGGTGTGCACCACCACCACCATCAACCGAGTCGAGTCAAAGCTCAAAGTGTTTGGAGAACCATTTTTTGACACATTCCGAGTTGATACGCTCGCACCGCATGCATTCGAGCTTTTGTGCAATATCTGCGTATATTTCGAAATATTCAATTGCATTTTATATGTTTATCCCAGCGCGAGGTGATTAAATTATTGTCATGGACTTAAAGTAGAGAGTTTGAAGTTGGACAAATATACTTCTTCTGGGAAAACTGGAAGACATTGTAATATTATTAGTGCTCTAGAATTTTCTTGCTCTTCTCCTAAGATCTTCTAGGGAGTTGGAATTCTAAAGACAAACTCGAATGATCGTATTTTTTAATGTTAGATTTGAATGAATCTCTAAAGAAGCACAATGCCCAACGAGCCGGAAAAAATTCCTGGAATGCAGCGAAAACTTCCAAATGTGCACTGCATACCAATTTGAGGAAAAACATTTCCTGAAAACACCAGCAATTTTATTGAAACATCATTGATTGCTATTACTTTTGAATGTCGCTCGTGACATCATAGCGACTTGAGGATTGAAATTTTACCAAGACCAAACATTAAACATTTTATGTCCCACTACGGTATTCGTCGTCATTGGGTAACCGGCTTATAAAATCGATTTTTTGAATCAAAGTGCAGCGATTTGATAAGAGAAGAGAAGGTTGTGACCAACCAGCCAACCATTGCTGCGATTTCTCCCCAAAGAATCACATAAATTTCCAGACAAAAATCAACAGTTTCGATGATACTTTGTTGTATAGAAAAGAAAACATGCCGAAAACAGTTTTTTTTGTCAATTTTTAGAAGCATTCTTTTATGCGTATTGTTTGCTTGCCTTATCTTACATTTTTACGTTTTGCTGTTAAACCTCTATACAGTTATATTATTGCTTGAGGTGAGCGCCGAGTTGTTTGCAAAACATTTGATTTTGTTATTGTTTTTAGTTCGACCGCGGCGGTGATCGATTTTCGGTCATTCCCTCACAATTCAATTTTTTTTCCAAATTCTCGCGGTCGCTCTTCTCGTGTTGTCATTCATGTTATGTTTGATGCCGTCTTTCTCGTAATCCGTTCATTTCACTTCTACCGTCAATGAACATACACACGAATTAACCCAATTTGGCGAAATGCATTTCATGTATTTTTTCTTCAGAACACATCTACACGTCTTTTGTGGATGTTATGCATTAATCAATAAACCGATATGAGTATAGCCGCTACTTCATCGGATGCCTCCACTGGTATGATCAGATTGAGAATATCTTAAAATTCAAACAATTTCGCTTCAGAAATCAGTGATCGAGACAGCCGATTTTCTTGCGAAGATGAGGAACATCCGCCTTTAGAAAGTCGGCACCTCAACTTGATTCATGAAGAGCTGGAGAAGTTGAACATTGCCACCGACGTTATCAACAAAATGGAAGTTCAGCTAGACTCCGCTAGAGCCGAATTCAGGTGCAATTCCATTAGTCATTTCAATCTCAATTATTGTGTCTGTTCCAGAGAGACTCAAGTACAATGGTCGGAAAAGCTGAAAGAGCTTTCAAAGCAATATTCAAGCCAAATTGCCAAAGCCAGGCCATATTATGAGCTTAAAATCGAGGTAAATATTTGTCGAATCTACAACTTGTGCAATGCCAAATGAACCCAACGTTTATTTGCGACCGGATTGCCAACTGGTTTAATGTTTTTCAATGAGTTCTCAAACAACTCGATTAGAAATCCTCGAAATGACTTCTATTTATCTTGCATACTCTTTTGGCGGCAAAAAGCCGAATGATTGCTTTTGAAATGAGGCCGCCTGACTGGATAAATTGCGCGTTTGATTGGATTCGCTTAGAACAAATGAACCTATTTTTAGTTCAATTGAAGCACTTTTTGATGTCATGAGATTGGAATCGTAAAGATAACCAGTTTTTTTTAGAAGTTAAAGGTTATCTGATATAAAAATACAATGCGTTATAAGGCCACCCATATAATTGTGAATAACGTTGTTAATTGTCACAATTTTTTAATGTGATTTTCAAGAATAAATTCAGAACTTAAAATTACATGTGTGAACCAATTTTCAAATTTATATCAGAAAAATTATTAAAACTATATTGATAGTTAGAAAGAAATCTTTAAATTGAACTCATAGTATTTCGATAATTATACATTCCGATTTGTATATTTTAGATATCTTATGTGTAGATAGTACGTAAGTGTCATTTCCAATGCGATTTTCTCACTATTAAAAACAATTGCCCTTTTAGACGTTGATTTATTATTGCAAATATCGTGTTGGCTAGTCCCTAAAGGCACTTTATCATGTTTTTTCGGTTGTAAATAAATCATTTTTTTAGGAGCGCAAGCTTCGCGAAGAATCTCAGAAAGCCGCCGAGAGATTTGAAAGGGCTACATCGCTTCTCGCCGTGGCAAAACAACAAGTATGCCTCACACAGGACAGTTTGTCACGTCAGACATCGGTGCTTCCCGAATGCCTTGAGGTATATGAGTCGCAAAATAAGATGGTGTCGAAATATGTCCGGAATTTTCAAGGTTCTCAATCACCACATCCAGCGGGTGAGTGAAGTGGAAGAGGAGAGAATGATGGCGGAAGCGCTGCATGCATCGAAAGCCTATTCAATGCTTCAACTAGCCGAGAAAATTCGGGCAATGGAGAAGGAGAACAGGTAGGTGGCGCGGAAGCGTCAACGACCGGAAGTGCAATTTGAAAACGGCAAAATTGCAGGTCGGCCATCAAAAAGTCTCGACACTACTTTGAAAAGCGTCTCGAATTCACACGCATTTTGGAGCAGCAGAAAGCGACAATTTTGAAGCTTGAGGCTGAAGTCCGCCAGAAAAAGAGCGACTATACGACGTCGCTGCGCAATTTGGAGCGGATCAGCGAGCAAATTCACGAGGAGCGCTCGACGGGCAGCTCAGATGTTGGAAGTATGGACCACGTTGAAACGGAAAGTTTTGCGGGCTCCGAGTGCAATGGGATCCCCGGAAATCCGCCACCGTATGCCCCAACAGCTCCACCACCATATGAAGATCAGTATATTATTGAAAAAGTATACAAGAAAATTCATAACTAATTGAATTTTTGGTCGTTTAGGATGACGATTCACTTGTTCTCAATATGATGAAGGAAGAGCAAGAAGAATGTGGTGATAAGAGAAACTCGAGATCATTGGGATCAGGTGTTATCCTTCTCGCCCAACAGCTAATGGGAAATTCGACGGAGAAACAGCAAATCTCTTTCAGCAAGTAAGAAATTTGATCAAAAATATCTGTCGAACAGTCCTCGAGAATCGCGCATGTCTCTTGTCAGTGTCCTTCTTCGAATTCTCGTGACTATGAAGGTTGAACAAATCAATTCTGACGAATGAATGTATTTTCAATGTATGCATGTATCGAAAAACCGTAGTACGAAATCGAGTAGTCATCTAACATATCGACATAGTCGCGAGAGATGAATATAATATGAGTTTCACATTTCACTCAAAATGCAATATTGTAATGTTTGGGCGCTAGAATATTCGAAAATTGCTTTCTACGCTTTTACATTTTTTTTGTAAATTTTCGCGCTGCTTCTAACACACGTTTAACCAATATCGTTTAGATTCGGAGAAGAAGCCGATATCAGCTATCATACGCGGCCAGCAGGACTATCGCCAAGCTCGGATAACTCAGAGGTAAGAATGTTGTCATTAATGTGTCGGTGTTGGGTAATATGTGTTGCACGAAGCTTATCTTATTCTTTATTCAATGTTTCTGTACCACACAATTATAATATTTTATAATCTGCTCACTTGAAATTTTCAAAAAGAAAATTGTGGCAATTTTATTATTTGAAGAATTTCACGCAAAAACTTATTTTTTTTAATGGACTTAGAAATTAGCAATATATAATAGCATGATTCCATAGGCTCAACTTAGAATTTACACCAAAAGAAAAACAAAAGGCAAATTCAAATTTCGTGTATGTAATTGTGAATGTTCCAATAATTCCTGTGTGACCTTTGGGCCTCTTCTATCGATTTTCAATATTTCTTTTAAAACTTGGAATGTTTGTTTTATTTGGATCATTTTCCAGGTCTCCTCCCTCTCCTCGTTCAATATCGCCGATGATGACACAGTTTCAAAAATGCTAATGAGCCATTCGGAATTGATCAAAGTGAGTTTATAATACTATAAGTGGATTATGTTCGAAAAAAATGAAATGTTTTGAATTAATCTCATGTGCCATTTTGAGGGATTTGGAAACTATATTTTACAGGACATTGAAAATGCCACAGACCGAGTCGGCAGCATTTTGAAGCCCACAATGAAAAGTGTCAGCGATGTTCAGCAGCAACCACAACCGCAACATGCTTGAACAAAACGTCTCTGATGTATATTTGGTAGAAATCTTCCCACCACCCTTATTATAATTATTATTGTTTGAATTATTAGAAACTAATTAATTATACAACGAATTTAATTTTATGGTTGCCAGTTTCTCAGGTATTCATGATTTTGTTCAGAATACTTATCAGTGCTCGAGATATCGCTAGAAAATTATTCTAGAATGGAATAATTGATATTGATTGTTCTCGGCGAATTTCTCTACAATCAACGTTTCAACTTGCCTTTTTTGTGTTTTCCTGGGTATCAATGTTTCCTCTTTGTATTCGTTTTACTGTACAATTAACGTTTTCCATTCTGTTGCTCACGGTAGTCATACGCGTTGTATTAATTTGTATTATTTTGCCTCCTTCAATTTTTTTTGTGGTCAGTCATAGTTCAATCATTGGTGATGTTAAATTTGATGAATCAACATAGATCAAAATAAAACATTCTTCTTATTTTAATTTGATTACTATTTTTGGTTGTCTTGTCGAAGCGTACCCGAGTCAAAGGTTTGGTGAATCGAAACACTCAAGACGACTTTCCGGTTTTTAATAATTTCGTCATATAGTTAATGGTTTGCTATTTCGATTCACCTTTCTCTCGAAACCCATTCATTGGAAAATTGCCAGTTTGGAGGTCAGCGTTTCGGAAAATACCCTATAATTCATAGGCATGGAATTGTTCTAGTAGGTAAATCTATTGTTTATGGATTAATGAGTGGCAGAATAAAAGTTAATGTGGTATTGGATGGCTGGATGAGTGAACGAATGAATTGAAAGTAATGGGTGAGGAAAAAACAAAAAACACATATAAATAATTAAAAATTTTCATATTAATTGGTTTTGAAAAATGAATGAAATTTTTTGAAGAAAGGTAGATCATCATGAATTTCAGATATTTTAAGGAATTTTAAATTTTGATGTCTGTAAATGGAACCTACGATATCTAAAACAAACGACAATCAGATAGCTTATATTCGACGAGATTTTTGACTTGTATATTTTACACTAAATTTGCCATGACTTTGCACTTACAACGTCACAATAATTTTAGAAATCACCAGACTGGAATAGTTTAACTAATTTATTTTTATATACACATCTATTTTTGGAACATTGTATTTCATATAAATGTGCATCTTTTCTTTTAATTTGGATCCATATTTACTCTCCTATACTAAACGTTAAAGATTTCTGAATCATATTGAATGGAATTTTTTTTCCCGTTTTTTTTTAAAGTAACAGCAGAATATTCTGCACTATCATCTCTACTATGATTTATGGCAACTTTACGAAGAATGCGCTTACCAACAATGAGTTTCGTACTTTGTTACTTTGATAAAAAAAGAGATAGACTAATTCATTTGTGATCACTAGGTTTTTTTTTGTTTGAAAAGATTGACTCAAACATTTCGAGATTGCTTGTTTTCATTTTTTTACAATCAAATGAGTAATTCAGCGAATTGTCGCGTTCAACTGTTCAATAAGATCAAATAAGGATTTTCCAAAAAGGCTGAAGTGAGAAACAATTGAACAAGAAAAATCCAGAGATTTATTAAACATTATTTGTTTATTGTTAATTGCCTACTCGACCAATTCACCTCCCATTGACTTGCCTGTTCTGTTCTAATTGACTTAACAAATTTCATGTCTCAATTGATGGCAGTTATTTGAAATTTGCATTGTTCATCGTCTAGATTTCGTTGCAATTCCATTTCGAAAATCAAATTCGACCCTTTAAAAAACAAAAAAAAATTGGCTGACTGCCGCGAAACCTCTAATTTTCAAGCCAACAAGGGCGTGATTTACCCACAATTTTAATTCGCATTTACTGTCGAGTGATTGTTGATGACGATTCTTCTTGCCTCCTCTTTCCTAGAAGGTCGTTGTTATAATTTCTCTCAGACACGTTTTTCTCAGCTCTATTCATTACTTGCCACTGTCAATCATTTTTCAACATATTCTTATTATTTTACAATTTCAGCAATGCAACGGGAATGGGAGCTAATATCATGCACATTCATATTATTCATTCTTGTTGTTCAATGCCAAGAAGACCCACCGATTAGCAATAAGTTAGAGGATATCACTAACGCTCCACCACATCATCACCATCACCACCATCATCATCATAAATCAAGAGTTCAACGGTTGAGAACTCCTATGTAATTTCATCCACTGATCAATCTCATTGATTTTGTTAGTCGATCAATTTTAGATGTGTGAATGGGAAAGCCGTTGATGGAGCCTGCCACTGCGATCTTGACTTTGTTGGAAAACATTGTGAAAAACAAAAACATTGTGAATCTTACAGAAGATTCCGAAACGGATCGTAAGTGTTTAGTTCTGCCAAAACATTGTTTGTTCTTATATACGTAGAAGTTTTACTACTTCTATATACAATTTTTTCAATATAATCTATTTTTGGATTGAAATCTATTGCAATATGTTTTTTTTTTTTAAATTTTCTACCGCCATTAGTCAAAATTTCATTAATTCAAAATCAGAAATTATCACTCGGGGATGTTTTTGGTCTAATTGTTCTCGCAATTACTTTAACAAAATTGAAAATTGTTTTTTCATCAAACACTCGTCATTGTATTTTTCAGGTGTCCTGCATGTAAAAAAGGCTACGATGGTACTTTCTGCGAGGACATTGTTTGTGTTAATGGATCAGCAGATAAGGTTAAAGCAACAACACAATGTATCATGTCATTCCTAGTTTTGTTACAGCACAAAAACTTTTGCACGTGTAATAAACCGTTTTCCGGAAAACACTGCGACGAACTCGAAACTAAGCATATTTACAGTTACTATAATCAGAAGGTATAACTATTTTTGAAATTCGCGTTTCACTGGTTGGAAATTTTAGGTGTTCCTTCTGGGACCACTGGGCGCAATATCCTTGATCCCAATGTGCGCACTTTACGCTGGCTGTGAGTATTTTGCCAAAAAACGACAGGTAAAACACGGCATGCTGTTAAATTTCATTCGGGCTTCTAGGTGAAAAGAGTTGAAGCAATGATGTCTGGCCAAAATATTCCCGTCGGCAACAAAACATTGAAAAAGCTTCTTGACGACGTTTGAAAAGAATTGATTCTCATAAGTATTTTTTCGTTACGTTTTTTTTTACAAAAGAACGATTGTATTTTCTGTGAAAATAAACCTTGAAGCGTTTCATACCGACGAAATAAGATCACAACCTTAAATATGCTTTTTTACATTGATGGTGAACAGCATTGCTATGAAATTTCGGTTCGGCTTGAGCCCCCCCCCCCCAAATTCTCAATCAATCTAGTCAATAGGAAATTTTGAAAATTATATTTTTAAACAATCAGACAATATCGCCATTTCTAACATTACAAGCAGAAATAGGAATCCACAGAAAGAAAAATACGAATATTCAATATTTTTTTATTCGTTCTGCTTTTACACTTGAAATAATTCAGAAAAACATCACAAAGAGTTTGAAAAACGTTTTAAGTATTGAACACGTATTAAACTACATAAATAGCTATATATCGCAGAAAAACAAGCACCTTGAATAATTGTGAACCATCATAATTTTCGAGACGGTAATTCAAATTCCGGTTTAAACAGTGTGACTTAATACAAAATACGGATCACCTGCGAATCAAACTCACTCTAAATCGGCGAAGGGTGATCATTTTTTGAGGATATTATAATTTTCATTCATTCCAAATAGTCCCTGTATACAGTTAAACTGCATGACAGCCAGCATTTATAAAAAAAAGTGAGTAAATGGCATATCAAATTCGTGAAAGTTCAACGAAACTTGGTTCTTTTAATATTGCGTTTTCGGGCATTTATCAAATGTGGTCAAACTTTATCAAGATTGGGCGAAAAACAAATCAAAAATTGATAAAATATGGATCAAAAGTGGATCAAAACTGAACTGCCACGGGTCCATTTTCTGTCCATTATCCAACGTGCAGTATGCAAAGTCAGACCCCAACGCCTAATGAATATTTCCGAGCTTCAAACAGACATTATTGGTTTTAGGCATAATCTCGACATAATAAAACATCATTATTTTTTTACTGGTGCATTGATGGAGCCAATATGTTACAGTTTGAAATTCATGCATTTCATTTGATCTGTTTGGGATTTTAATTTATTAAAGGAAAAATTCCAAAATAGTTTTTGAAAAGTGGCAAATTGAAGACAAAATACAATATTCGACATCAAAAATATCATTAAACATTATTTTATAATTTGAATGTTGAGATCAATGAGATTTTTTGGGGGACGAAAAGAGCAGATTTGTGCCATATCAAGTGTGAATGAAGACATGCACAATATCCGAACATTGAGTTTTCTTTTTTGATGATTCAACGAAACTGAGGAATGAATTAATTGGTCGGAGAATGTGCGATTGGAAACAACAATTTGACTTAGCGAAACTTATCACATTTCGAATTATGGTACATTTACAACAGGAATTAATACAATGAAAAAAATGGAGAGAGACGAACAAGATGAAATTGGGAAAAAGAAGGACACAATAATACGATCAACAGAAATTTGTGACCAAGGAAAGAATGAGAATGGTGACATTGTCGCATGTAAGAATAAATTCCTAATCGAGTAAACTTCAGGAAAATTCGTATTATTCCATCCAGATCACTGTATTAATGTGCTACTTGGGTTGTCAATTTCGTATCACAACGTTATTTTAGGGTGACAAGAAATTAATACTAAAGATATGCTGAGGATTATTATTTGAGTGTAAAACATTTTTTTCATTTTTTTGAAAATGGATTGTTTAACGATTGTGTCCGGTCAATCCATTTGTAAGTTATTAATAAATTGCAATAAAGAAAAAAACCAGAATGATGCCCACATGCATTATTCGGTACGCGAGGAAGGGAGAGTAATTCACAGAGAAACAAACAGGAATTGGTGAATGCTCATTCGATGAGCCTCTGAGCGAAAAATCGAGAAGAAACCAAATAAGAAGGGAAACACACATTTTTTTCTGTTCAATGGTTGGGAATGTTAAGTGGGACACATGAAAATCGAAGATGTTTGAAATTGTGATTTTTTTTTGTAGACGATTATTTTGCGGACGTTCATGTCGTCAAACTTCTTCGAGCATTCCGTGATTTCCGATCATGTTCTTGTAAAGCGTCGATGCGAGGAAACGCGGATAACTGTCGCGTTGCATCAATGTGTAGATCTGATTCTGAGCTTCATCGAATGTCGATGCCGATGGGCGCGACATGTTTGAATTGACAATTTCGCGAACCCGCGAATCCAATGACACTTCCTTGGGTGAGAGAATCGAGATGAAGTCCTCGTAAATGATGCGAGCCTGAAAATAAGCCTTGTTAACTATATATCTTATGCCGCTTAAAGATCCTAATAACCGTCCCCCCTCTTTCTCTTTTTCTTTTCATCACTACTACACATTTGTTCTTGAAGGTCTCTCATTTTTCCCGGACCGCGCATAACAAATAACATATTGGAAGCACGTGGTCCGTCCTTTGAGCACGCGCGGATAATTGCACGCAAGTGGACCGTTGGTTATTCGGATCAAATCCTAGGCCATCTGCTAATAAAAATAACAACAATTGCAAATCCAGGTGAAAAATAATTCCAAACAGATACGTATTTGAAAATTTTCGAAAGTCAAAAAACAATTTTGAAAGAAATTACAAATATTTCAGGGAGTATTACTCAAGAAAGTAAAAAAAATGTGGGCATTTTTGAACGCAATTATTAAATTAAGTTCTAATTGGAATATTTTGGGAGTTAGTTTGTCAGATTCCTCAAAATTGGAACTTCAGGTTTATCGAATTTTGAAAATTTTTGACAAATTTTTTATTGACTAATTGTTCATCACACGCGGCTCATAACAGTGTCGGCAACTCATTGTATACCCAAATTGGCATCGCCGTGGTCACACCTGGTCTCCCAGGACGCGGATTCGACCTATGAGCCAAGGTTCTCAGCTCTCGCTTATTCATTGGCTCTCTTACGAGATTCGACATCCTTCAATAACCTTTGGATGAATTCTATGGCAACAGTGTCAGATCTGCACTAGTATTTGCTGAATTCACATTGACGAAAAGTTGCGATGCTGCTATCAGTCTACTCTATATGCTATTGCATAACATATTTTGAAAGAGGAGTTTGCGAGGATGAGACAGGTACGCGACCTTTATAAAATTCAGCATGCTGCATGTACCTTTAAACTGTTGAAATATGCAAAGTTTCACAGTTCTGACTTTCACCTCTCAATGATTCACACTTTGGGTGGCCTATGGATAAATATAATCTAATACTATATCCAAAGTCTATGTACATTCTACATTTTACTGTAATCCTCATAGATTCACATGTTGTGCGATTTTGAAATATCGCCTTCTTAGGAAAACAAATTACTCCCTCGAGGAAGAATAATTGGAATTTGAAATAAATGGCTCCCCCTCATTATTCACCGGCGTCCAAAATTCTCATTCATCCAATTTTTAATCGAACCAAAATTCCTATTTGTCCGGTCATTTTCATAGGAATATTTAAGAAAATTCTAATGACTTTGTCATCAACATCATGCAAAAGCATTGAAGCACAAAAAAACCGCATTCGATATTTTTGCATGAATACTGAGAACAAGGGCGAACGTCTGTTTAAAGGGCTGATCTCAAAGCAATTCGTTGATGATGAATAAATGTATGAAACATCAAATGTGTTTCGATATGCGTGATTTGCTTAATTCCGTGAATGTCGCAGTACATGTTAAGGTGAAATGGTGACTCTAAGCTTAGGATTCTTATAATAAACAATCGGATTAGATTGACAACGACGACGACAGAAATCCTGCATATCAATATCAAATTTCACATGACGAAGTCGAAACTGGGATACTGTAGGCATTGAAAATGAGAGAAAAGAGGATTTGATCTACAATAAACCTTATCTAGTCTGAAACAATATAATACAAATTTGTAGACTAAGTGGCCCGTTGGTCCCTATGTACACGTTTTTATCAAAATTCCGAATCTATATTTCTATTTTCAAACATTTTTTTTATGAAAGCGAGCCCCCCCCCTCGCCCATCATCAATCCTCGACTTTTTCGCGTTGCCTCATTTTTCATTTCGCCAAAATTGATGGTCCGTCTTGAAACATTTGAAGATGAAAAAACCCTCCCCAACATCTCCTAAAAATTGCAATAAATCACCTTTTCTTCAATTTTTTCCGAGTTCTTTTCGCGCTTCAACTCTTCGCACGCCTGCCAGAACAAAATGTTCTCATCCGAATATTCTCCCTTGAGGAACTCGGCGAAATACTTCTGTCCAATGCGATTCTTCATAAGATTGTCGAACGATTGCGACCATCCGTACACAATTTCATATGAGGGCCTATAATGTACCATTTGATGAATGTGAAAAATTGGAAACACCTCAAATAATTGATTCTATTTTTATAAATATATTGCTTTTTTATTGACGTTTCATCTAAAACTTAATGTTTTCCGAAAAGTTCATATCTTTTAAAAACATTTTGAAATAAATGCTAATAATTCTCAAACGATCCAAAAATTAAAAAAAAAACAATGGTCATTGAACTATAAGAAATTTTCTTTTCTACATCTGCCTCTATGGTATATAATCGGAAAATCCCATTTTCAAAATGGACCCTTTTTAGCTAAGCTTTTAATGGTAAATTTTGCTTAAAATATCCTAAAAAAAATTCAATTTTCATCACAAAATTGAATTTGTTCAGAAAATGTATCAAAAAAATAATAGAATTTGGGTCAAAAATATCTCATAAAAAATATTTTCGGTTATTTACCGGTTTGCTGGCCTATAATTCACATTCATAGCCGTCAGCAAAAATAAAATATTTTTTTAGCTTATGCATATTTTTACACAAAAAAAATACGAATTTCCGATTCATTAGGGTTTTTGTTTTGTTTTGTAGGGCCTAATTAAAAGCAAACTCGCTGTATCCAAAAAATATGTATATTCGTTCGATCTCTTTTTGTTAGGGTGAAACGCAAACAATTTTTGAATTTGTTTCAGCTTTCGAATTGACGCAATTCTCGCTAGCAGGTGGCTTTGCCAGCGGCAATACGTCAGAAATTTCTGATAATTCAAGAAAACAAGAAATATGTCTTGAATTATTTCAAGCCAACGAACGACATACGAATACATATGAAATACACGTCAAAAACAATATCGAACGACCACAAAATAAGACATACGGTAGTTGTTTCGAAACAATGATTCTTTTTTTTTTTTTGAAGCGGAAGATTGCCGCAACCAATTTTTTTGAAAACGTTTTATAAAATGCCAACCGGCATTTTCCCGTAGGGTGCAATTACCCTTGTTTTAGATCTTTAATTATGCGCGTTTTTTTTCTTGGGAAAAAAATGAGCCAATTTCGATTCTTGTCTGAACTCGAATTCTTGGTAGGTATAATATATAAATCATATTTCGAGTATTATAATACGTCGGCTAATTCAATTTGCATACGCCAAGTAACTTACTGATCAATATTTTCGGGGACATTGTTGACTGGTTTTTTCTCGGCTCCGACGCTTCCACTGGAAAATGGATTAGATCAGTTTCAATATTGCTGATGATTTTGGAATATGGGGGCCATGGCTTTTAATAGAATTCCACTCGATCTCTCTCCCTCTTGGACACTTACCACCTTTTTCGGAAGCACAGCTTAAATATGGACATAATTCGCTTATGTTGAGCAAGAGAATGTTAGAATGCGATAGCTCCCGTCTAAAGTGCAATAGGTTGATTTGTTTAGCTGCAACTTATGCGAAAAGGAACAACTCTTATTACATGACGCGTGAATTTTTCAGGAGGCTTGTAAATACTCAATGATTAAAGCATGTAAGTAGGATGTGAAGAGTTAAAGCAAAAAAACGAGTGTAGAAATATAATAGCACTTTTTCGAGTAACTATAAGTAAGCTCAAGTGTCCGAAGCCCGGAGTTTTAAAAATTTTTAAAGCGATATATATTTCGTGTTTCTTTATTTTTACCTAAATTGGCCGAATAAATAAATAAAGGCAATTTGAGACCTTATTTGGTGCCATTAATTCTGTTTGGTAGTATATTAGAATCTGTTCTATTGATGATGAGGGCTCAAATTAAAATTAATGGGCTCCAAGTGAGGACGCGAAATGGATTCTATTGAATCGACCCCCCCTCCCATTCAATGACAAACCAGCGTACTTCAAGGATGATGAGCGACCACCCATTGTATGGAAGCAGAGCCGCGAAGCACAATTAAGGTTAGCGATGGTGCCGATGGGTGCAGCGCTCCGGCGCCTAGCTACAGTATCCAAAATTGTCTTACGATAATTGGATGATTCGAATTGGCTCTTGACCAATTAGCGGTTTGCGCGTGACACACGCACCGTTGATTTTTCTTCACTGTGAAATAAGTGTAGTGAAGAGTGGAAGGGTGAGCAGCTGAGATATGATGGAAACTAGGCACGAACATATACATACGAAGAGATGATAGTAAAAGGCAAGACGAAAAGAAGCCAGAGCCGAGAAGCAGATAGCGCGCACTAGAGCGAGACCAAACGGAGAGAGATCGCGAGAATCGCACAGTGGCGCGCGCAACTAGTTGGGAGGCGCGCGAGAGCAAAGCAACTACCAGCGAGGACTCACCTGTGATTCTGCCCCATGAAATTACAATCGCATGTAAGAATTCTCATAAGCATACTAAATGCCGTCTTTGGCGGCGGCTGCGACGGCGATGTTTGCGACGGCGATGGCGACGGCGGAGGCAGCGGCTGCTCCTGCTGCGATGGCGGCAACGACAACGTGGCTGTGGATGCAAGGCTCGCCACGGCCCCCAGAGACGAGCTCGGAAACCGCCCTGGCCTCTATTGATTTGTCTGGCGAAGCGAAAAAAAAAACGCGGGAAGGGAGATGGCGAGTGTCGCGCGAATGTCGCCACTATAGAGGTCCGTGTCCCCGCCTTTTATGTCGCTGGACCGCCCACTATTTCTTAGACTCCCACCCCTCATGGGCCCACATGCGCTTTTCTTGTTACAGTATCAGATGACATGCATAATACTCTCATCTCGGGGGGATAGTTAGTCAATCGCTCAGATCAAACAGCCAACAAATGGGAAAACAAACAGAAGGGCCACTCATTTTTGTAATAAGTATTATAACGTGAGACCCTCAACCTTCTCCATTTCTCAGGATGATACAGTCATCATCTTAAAGTTGTTTGATTCTTTTGGAACTCAATGATGAATAGCACACAAAATTCTCAGAACGAACAAATGTGACGAATTATTATTGAACCATTATGAGGAAGTATTGTCTTAAGAAACAAACAATCTCGGTAGCATAAGGGGTGTGGGATAGTGAGAAACTAACTTTCTGTATGGGAAAATCATCATATTTGAACAAGGATTTGCATGAGGAGATGGACAAACTCTCATATGCACTTCTTAAGTAAACTGAAGATCCAAGAAGCAACTACTTCATCTCCTGATTCCAAAACTACTTGATAATCCAATTTTCTACCGGAAATACGCCCAATTATCCAGGCTAATCATATATTGCTCAGTGAAAATTCAAAAAGTTTGTTTCCGACCAAACAGTTACAATTTTGTCTCTATAATACTCAAACGTAGACTCTTAATTAATTTCAATTATGATGTTTTGAAATGTTATTTTTCTGAACTTCGAGCCATGGGGATTTGGGTATGTCAGATTTGCTGTGACGAATTCAGAGCATAAACTTGGTCCTAAACACGCGCTAACGAAGAAGCTGCCGTAGATATGCTGGTTGAAAGTGGCTTGAGAAAACGATGCTAATAAGCACCTTAACGCTCAATCTATTATTTGATTGACCTTATTAGGCTCTAACGATTTCTGAGCAATTGTTTTTTTTTGGAATGGAACTGTTGATTAAAAGTAGAAGACAAAATTGCAGAAGGTGTGCGCAAACTTTTGGAGCAAGTATATCGGATTACGGGCGCACGTGAAGCCTGCAACTCGTCCCCATAAGCTGTTCGGATTAGAGCCGACACATCGTTTATGATTAATTTTGAAGTGGTACATGCATATCTACCAATTGAGAAACATGAAGAAGAAAAAGAAGAAGAAGATGAAAAAGCGGATTTTTGGGAGAAAAGAAATCCTCAAAGACATTGGAAGATTGTCGGCGACGATTGACGAAGAATGACTGAGGTGGAAAAACTCAAATTTGTTTTCAGTAACGAATTTTGAGCTAAGTACAATAAAAAATTTAAAATTTGCTTGCTGGGCATTCCCTTCCGTGAATTTTATCAATTCAACTGAATGTGAAGTGGGCTATATTGTAGGTGTCAGTAGAAAGGCTTCTATAAACATTTTTATATGAATAGGGGAAAATTAGAACCTTCCTGTGGTTGCAAAAAAATGACTGCACAAATTAGGATGTTTGTTTTTCTTTCGTTTTTCCTTTCTTACTTAGAAAGAAAGAAGCTTGAAGTGAGCGAGAAAAAAAAACGACGAATTTTGCAGCTCGCAGGATGAAAAACAAATTTGGGTTTCTCGAAAAAATTGAAATACCGCGAGAAAATTGAGCAACTACTAACGACCGCATATCGTATAATAGCAGCCCATTAGATATAGAAATAATTAATTGATACGAAGAATGCAATAGGAGGCAGCAAACTTTCAGTTTTTTTTTTGCATTCTAGCCTCTCACATCATTGAGCTCAGACAAAAGAAAAACCATGGTCATTAATTTACGTACATACGTACAGATGGAAGAAAAACATTATTCGTTTTCAAATGTTATTATCTTAGCGGAATTGAGAAAAAAAAGGATTTGAGAACGAATACTCATAGAGGTTCTGTAGCTGAGGATTAGGAACGTCGTCTTCCAATCGGGTTATTAGGAATCTAGAAGCGTCACATAAAAAATAACGATATATTGATTTAATGGGATATTCCTCAGTCCGCTTCTAGGGATCATAATTCAGAAGGCACTGCTTCAGAACTTGCTACTCCTAAACTCATGACATTCCTCAGAATCAAATTTCTTGATTAATCTTATTAAGAAATGTGTGTAAGTGTATGGATTTGATATCAATGTCCAAATTTTTTTTTTCTTGTAAGTTTGTCTAGCCCTAAAAAACTTTTTAGACTAAATGCATGACAGCAATTTGAAATTCATCAAAATCTCAGTGATCAAAATGATGGCCAACGAACGGCGCTATCATCAAAAATTCCGAGACAAGAGTGATTTGGAATGATTCATTCTCGGAATAATCATTATCGCAATTGTTAACATCGCCTATTCATCGTCTCTATTAAACCGCTATTGATGAGCTATTCGATTCAAAATTCTGATAGAATTGGACTTCAATGTTTTTTCTAGTGTTTTCCACCTCCTCC